AGAATTACTACTTAGGCTAAAAGTTTCAAATCATCCATATAAAGAAGGTGAGATATAACTTGATCATCTTTCTGCAACCTATAGCCTAACCCTGAACCCTCTAATAAAGTCCTAAGAGGGTTCAAAGCCAGACAAAACCACAAGGGACTCAGACTATCACCTTGAAATATACCCCGCTCGATCTTTATTAGTACATCGTGTGCCGACATCCTGGATAGCGAAGTGCTGTTCTCCATTGCCCCATACATGACTTCAAGAAAGTGTACAGAGTTGTATCAATTTTATACAACTCTAGCACCTTCAAAAGCCATGTGTGTGGAACCGAGTCATAAGCCTTCTTATAATCTAATATTAATCTATTATTATTATTTATTTTATTATTAAGCTTATTTACATTAATGTACAGTGCCTCACACAACAACTTTCGATGTTGTCTGTGTTGTTGACATTACATTACATACATATCTAGGTTACATTCTCACACTTTTTACATTATTTGTGTTCGTTTCATGTGTCTGTAAAGTCTGTAAAGTACAAGTGTTTTTTTATCTCCTGGCTCTAACTTGGAGAGTCTATTAGTAGCCACTGAAAAGTTCCACTATCCTTCTCTTGGTGACTTAACTGATATGGTGATGGCCAAGAGAAGGCCTCTTGGCCATGACCATATCAGTTATGAGCTGCCAAATTAGTTTTGTAACCCAAACAAGTAATTTCCATGGGCAAATACAAGTAGGTAGGTTAAAAAAAAAATCTAACATTTGTTTACAAAATTAGTTACAAGAGAAGGGAAGTTTTTTTTTTGGAAATAAATAGCAAAAGAATAGATGTGCCAGATTACCGTCTCCCATAGACACCTTCAAATCTTACAGTCTGTCTATAGAGGCGTCCATATAGAGACACTTGGCCCACTATAATTAACCGACTGCACCAGAAGGAGGGCTATGTGTTTCGAGAGTATGTATGTATGTATAATTGTTTAGCACGCTTTGCAGACTGAACAGCTCGATGGATTTTTTCACGCAATGGAGTGTTTTGTTTTTTCAATAATTCCAGTTCCTCTCACGTAATAGGCCTTGAGCCTATTGTCGTAAAACATAAAACTATTATATTACCTATCTTAATCTCGTTAATGATGTATAAATAGGCAATAGAGACATGTTCCGGGGTCACTGCAAATTACTATGTAAGTATAGATAGTTCAACTCAGTTGTGCGCGCGGCCCTATGTGTGCGTGGGCTTGTAAATATACAACTTTCATTCGTGTGGCAGTTGTCGTCCGACTGCCGCGTCACTGCCACATAGGGCCGCGCGCACAACTGAGTTGAACTATCTATAGTTAAACTGATAAGAATAGCACAGTTACTGTAACGTAACTGTAAAATGATAACATTTATATATATCGACACGTGTTTTGCCTTGACGTGACTCACGATCCATGCTTGTAATGGATGGGACAGGACAGTGACGACTTACACTTGAAATGACAGGAATATTGCATATTATCGCGACCTTTAGGATGGTAGTTTCAACTCACACCTTGGTGTATGGGGGCGAGGTCTTTTTTAAAGGAATTGTCAATGATTAATTCTACTTTTTTTCTGTTTTTTTTTTATGTATATCTAGATCACAAATGAGCAGCTGTGGTCAGCTGTAACCACTGCTATATGTACCTTGTTAGTCCCATTGGGTTTTTTGATATGGGCGGGTAGATGTTGAAATGATATAAAACAAGCTGTGGGCGAGGTATTAACAAAATTATTTTTTTTATTTGAAAGGCCTATATGTGCCATAACGTATACATACGCCATAACATCTTTCAAATGCCCGCCTCGGCTTCTTACTGTAGCACGGATCCGAGTGTTCCAATTTTTAATGACTCCTCCGCATAGATCCGGCTCAATTCGAGCGATGGTCTGTGTTATGTTTACCTTTAGGGCATCGGTCGATTGTGGTTTATTTGCATAGACCTGCGACTTCATAAAACCGCAAAAGAAAAAGTCTAGAGAGGTCAAATAGCATGTTCTTGGAGGCTAATTCACATCACCCCTGCGAGAGATAACTTTACCCTCAAATCGTTCAAGCAGAACGTCAATCGTGGCGGCCGCCGTGTGGCACGTAGCGCCGTCCTGCTAGAACAACATGTCGTGTAGATCCATGCGGTTCAATTTTGGCCATAACAAATTAATTATCATCGTTCTGTAGCGCTCGCCGTTGACGCTGACCGCCTCACCAAAAAAGTACTTTTCGAAAAAGTACGGACCAATGACGCTGCCGGCTCAAACTTTACACCAAACGGTAACTTTTGAGGACGCATTATCACCTGGTGAACCTCGCGTGGGTTGGTGTCGTCCCATATATGGCAATTCTGCTTGTTAACACAGTGATTCATCCAAAAATGCGTCTCGTCGTTAAAGATGGTTTTTCGGCCAAACGATTCGAAGCCCAGTCAGCGAACAAACGGCGTTGTCTATGGTCATGAACTTTAATCTCCTGGTTCAGTTAGATCTTGACTTAGTCCCGAAAGACCGAGTTCTTGTGCACGGCAAGGAATCGACTGCCTCGGGTTCTGCTGTACACTTCCATGGACCGGTGTCGGCTGATTGATTACCGAACCGGCCGTCTCAAATTTAACTACCAAACGTTGAAGAGTCGACTGTGAAGGGCCACCACGTGTACCGTAAAATGGACGCAATACGCGCAATGTTTGCACTAATGAACACTCATTTTGAAAATAAAGTTTTATAATTTGAAAATGCTGTTCAATCGTGTAACTTGCTATGGTGATTTGGCATAAGTAACTGAATAATAAACAAAAGATTTTACAGATGTCACCCAAAAGAAAAATGGCCGCCACGAACCGCCAAAATCTACCCGTGAAAATCCCTATATATGTATGTGGGGCCACATAAAGCTATCGTTAAATATATGATAGATCTTTTTAAACTTATGATTTTCTCTTCAATATGTATATTTTGAAACTCTGGTAGGTACATACGTAAGCCAATTTTTAGTAAATCTAAATATTTCGTTTGTATTTTAACTACAGTCAAGGGCTTTATTATTTTTGCAAAGTATAGAAAAGAGATATCATTGTTTTTTTTAATATAACTATTCTAATTAATAACATGAATTCTTGTTTATTTGTGACGCTTTAACGCTTTAACAACTACCTATCATCCGATCGTCATGAAATTTTGTATATCTACACGTGTTTTAAAGGGTACAGGACTTGATGGTAATGTTATCTAGATCGATAGACACAAAGCCTCAGGCAAATACAAGTACTTTACTAAGAAATGCTTATGAAATTGAATATTCATAATACGGTTGATCATTTTGTAGGCACTTAAGTAGTTATGTTTAAACCAGCAAGCACCGTCATATTCAGGCTAACGATAACATAGAAAGAGGTTTTGATGATAAAAAGTACAATATTTTAATTATGATTTGACCTACTACTTGCAATTATTTTACAATTTCCACATTAGATTATGTGAAGCCGATAAGAGACCCTCGAAGCCAAGATTTTGCTAGTGAGTTATTTCCCTTTTTAATGCAGGTGCACATTAGCGTATTATTTTGTTATCCATTAACCAAAAAAAAAATCAAATCATAATTAAATTTGACCGTAATTCAAGTTCTTGATTTACTAAAAAAATATTTTGCTATCGTATATTTTCTACACAAAAATATTTGCATTTCTCACGTACAGCGAGCACGTAAAGCCTAGGCGCACGTTTGCAAGAAAATTCTTGAGTAATAAGCACTATAGTGCTTTAGTTACACGAATTTTTTTTGACCTATTTTATTTGTGGAAAGCCTGTCGGGCGTCATCCCATCGCAGTTTGCCGTGGAACGGTGCCATGCGACGGTCCTATACTACGCCTAAAATAATCTATTTTCAGATCCCTTTTATGTAACTCCTCATGGAATAAATTAAATAGTGAAATGAAATTTCCTATGCGCCGTAAGCACTTCTTACTATACAAAATTCCCAACTTTAAAACTCCAAATTTACGAGTAATTATTTATTAGATAAACGTTTACAAGAAGTTAAGAAGAAAGATGGACAGAAGAAAACCAGTTGGCGTCCCTGTCATATTTGAATCTCTAATGACAGGACAATTAGACTTCCGCTTCTTTGAGATACTGGGGCCTTGATCGTTTTTCACCATCCGAGTCTTACTACTACAAGTCTAGGCTAGCTCCCTTGCCCGATCCTTACTTCATCCTCTGTCATCCATCAAACATCTTTTAGTAATATAAAGTGATGTATCTTGCGCGGTAATAAAATAATTGTGTGATAGATATATCCACACATTGCGCGGATAGTTAGAGTACTCGAAAATGTCGAAGAATCAAAATTCTCCAAGTCCACATTGGGTACACGTATGCACGTACTTTACACACAACCTCCAATATGTCGGAGTGGTGAAATTTGGCGTGCATGACCCTTTACAACAAACTAAAAGATCATGACTAACAGAGAAATGCTTTAGAAAATCGAATGATTTGAAAGAGAACTAGCACCAAGCCCGCATTGGTCCAATCATTTTGATTTTTTTTTCTATTATTGAACGCGGGGAACGCGCTTCCTGTTACATACTTCCGTCTCTTTTCACGAAATCACTTGTACATACCGTAGAAGAGAGAGGACAGATGTTACATATCAAATACATGCATCCCTACACCAACAACTGTATAACCATAAGAGTGGCCACCAGCTACATGTTGTCGGTATAGTCTCTCGGTTTGGTTAGCTCGAAACAGCTGTTGGTAAAGTCCGAGCCCTCTAACATAGTTAATCAATAAAATAGTTAATAAATAAATAACCTATGTACACCCAGTCTTGACATAAATACATTCAAGTACCTACATTATTTCCTCACGCCAACCCACATTGATTACTCCGGTCAGAGGTTGAAGATAACACATTAAAAACGGACTCTCCCGTTCATTACGAAAAAAACTTAACAACAAGTAAACATTATGAATTAAATATGTTGTTGTCAGTGAAATGTGTTTTGTTAGTATTTTTTGCGCTCGTAAATTTAGGTGAATGTAAAATAAAAAGAAAATCCCGTTCGCCAAAAGATGAGATAGGAAAGAGTAGCTTGGCCTTCGTGTTTGATGTGACTGGGTCAATGCAAAATGATTTGAGACAACTCCGAGAAGGTGCTGAAATGATTTTAAATACGGCGATGAAGGAGAGCAATGTTATTGCAGATTTTGTGTTCGTCCCGTTTCATGATCCAAGTAAGTACTTGTTTGTTACACTAATTGTCAAAACGACAAGATTACAAATTTTACTAATCCGGTAAAAATCGTTTAATTTAAAAGCAAATATCCAAATGAAAACAGTACTTAGTTACCAATTAATTGTTTTCCTAGAGTTTGGGTTCCAATTTTTCTTCCTACAACAATCGGTATTGTAAAAATTATTGGTACTCTCAAACTCAAGTTTAGCACATACAACTGCTTTTTTCTATTATTTGAGGAGATAATTCTTTTAGATAGTAAATAGAGTAACCAGTAGATGGAAAAGCCAGGTGCGAGTCGGGCTATCATACACACATTTTTTAACTAAATAAGCATATTCACAAAGTAAAACAATGTACAAATAGACATATTATTCACGAATACAAATATTGCCTCTGTTTAATTGATTCTTATTCGTCTCCAATTAATATTTTGAAATAAATTGCCGCGACTCCCATTGCGCTTATCCAATACTCTTTGATTTGTTATAGCTGTAGGTCCAGCAACCGTGACACGCAGTAAAAAAGTTTTTAAGCAAGCTTTAAGCTCAGTTCATGTGTATGGAGGAGGCGACTGCCCTGAGAAGTCCTTGACTGGTATACAACTGGCGCTGAACGTCAGCCGCCCAAGGTCTTTTCTATACGTGTTCACAGATGCTACAGCAGGAGACCATAGGACAGTTGCCAAAGTGCTGGATGAGATTCAGAATAAGCAAAGTCAAGTAATTTTTTTCTTTTCTGTTTGCACAATGCCGTAGGTAGTGTTGTAAAGGGCTAAATCTTGATATATTTATATAGATATCGGTAACTGTAAACATCACTCATTAAATGGTTTAGTGATTCAAGCTACCATAGTTATTTTTACTTGGGCAGTTTCTATAAACGGGTAATTTATGGAGAATCTGTGATCATGGCGCTTGTTACAGTGCCGTAGTATCAGAAACTAATTCCCGAAAATAAACATGGTTAATATTCCGTTTATTTTAATTAAAATAAGTAATTTGTCAAGTCATTAGTAGTTGGAAATCTTTCTCGTTTAGAAATATAACATCACGATAGTGGAAGTAATGTGCAAATGTAGTCCTTTGTTAGGTGCAAATATTGCCCCAGACTCTAATTTGAGAACATAGCTGATAACAACTTCAACATAATCTTACTCTGCTCTTAATTAAATAGGAATATCTTCTGTGATATATTTATAGCCATTTTTAACGCATTAATTTCAGGTTGTGTTCATCCTGACTGGCCATTGCAACGATTTGGACAAGCCTTCGTACAAAGTGTACCAGCAAATAGCAGCAGCCAGTTCTGGTCAAATATTTAACTTGAAGAAGGCCAGTGTACATAAGGTAATATAGTGAAGTCTCAAGTTCAATACCGTTGTGGACATCATTTAAAAAAATAAGGGGATCCCTACATGTTATACTAAGTAAGACAAAGAAGTAAGCCTGAATAACTGTACCTTGACTCTTGGAATTTCATAATTGTTCCAATCACCAGATGCTGGAGTTTGTAAAGAGTTCCATCAAAGGCCGGACCGTCAACCTTGCGTCTACCACAAGTCCTGCTGGATATAACTTCACACAAGAGGTAAATTTTAAAGTAAACATTTTCACTAAACTAAGTACGTAACGTACTTCAAGACATTTATGTTTCCTGAGCAACACGATCTTCAGAAATTACTGACATAACCATCAAATACTTTCTTGTCTATAGGTCAGTTAGGGTAATCGTGGGAAAGCCACACTTAAGCATATATAGGTCAGCTCGATCGGAATTATAACAGGGCCTCACAGAAAACCGGTGTTAAGCAGTTCTTTTCACTGATTGAGTGAGGTTACCCGAGTCCAGTCCTGCAGGTTTTGGGATCGAGGGACTAAAAGGGCGGCAATGCACTTATGAGTCTGTAGTTGCAGCGGTAGCCACTTGCCATCAGGTGACCCACCTGCTCGTTTGCCCCCTTAAACGATGAAAAAAATCAAGTGATAGCACACCTAATGGAAAACGGTTGCTGTAGCAATTGTAATAACAAGGCGCGACTGGTTTTTTTCTAGGACTTTTCTTGCTTTACAAATTTACGGTATGGTTAAGGAATTGCCAAGTGACCAGATGCATTTTTTGGGGTTAATGTTTGACCGCATGTTCCAGATCCCAGTCGACAGTACGTTGGGAGAAGTGACCGTTTCTGTATCGGGGGCGAATCCTAGGATCACCGTAGTAGACCCTAAGGGAGAGCAGCTGAAAGGCCCGCCTAAGTTAATAACGACTTTGGACCTCTCCGAGATAATGGTTGGTCATCACATTAAGTAAATATATGTATATTTCAAATCATCTTTCAAGGTAATAAAATATTGAAATCTGGTCCGCAAACATTGATGATTTATCTCGACTCCAACATAGCATAGTTTGTACTCCAAATTCTGACTTTAAATAAATATACCCCGTAACCTTCGTTGTAACACATGCATACAGTATTCCACATGGAAATACCCAATTCAATGCAAATATAAACAGTTATATAATAAAAAAAACAGCGTGAGGTGTCTATGGACCCCCGGTCAGAATGAAGTTCCGCAAGAAGTGTCGGAAAAAAGTGTCTTGTTACACATTTTTCGGTCTCGGTCTCATCCATTCAGAGCTTGTAACGCGCGATAAGGAACTTCGTTCCAATATTTTTGGTAAGCAATACTCGAAATCACGCTCGATGTTTTACTCGTAGTTGCCAAACGACCTGATGGATTTTAGAGTTTTATTCGTCTTAATTTAGGAGTCACACTCGGTTTGTGTTTTTTTTATAATTAGCTTTTTTAAGTATATCTTCGGTACTAATTAAGGTACGCGGTTCGTCTAATTAATTTTAATTGGTCGAGGTGGGGTCAAGCTAGGTGTAAGTTGGACTTTAAGTTGTTGCTGCGGAACAGCACAGTTCTTCTCTCGTTTATATAACTTTATTTTGCTGTTATCCAGGTGGTGAAAGTAATGCAGCCAGAGATGGGCAACTATCTTATAACAGTGGGTAGCTCTGAGGACTACTCCGTGAAGGTGGTCGGTTTGTCTAACTTAACGTTTAACCACGGGTTCGCCGTTTATGCCCCAAAATCTATGCAGGAAACCAGCTACAGGCCTTTGAAGGGTAATTTTGAGCACATAGTTTTCTAACTGTTGCAAAATATTTCTATTTCTATGTATTAAAAATGTGCCGTTTTGTTCACGTGTGTTTCGGGGTGTGTGTCCAGCTAGTTGCGACCCAGACCATCGGGACCTTTCCCAAGGGTTTAGGCGAATTTTGGGTAACCCTGAAATTCACACATGAGTAAAACCTTGTATCTTTAATTAATAAGAATACCACTCATACAAGATTTTGTTATCTATATCTTTGAAATACATACGTATTACATTATATTTATTCAAATATATCTTTGCCATTGGCTTAACTCTCGTAATCAATGTTGCCAACACCGAGACCATTTTTTAACGTGATGACTAACGTGTGACCAGCTCTCTAACAAGAGATATATACTCACTCTACAAGTATTCAGTTGGAATCGAACCGACTAAAACCACATGCTGTTCCATCACAAGTGAGTCTATTGCAAGAGACGCGGGTATACCCTAGGAAGGAAAACGCCGCTGACTTTGACCGCCTCCTAAAGAATAGGCGACCACACCACCAACTTTTTTGATTTGCCCTTCCGTCCTTCCACCTGGAGAAGCGTGCGAAACACGTCGCGCCACGATCATATTCAAGCAAACAAATAATTGCACTAACTGGAAACCGAATCTATACAAAAATTCACCTTAGAATAAAAAAATCTACAAACGAAGTAGTCATTCTACTTCTATTTTAATATGATATTGTTTAATTCCAGGGGCATACAACCACATGAAGATATCACTGACTCAAACCAACGTGACGGTTGATATTCAGTACGCAGAGATCCTCACGCTGGACGGCAGAACACTGTTCGAAGTTCCGTTAAAGGAAGTGGACAGTATTAAGAAAGTGTACGCGGCCGAGCCATTTATACCTCCCGATGAGTTTTTCTATATAGCTGTGAGTTTAGTTTTAATGTGAATTTCTTTGGTAGACATCGTCGTAAGTGCTTGCTCATCGATTTTAAGTATTTTGTCTTAGAGATTAGAATTTAATGCTTGTATTCTAACCGACTTCAAAAAGGAGGAGGTCCTCAATTCGTCCGAATCTTTTCTTTTCATGGACAAGGTCTTGAATGGTAAAATGGACTGTCCTGGGCTTTTAAATAAAGTTGCCTACCGTGTGGCAGCTAGAAATCTTAGAAACCGTATAACATACATATATCTCGAATTGCCTATTGCTGAAAAGTCTGAATCCTCTAAGTGAATGATTTAATAATTTTTTTCTAACTATAGATAAATGGACGTGATCAACACAACCAAGAGGTGAGGCGATTAGGAACGACTGCCATAAAGCCGAAGTCACCAGGTATGTGGTATTCCTAGTTGACGCTGCTACGCTCCCAAAGGTCACATCATAATGTTTAATAACCTAAAACTTCCTATAAGCTCGTTACAGCTTTGAGTAGGGCGTTTGGCCAAAAACAAACTTTATAATACATACTCTCGTGGGAGAGCCATTCCTCGGCACATATGGGCATTCTATTCGTTTGTTTTGATCACGACCGGTGAGATACCACGGCCTTACAGAAAACAATTGTTAAACAGTTCTTCCGTAGCTTTTGACCGAGTAAGTGAAGTTACCTGAGCCCAAACCCTTTCCCTTTCACTGATTCTTGGGGAGGGATTGAAAGGGACTTGTGACCCTTGAGTTATAGGCGTAAAAAGGCGGTAGTACCAACTTATCATCAGGTAACCAGTCTTCTCGATTGTTTCTTCATATTATACAAAAAACACGCAGACATTTGTTTTAAAATATATTTCTGATAATTTCATCAACCTTTAACAGTCCACTGCTGGACATAAGCCTCTCCTTAGAAAGGAGGTTTTGGCCTACTATACCACGCTGGCCACACGGCTTGGTATAGGGTTTTCCTTCTCTCTGCAGTGCAGTTGTTCTGCGTAGTTTTTCCCTTAGTGGGCTCTTACGACACCCACGGGATGAATAGGGGTGGTGACACTCCGTATTCTAAATCCGTCGCCACATGGTAATTTACCTACAAGATAAATTTATTTTTAATTTAATTTTTATCTTTACAGACGTTCCTCACTTAACAGCTCCGAAAAAGGTGAGGTGGTATATTTATTGTACTTACTATTGTATTAAACATTTATTTACTGTTAAATTTGAATAATATTTATTTCTTCTTGAAAAATATTCTTCATTAGTAATGTTTACTAAATATTATCTTTATTCAAATAAAGTATTATGTTCCTATCGAAGCGGAGGCAGGAGGAGGAAGTGTTTTTACACATAAATCCAAGAATAGGTAATAGTGTTCAGAAAAATAAGAACATACAAATTCATATCTTCAGACTAATTGTTATATGACAATTATGGTGGAATTTTGAGTACCCTGCAAATACTTGTCGATTTATCTTCGCACCTATCGCATCATATTTGTACATCAATTGAAGGTCGAATGCAAGAGAATGCCTCATGGCATTAAGATGCCTTTGTAAAACATGTGCATTTAGTTTTAAATACATTAATATATCATGTGTCGCGTAGGACTTTACAAACACACATGAAACAGACATAAATAACAACCAGTCTCAGAACAACAATTTGTGAATACACAAAGTGTTGTCCCATGTGGAGATCGAACCCATAACACTCCGCTCAATGAGGTGACCGCTTAAACCACTACGCCATCCGTACAGTTTGTTTTGTGATTCACATCAACAGCCTTTAATAGTCCACTGCTGGACATAAGCCTTAGAGAGGAGGTTTTGGCCTACTATGCCACGCTGGACAGACGGGTTGGTATAGGATTTGTGTCAAGTTTTCCTTCTCTCTGCAGTGCTGTTGTTCTGCGGAGTTTTCTCCCTTAGTCTGTATTCTTAATCCGTCACCACACGGACCGGACGGATTTTGTGATTGTTTATTACATTGTCCTTAAAACCCTGAATAGATTAAAATTAATTCTTAAGGTGGAGGCGCACTCGCACTCGCGGGTGGTGCTAACATGTAACGTGGAGAGCTTGGTGCCCGTCTCCACAATGTGGACAAAGGACAACTCCATTGTGAGCCAAAAAACTACTAGTTTGTGAGTACTTGACAATTTTTCTGTTCGCTTTCTCTGTGTTAACTTTGGGCAAAAAGGACAAATGTTGATAATGTCTATTTTATTTACATAGTTAAAATTACTTTTAAAATTAACCATTTTAAACCGTCACATGTGCCACAAGAGTTAGATTACGTCACTAACTAATTAACAAGGAAATAAAAACAGCATAGGTGCACAAACTTTTTTCTAAAAAGATGATTGTAGTACAAAGGCTTATGACATAGTTCTAATTTCTTTTTTTTTTCTTTTTTTTTTAAACATGAATCTTGTTCTTTGAGATTCGCCTGCGTTTATGTCGGTTATTGCCTATGTTACTTGCTGATACTGTATAAAAGCTTTCCATTTGTGAAACAATTTTTAAAATCAGTTTAGTGGTTTAGGCGTCAAAGCGTAACATACAAACAAACTCACTTACACATTTATGTGTGAATACTTATCAATTGGTATATATCTCCGTAGACGAACAACCTCCCTGGACTTGGTGATCGAAGATATGAAAGAGGAACACGTCGGTACGTTCAGCTGCGTCGCACGGAACGTGGCGGGCATCAGTAAAGCTAACACTGAACTTACCATTATAGGTAATATATCATTTTTATACGACTACGCCAAAAAGATGGTTGTTTTCCCAGTGTAGGGGTGAGTAACCAATATTGTACCAGCGCTTAAATTAGACCACTTCAGTATTTTTACCAAAATTGCACAATTTTTTTATCACGGTTCATGAGACACCAGGCTGGGTGACAGACGGACAGATAGACAGACAGACGGACAGCGGAGTCTTAGTAATAGGCTCCCGTTTTACCCTTTGGGTACGGAACCCTAAAAACTTCTGGATTCACGGCTGTAATTATGTTCATGAATTAGGGAATTGCGAGACTAACGGGGGTTTTTAATCAGTATGTTTAGCGACCTGATGCTGTTTAAAATCTGACACATCTGAATATATTATCAATTAACCGCCAAAAACTGCAAAAACTTAGCAAATTACACACACTTTAGACACCCATGTAATGTTATTTCTTCCTTTATAAACGACGAATTGCAGTGGACGCTCCGCAAGTGACGATAGAGCCTCACGACGCTACTGTGGAGGCGGGTGATGACGTCACCATCATATGCACCGTCTACAGTGAAGCTCTGCTCCTGGAGAACAAACTTCTCTTTAACGGAACTCGTACTCATTATGGTAACTATTGAAGAAACATTTTTTTTTAAATAGTATCTAATATTGTTCTGTGGTTGATGACCGTGACTATTGAACTCGATGGTTCGATGAATATAATCATTTTTTTTTGTATCTGAGTGCAATTTAATACTAAAAAATATTGAAGTATAATTTGTATTTTTATTTTGTATTTCCGTGTGGTGACGGATTAAGAATACAGAGTGTCACCACCCCTATTCATCCCGTGGGTGTCGTAAGAGGCGACTAAGGAAGCAAACTACGCAGGACAACAGCACTGCAGAGAGAAGGAAAACTTGAAAGAAACCCTATACCAACCCGTCTCGCCAGCGTGGTACAGTAGGCCAAAACCTCCTTTCTAAGGAGAGGCCTATGTCCAGCAGTGGACTATTAAAGGCTGATGATGATGATGATGATGATAATTTGTATTTTATTCAGTAGGTACTATAAGTATGTGTATCAGCAGTCGGACGGACAGACGGCCGTGTTAGATGTGTCTTGTTGGAGTTCTCTCGCTCGATAGCCTGATTGCGGCTATCGTGCGGAGCGAGAGTGCGTGGAACTCTGCCGTCTCCTTCTGCGAGCAAGTTATGCTCGCGAAGGAGACGGCGGAGCGGGACCGGGAGAGGTTTAGGACTCTCCCGGCCCGCCAGGCCCGGGAACGGGCCAGGTACCGCAGGCGACTCAGGCGCCGGAGGTCGCAGAACGACCTCCTTCCTCCATAAGCGCAGGCCTGGGGGTGACAGGTGAGGCCATCTGTCACCCTAGCAGAAGCAGGCCGGGGTGGCGGCGAGCGCGTTGCGAAGCACGCTCGCTTCCAGGAAGCACGGGGAACATGGGGTTCCCACACGGGGGGGGTCGTCTACTCGTCTGTAGATGACCCGAGGTATGTCGGGGCACCAGGGACTTCCTTTCTAGGGTATACCTGGTTCCCCGGCTATTGGTACCCGAGACGGCGTGCGGTTTTAGTCGGTTCGAGTCCGACATGCCACCGACAGTCACAGTGGTATCCGAGGGGATTTCCGCACGGGAAAAAAAAAAAGATGTGTCTTGTTAAAAACTAGAATTGTTTATTATTAGTAATATTTCAATTTTTATTTTCAGCAATAGATTTAAACAAGGAACCAAGCTTAGAAGGCCTGTACACATACAGGAAAAAATTACACGTGAGTGAAAATGTAACAGGAAAGTACTCCTGTGTCGCTGCCAACAGAGGTATGTTTCACTATTTATTGTTCACTAGGTTTTACTTGCGGCTCTGTCCGCGTGTATATCGGTTATAGCCTATGTTACTTGCTGATAAAGTAGCTTTCCATTGGTGAAAGAATTTTTTAAATCGGTTTAGTGATTTAGGCGGGAAAGCGTAACAAATTCGTTCAGATTTAAGTATAGATTTTTAAATATTTATTTGATTTTGAATGTTGATTTTAAACACTACCGGTCTCCTAAAAGCGTATAGGCGAGGGTTTTAATATGTAAGTAGGCCGTAGGGTTCCGTTACTTAAATAGAAAATAAGGATTCCTTTGCTTAACATACGGAATGTTTGTCTGTCTGTCAGTTTGTCCTTTTTCTGAGGAACACGTGGAGAACGTTTCTCAGGTACTTTTAAACAAATCTGAATACCTCGCGAAAGGTATAATTCTATCCCTTAGAAATTGGCTTTAACGGACTAAGTTAAATTAGTTATTCACAAATAAACCTCGCTATTTCGTATAGTCTGAATCATCGCATCATCACATCAACAGCCTTTAATAGTCCACTGCTGGAGATAGGCCTCTCCTTAGAAAGGAGGTTTTGGCCTACTATACCACGCTGGCCAGACGGGTTGGTATAGGGTTTGGGGTGCTAGGCTAGAAAACCTCCCCGTGGTGCACCCTGGAAACGCTGGCGATCGTACTGTTTCCTCCTTGTCCTCTTGGAGGAGAGGATTATCACCAGCGGCCAATATTCTAGCAGAAGAGGAGGCCGTTCATCGGCTCTCGGGCAAGGCCTGGTCCAGCAGGGTGGGCGTGTCTGCCGGTTGCCCTGCTGGCTCTTCGCTCTTCGGAGCATGGAGGAGGAAACCTCGGTAAAAAACCTGATGGCGGGGCCCTGTAGGGGCCACAGTTTCTCCGCTGACAGCGGTGGAGAAAGGAGGACGGGCTCGGCGTGTACTCACACTACCACCGAGCAGGCAGGGGGACGTAGTCTCCCTGTCAACCGTCGGCATATCGCAATCCCGAGAAGAGCGCTGTGGTTAAGTCTCGCGGCTCAGATCGGGGGCGAGGGTCTTGGCTTAACCGCCCAGACCGCGAGGAAGATAACCTCTCTAAAAAATTCCCCGAATCCCGTGTTCTGGTGCGTGACCAGGGGATGCATGGCTGATGGGAAGTTCAGTCTCGAGCGCACTCCAAGCCGAGGTACCTGCGGACCCCTCGGTTGGGTTAAAAACTTACGCTTGCCCGGGTAATGGGGGATCTCTGCCCGGGTGGACCTTTAGTTCTCCCCCACTCGTGGGATCAATTATGCAATCTTCAAAAACTATTAAGAAACGATCGGAAACAAATATACAACGGAAAAAGGCAAGCAATACGGACACTGAAACGAAGGGTACAAAGGAGAAGAGGAACAGTGGAGTGGATGGGTCGTCCACTGAGGGTGAGGTGGCGTCGGGAACGCCTATCTCGATGGGGCTCCCAGAAGTCAGTCTGACGCTGGTCTCTGGGAGCCGAAGAGCATCAGATCGGCTGCGTTCCGGATCCGCCGTTTCGTCGGATGGGACGGAGGCCATGGAGGCGGAGCGAAGCGACAGCCGGAAACGCGGACGCTCCAGGGACGAGGAAACGGATACGTCCCAAGAAATGATGCCACCAAAGGTGGCAAGCAGCCGCCGAGGGAGGCAACGTAAACCGGCCTCGGCCTCGGTCTCGACCCCGTCAGGCTCCGCGTTCTCAAACGCGGAGTCGTACAGGAACGTACGGGTGGACGGCGAGGCCGTAGCGGAGGAGGAGATCGCGGATCTCCTGCTCAAGGTTCGGGAGCCGGTGAGGGGAAATGCCCCCCAGGCTCCCGTGTCCGTGCAGGAGAGGGCGAAAGCGGCGGTGGCCGTCATTCACAATGTGGCCACCAAGTCCGTGAACCTTAAGGGCTCGTTTGTGAGGGCCCTTAAGGACTCCTCCTCCGCTTTGTCGGAGGTCGTGGAGGGCCTAGTGGGCGACGTCTCGCGCCTACAGGTGGCCAACGAGAGGCTGACGGAGCGGGTGAACGAGCTGAGCGCTCAGTTCGCCCGCTTCCAGGCGAACCTCCCCGAGCGGGAAGCCCCGTCCGCGTCCCAGCCTGCCCCTACCACCAACTCAGGGGCATTTGACTCCCAACTGCGTGAAATCCTCACCGCAGTTGGGAATATGCTGGACGGACGCCTGGCTGGCCTGGAGGCGAGACTGCCCCCTGCGCCGATTGTGCGCCCCCCCGCTCGCGTCGGCACAGCGGCCTAAGGCCGCCGCTCCGACCGCGCTCCCCGTGGTGGGAGGCCGCGTTTCTTACGCGGCGGCGGCGTCTGCCCCTACTCCATCGGCTCCCTAAAAGCCTAGGAGGGGGGCCAAGGCACCGGCCCAGGCGCCGGCCAAGGCACCGGCTAAGGCGCCGGCCAAGGCACATCCCCAGGCGCCGGCCAAGACGGGGCCTAAATCAGCGCCGAGGAGCGGAGTGGCATTCCCTCCGCTCCCCACTCCAACACCCCTGCCGGGCCCCTCCGCACCTGCCCCCTCCAACGAGGGTTGGCAGGAGGCGAGGGGCTCCAAGAAGTCCCGAAGGCGGGCCAGAAGGGCTGCCCAAAAAGCAGCCCAAGCCCTGCCTTCGCCACCGGTGGCAACGGCCTCTGCAAAGAGGCCGCGGAAGCTGCAGCCGCCCAAAACCGCGGCTGTAGTGGTGACCGTGTCCCCGGAGGCGGCTGACGGCGGGCTGTCCTACGCGGCCGTCTTCAAAAAGGCCCGGGACAGTCTCGCCAACGAGTTTGGGACGGTGGGGGTCAGGATGCGCCTCGCCCAGACGGGAGCTCTAGTCCTCAAGTTCCCTGGGGCTGAAGGCGCAAAGACGGCGGACTCCTTCGCTGAGAGGCTGCGGGGAATATTTGCGGCCACAGATGGTGTCAGGGTCGCCAGGCCTACCAAGTGCGCGGAACTGCGCATCTCGGGCCTGGACGACTCAGTGACGGCCGAAGATGTCCACGCTGTAATCCGGGAGAAGACGGGGTGCAGCGCGGACAACGTCAGGGTCGGCACCATCCGCCCCGGTCCAGGAGGGCTTGGCGCCGTGTGGGTCAGCTGTCCCGTAGCGTCGGCCAAAGTATTGGCCGACGCCGGCAGGCTGCTCATCGGTTTCGTGAGCGCCAGGATCACAGTCCTGGCGGCGAGACCGATGAGGTGCTACAAATGCCTAGCATCGGGACACACGCGCGTCAAGTGCGACAGCTGTTTTGACTGCGGCGGACTGTGTTTCCGCTGCGGTCAACCGGGGCATAAGGCGGCAGAATGCTCTGCCGCCCCTCACTGCCCAGCGTGTGCGGCGGGCAATAAGCCCGCCAATCACCAGATGGGGCAGAGAGGCTGCAAGCCTCCCCGCAGTTCTCGGCAGACGTCAGGGGCTAGCCAGTCGACCCAGGCTACCCCCGACGTCAATATTGCGTCGACGTCGTCGCCCATGGAGGAGGTTGTAGAGACGATCCAGTATTGGATCAAGTCTCCAACCTCCTGGTCCAGACGAACCTGAACCACTGTGCCGCGGCGCAGGATCTCTTCCTGCAAACCATGGCACAGTGGTCGATAGCTGTTGCCGTAGTCGCGGAGCCCTATTCTGTCCCTCCCCGTCCAAACTGGATGGGTGACTGGGACGGCTCCGTGGCAGTCGTCGGTTCCACGACGGCTCATTCCCCGCCCTTGTCGCTAAGAGACAAGGGCACTGGATATGTTGCCGTCGAGTGGGGGGGGATCACCATATATAGTGTTTATTTCTCCCCCAACCGGAGTTTGAACGACTTCCAGGTTTTCCTAACCAGCTTGGAGACCTCGATACGGCGACTAGCGTCTGGGCACGTCCTTGTGCTGGGGGACTTCAACGCAAAGTCCATTGCGTGGGGTTCCCCCAGGACGGACGCAAGGGGCGAGGCCGTAGAGGAGTGGGCGGCCTCGGTGGGCCTCTGTCTTCTCAACAGAGGCTCCACCAACACGTGCGTGCGACAGCAGGGGGGTCGATAGTGGACCTCTCGTTCGCTACCCCTGCCCTCGCCGCACGAGTAAGGAACTGGCGTGTCCTGGAAGAGGTTGAGACGCTCTCGGATCACCTGTATATCCGATTTGAGCTCTCCCGGACCCAGGACTCCAGTAGGGGTCACGTGGCGCGGCGTTTATCCCGCTTTTCGCGGTGGGCTGTTGCCAGACTGAACCGGGACCTACTAGAGGAGGCAGCCATAATTCACTCGTGGCTGTCTCCTCAGGCTCCGACCGAGGAGGTCGACGTGGGGGCTGGTCGCTTTCGCGATGCGATTACGCATGTATGCGATGCGGCCATGCCCCGCATTCGAGGTCGTCGGCCTCCAAGGAAGGAGGTCTACTGGTGGTCCCAGGAGCTGGCGGACCTCCGTGCGGCCTGTACACGTGCCCGGAGGTCCTACACGCGCAGTCGGCGGCGTCACCGTGGAGACGGTGAGGAGGACCGGCTTCATGAGGAGTACCGACGGGCGCGGAAAACTCTGAAGCTGGCCATTAGCCGCGCCAAAGAAGAAAAGAGACAGGAGATGCTGGAGGGTCTTAATCGTGACCCCTGGGGTCGCCCTTATCGCGCGGTGCGACAAAAGCTCCGCGCGTCGGGCCCCCCCCTTACGGAGACTCTCCAGCCCAGCTTCCTGCGAGAAGTGGTTGAGGGCCTTTTCCCACAACGAGCGGAACACACTCCCCCGTCGATGGCCTCCCTGGCCGGAGACGACGGGGAGCACGGGGAGGATAATGTTCCGCCCGTCCGGGATTCGGAGGTAGGGGCGGCTGTTCTACGGATCCGTTCCAAGAACACCGCCCCTGGGCCAGACAGGGTACCGGCCCGAGTGCTGGCCCTGGCCCTCAACCACATGGCAGACCGCCTCGGGGAGGTGTTCGACGCTAGCTTGGCGTCGGGACGCTTCCCTGAGTGCTGGAAGAGCGGGAAGCTGGTCCTATTAAGGAAGCCGGGACGGCCTGCCGATTCGGTCGCGGCCTATAGGCCCATCGTGCTGCTGGACGAGGCGGGCAAATTGTTTGAGAGGGTTCTTTCTGCCCGCATCGTCCGGCACCTCTGCGAGGTGGGCCCCGATCTGTCGGACGCCCAATTTGGTTTTCGGGCGGGGCGTTCGACAGTCGACGCCGTGTTGCGCCTGAGGGCCGTGACCGAAGAGGCCGTGAGCTGTGGCGGCGTGCTGTTGGCGGTGTCATTAGACATCGCCAACGCATTCAATAGTCTGCCATTCAGCTGCATCAGGGAAGCACTCCACTATCATGGGGTGCCAAAGTACCTGAGGCGGCTAGTGGCAGACTATTTAGAGGAGCGTACCGTCGTGTACGAGGACCGAGAAGGCAATCTGAGGTGTCGGCCCATGTCGTGCGGTGTTCCACAGGGGTCTGTTCTTGGACCCCTCTTGTGGAACATAGGGTACGACTGGGCCCTTCGCGCCGATTTACCCCCCGGGCTGGGTGTAATCTGTTACGCAGACGATACCCTGGTGACAGCCCGGGGGGCAAACTTCCAAGAGGCGGCGCGCCTGGCCACAGGGGGAGTCTCCCTGGTGGTCGGGCGCATTGAGGCGCTGGGCTTACGGGTGGCCCTAGATAAGACGGAGGCCCTGTTATTTCATGGGCCCCGTCGTGGTCCACCCCCTGGCGCCTCAATCGTGGTCAACTCGGTCCTCGTACCGGTTCGGGCCCAGATGAAATATCTGGGCCTGATCCTCGACGGGAGGTGGCTCTTCGACGAGCACTTCCGACAGCTTGCTCCAAAGCTGGTCGGCGCTGCGTCTGCCCTAGGGCGACTTTTGCCCAATATGGGTGGACCCAGCGTCGCGACAAGACGGCTGTACACGGGGGTTGTCCGGTCAATGGCACTGTACGGTGCACCGGTGTGGGCGGCGGCTCTGACCGCCCAGAATAGGGTACGCCTCTGGCGCCCTCAGAGGGTAATGGCGGTCAGAGCCATACGCGGTTACCGCACCGTTTCGATAGAGGTGGCATGCGCGTTGGCCGGAACTCCCCCGTGGGGATTTGGAGGCGGAAGTGCTCGCCGAAGTTTATCGGCGAGTGGCTGACTCCCGGGCGGAGAGCGGATTTCGCCCTCCGCCCGAGGATGTGCGCGAGTGGCGCGAAGCCGCTCGCCGAGCCACGATGGCTCGTTGGTCGTTCCGGCTGGAGACTCCACGCGCTGGCTTCGCCGCCGTGGAGGCTCTCCAGCCGGTCATCGCCGAGTGGGCAGGGCCGCAGCACGGGACCCTTTCCTTCCGGCTGACGCAGGTGCTTTCCGGGCACGGTTGCTTCGGAAAGTACCTGCACTCGGTCGCTAGGAGGGAACTGAGTCCCGCCTGCCACCACTGCGACTGTAGTGAGGACTCGGCCCAGCACACGCTGGCGGTCTGCCCCGCATGGGCGGCGCAGCGCCGGGCCCTCACTGCAGTCATCGGAGTGGATCTCTCGCTACCGGCCGTAGTACGGTCCATGGCCGGTAGCGACAGTTGTTTTACCGCGGTCGCAACCTTCTGCGAGGTAGTAATCTCGCGGAAGGAGGCGGCGGAGAGGGCCCGGGAGGACGACCTCCACTCGGACCCGATCCGCCGCCGGCGAACCGGGTGGCGGAGGCCCGCCTATCACAGCCTCATGCCGCCCTGAGTGTGGCCGCGGGTGGACGGGGTGGGTTTCCCCTCCACCCGCATTAGTTTGGCCAGCCGCGAGGGGGCGGCGTCCGCGTGTGCCGGACGTCGCCTAAAGAGAGGAAAATATATTGAGACGTAGCCCGCACCAGGAGCGGGCTGGCGCTAGGAGGGGTCCGGATGTCTTAACAACAGCTGTTCCCGGATCCCTCCTGTTACAGGCGCAGAGTGGCACACCGTGTGGTTTTAGTCGGTTCGAGTCCGACACACCACCCCGCCGCAAACCCCGGAGGGGTGACGGTCCGAGGGGATTTCCACACGTTAAAAAAAAAAAAAAAAAAAAAAGTGTTTGTGTCAAGTTTTGCTTCTCTCCGCAGTGAAGTTGTTCTGCTTAATTTTCTCCCTTAGTCGGTTCTTACGACACCCAATGAATAGGGGTGGTGACACTCTGTATTCTGAATCCGTCACCACACGGATAGTCTGAATAACACACGAAATATATACACAATGCATAAAAAAAAAAGTCTTCATGAAAAAAAAAGTGTTTTTCTTAAATTGTCTTACCTTTCTGTAAGATTTTGTATACTATATTGTACATTTATTTATGTTTTAGGAGGTAAAAGAGAACAATCGACACATATAATAATAAAGAGGAACACAACAGCTCAAATATTAGGCCCTCACACACTGTCGAAGCTGATCCACTCAGACCTCCAACTGGTGTGTGCGGTGGATAACACCAACTTGATCGTGTGGCGAGCCCCTAACAACACTGCGGTCAGGAGTGTTGCTGTGAACGGGACTTATAACGATGTTCTTGATGTTAGGAACGTGACCAGCGATGGCACTTGGACTTGCACTGCTTTGAGGGGGTCGATGAAAGGTAAGACTAATATTTTAGTTACTACACACATCCTTAGAGTGGAAACCGATATTAGGCAGACATAGTGCAGAGCGCGCTGCTGCACGATGGACCGGCGACTTGAGGAAAGTGACTACCTAAGACATGAATGGGGGAGGGGGGGGAGGACTTCGTTTAGCAGTGGACGGTGATAGCCTGATGAGATACAGAACCTAACATCTATTTACCCCAGAATGGGTAGTCAGGGGCATATTAAACGTATGAGGATGTCTATTAAGATTTTACTCCTGACAGTTTGATGAAAATTGGTGTGAAGTTATACAAACGCTTTTAATTTATTTAATTATTGAGCCGGGTCAGTTTGGACCAGTCAAACCTTTGGGTGTTGCAAAGCTGTGTGTGTATTTCTGGGACAGGTAAAGATGAGACTGAATTAAGAAATGTTACAATGGCAGAAAAGAAAAAACCTACAGATATATAAGTACTAGGTATACATACATGTAGTTTTTAACTTTTTCTTATGAAGATGCAATAGGTCGTGCTGGTGAAGGACGCATAGCTCTACCTCGGACTGGCTGCTTTGCGAGAAAGTTCAGAAGAGTTCTCTAACCAACCATAGACTTAGTTCGTAAACAAATTTATTTTTAATTTAATTGACTGGCCTGTTGGTCTAGTGGTTAGTGACCCTGCTTGTTAAGCTAGAGATCGTGGGTTCGATTCCCACCAAGGGCAAAATTTGTTATGTATCTGGGTGTAATTTATCTATAATATTTATGTATTTAGAAACTTATGAGTGTGTTTATCAACAGTCTGGTACATGATCAGATGTGTGACCCTGTGTGAGATGTGTGCGATATTCGCAAATAAGCAGATTCTGTAGTTATAATATTTTTGTAGATTTGACCAGTCTAGTGGTGAAAAAGATTTTGTAAAATTTATGAATATTAAATTTACAGGATCAGATTCCGTAAAAGTCACTGTATTGATAAAACCCGTGGTGAAAATAGTTGGTAATAAGAATATCACAGTGCTGAACGGCACTGTGGTAGAAGTGACCTGCCTCGTCGAGGCCAAACCTGCGCCCAGGATTCTTTGGCATCGGGAAACTGAGATATTCTTGAAGAACACTGTTAGTATGTGATATTTCTAGGCATGTATTTAAAAATGTATAAAGTTTATCTTTAATATTATGTAAATATTTAGAAATGTTTTTTTATAAATATATGTGCCCGATTGATCTAAAAACTACATCCTTCGGGGATAAAGACGGGGATAAGTGTATGTATATATTTAAAAGATGTTGATTAAGTAGTTTTTGTGTTGTGGCCGGAGGACAGGGCCATCTAGTATCTAGTAGGGCACAACCTGAGATTATGGTTCTTAATTCTGATACTTACTTGCAGTGCCATCTAGTGTCGAATATCGGCAGATTATAAAAATTTGTAGATGCCTTATTGTACGTGGTTCTGTCTGGAACATTCTATCGCATCTTCGGGATTAGTCTAGTAATTTCGATAGCTCTATAGATGCGGAGCGTGTTAGCCGTGCGGGACAGTAGTAGTATTGTTTTATGACACAGCGAATTAATATCGGAACGAATTTCCAGTGCGATTAACGAGTTATATAATGATTTCTTGTTCGTAATAGTGAGTGTTTGTAAAAACAATCCAATTAAAGTAATTAACAGACAATTTTTATTTATTATATACTTCTCTCGTAACAATATTTAGTAACGCCTCGATCAAACCCCGCCCCCTGACTGGCAAAGAAATTATCATTTCGTACAAAAGCTTGGAACCTGGTTGGTCGGGAGGCGGAGCTTGACCGATGCATCACTATTTTCTTAACGCGAATCGACTATAGAATGTCTTCATACCATTATCGCGGTGTGTACTTATGGTACTATTTGATTAACTGTTTCAGAAGTTCAAACAGTCTCGATACCTTAAATGAGTTAACTATAAAAATGTATTAAAATTATACTATTTCTAGATAACAGAAATAAAACCGACCGTATACCAAAGCGTGTTAACCCTCAACTCAAGTGCTGAGTCTGTCAATGGCACGTACTTCTGTTTCGGGGAGAACACAGAAGGCATTCACCACGACAGCATCACTGTCAATGTTAGACGGAAGATGACACTAGTGAAACGGTTCACTGGTAAGAGTGTTTTTTTTTAGTGTATCAACGAGGTCGGAAGGCCAATTCTCATAATAAAAGTTCGGTCTCAATTGAGTTCCGATCAACTTTCGATGTCAGTAGTAGTAAAGTAGTTTATCCCCGCCTTTATATAGATTACGATACCGTCATTTTGAATATCCACCTTGTGAGTATAATGAGAATTGGAACCAGTTAGAATAGGAACATCAGATATTTTTGATCATCGGTATTCTTTTAAGACAATAATGTCGCAGTGCACATTTATTGAAACCAAAAAAGCTTGTAATTCATCAAAGTTCTTATTAATGTTACGTATGTTAATTTCATAACTGAACATTTAAGACATGTTCGACACATTCATCGGTTGAGCACTGAAAAATGAATCTAGAAAATGTATTTATTTAAAAATATGTAAGTGTGTTTATCAGTAGTCTGGTTACTATAGCACAGGCTCTGCCCAGTTTGGGATAAGACTGCCGTGTATGAGATGTGTGACATTATTATTATTATTAAATAAAAAAATATAAATAAATAGTTCAAGTCGACCAAACTCATTTACTCTGACTGTTTCAGATCAAAGCGTCCAACTATATTACCAAATAGAACTACACTGCGTAGTTGACTCCTATCCCCCTGGTGTCACTAACTGGTACCACAACGGCACATCACTAGTAACGAATGACAGCGTTCAAATATCTGAGGACAACACTACCGTGTCTTTGATGAAAGTGGATTTTAATGACCTCGGAGAGTACATTTGTGAGGTGGAGAATGAGTATGAGAAACTGGAGGTAAAAGGCACTGTAAGTGCGGCGGGATTAGGTAAGTTTTTTCAATGAACATTTTGTATTTTGTTTTCTACACTCAAAATAAATAATTAAGCCGTCGGGCAATAAAATAACTTAAAGTATGAAAATTGTCGTTCATTTAAAATTTAACGCTTTTATATTATTTTATGATATGGTAACTCTAGTGCGATGCTGACGGAAGGTGTTGCTATTTACTTTATAATTTGGTTTACCATTTAAGTATGTTATTTTATATGTAGTGTTTTCATAATTTGTAATATTTTTCATCGTAAATTTCAGCGCGTCCAGTGTTAGATAAAGAACCAGTGACTCTCTATGCGATTGAGGGAAGATCTACTATAATCACATGTAGGTGAGATTGTGTATCGTTAATCGTTATATTTATACATTCAGGGGTTGCCTTTAACTTTAAAAACAAGCAATTTTAAATTGTACAGTATATTTTATAATTACGCGCCAACTTTTATACTTTTTTTAAATTTAATTACTTATAATCTAAGTTCGTCTGACTCAAATTTTAAAGAAAATACTCCAGCTCAAAAATAGCGCTTCACAATTCATTATAATTTAATCCGATAAGAGTGGTGAACCTTGGTGAATCAAGTAGAGGAGGGGAGGTCTGGTCTTCGGGAACCTTACTCATATGGCGACTTCCATATACAAAGTAACAGAAACATACTACAGCGCTATCTAACGAAGACACAGCGAACTACGGAGTAACTCCTGAATGAGAATTTCTAATCCTGTATCGCGATATAAAGAATTCTCTCGCCGATTAACATTTATACAACTTCCCAACATCAGCCGTTGGCGTGAGGCGTGACATCGCTCCGGTATAGTCAGCCCATCTGTGGCAATGCATAGCTCTGCCACGGTGGAACGGTTTTCTTACGTAGATCGCAGATATTTACTGCTTTTATCTCTTTTTAGGGTCCTCGAGGGTTCTCCAGAACCTACAATAACTTGGCTACTGCCACGGCCTGAACTCAGGATCAATGGGTCTTTTGAATTCTCGACACCAATTAAAGATGTAGATGTAAATTATGATAGATATGAAATGTCTATACCTGAAGTGACCGAAGAACATGCAGGAGTCTACCGTTGTTGGGCTCACAATGTGATTGGTGAAGATTTATATGGTGTTACTCTTTTTGTCCTATGTGAGTTGGTCTCTGAGGTTTCTCTATTTTTAGTTTCTCGAAGATATTTATTTGTAGTATTAGATATTTATTTTTGATATCGATGATTGACATTTAGGTAAAATTAGTTGCCCTGACGGATTTAATAATTCATCTACGTATAGCTTAAACCGCTGGGCTGCAAAACTTAAATTTTGGCAGCCGATGTGTTTCATGTTGTCATTTTTGGAAAATTCACCCCTAAGAGGTAAAATAAGGGGTGAACGGAACTAGAAGTTCGTCATCTCCAAAGTTAAACCACGAAATGAGAAATAATTACGTGAGCGAAGCCACGAGCAATTGCTACTGCCTAGATAAATTATCAAAGATATGAAAACATAAAAAAAAATGTCTTACTATTAGCCATTAAAGTTCTTTTCGCTGTCACGTTGGTGTGTGTCACAATAAACACACACAAACACAATAATTGAATTACAATTATTTGTTTACTATTTGACAAAACAGAGATTGTTGCTTTTGTGTGTGTTGATCTCTGACTTTAGTCACACTAAAACACGATTTCAAACAATTTTAATTTTTTTATGAAATAAAGAGAGTTTGAGTTTGAATAAAGTTGGCCCGTTTGTTTTAGTTGTTTTGTACTGCGACTTTATGTAGACATATAAAATTAATTGATCTTAGTTTGTATGTAATTTGGAAATGATCAAATAATAAAGAGTCGATGAATAGTTCCTGATTATGACTCCCTATTGGGCTCTAGGTGTCATCGAAATACATCCCCGAGTTTGGTCGTGTTCCTTAATGAATATATTCAAAGAAAAAGAAATGAAAATATAAGTTTTTTGATATAGTTTACTAGCGATCATAAAATTTTATTACTTTTTGTCCATTGCTTTGTAAATACAACTTTAAGTCATGCACGTAAGGTTGAATTTGCAAAGAAATATGGTTTTAATAAACTATTACTACTTACGCATAATTGGGGACAGTTTAGGCGTTACTTTTGTTCGAGATTATGCATCTAGTTGTATTGTTGATCAAAGATGTAAAAGATAAAAATGGTAACTGCGAGTTATCCTTATTCATATACCATCGCCGGTTTTTTTTTTTGACAGATTTTGCCAAAACGTGTTTTTTACGACTTCACATTATAAATCTTTGAAATTCTTGGTTTTCCTCTGCTATAATATGCCGTGTGGTGACGGATTAGAATACAGAGTGTCACCACACCTATTCATCCCGTGGGTGTCGTAAGAGCCGACTAAGGGAAAAAACTACGCAGACTGTTTTTCTGCGTACTGCAGAGACTTCAGAGAGAGGTAAAACTTGACACAAACCCTATACCAACCCGTCTGGCCAGCGTGGTATAGTATGCCAAAACCTCCTTTCTAAGGAGAGGCTTATGACCAGCAGTGGACTGTTAAAGGCTGTTCATGATGATGATGATGATGATACATATTAACCCGCCTCTTGAATCACTGTCTCTGCTAGTTAAAATCGCATTTAAATTCGGTGCGTAGTTTAAAAGATCTAAGTGTACAAGAAAAAAAAGCGACTTAATTTCATACTAAAATAAAAATATCTGCTAGATCCGCCGAAACTTCTTAATGACACGAAGGAAAGTGAAAAACCTCAAACAGTAAAAGTGGGAGAGAGAGTGAAGTTGTCGTGTGAAGCGAGTGGAGTACCTCCGCCAGTCACTGTGTGGACTAAAGGTGGACGACCAATTATGTTTAGTGACAAATTGTAAGTATATTTTAAATAATTGCTTGCTTCATTCATTCATAGTTTTGGTCAAATCAAACCTCGACTCACACATCTCACACACGGCTGTCTGAGTTTCTCATACTCATTCTCCACCTCACAAATGTACTCTCCGAGGTCATTAAAATCCACTTTCATCAAAGACACGGTAGTGTTGTCCTCAGATATTTGAACGCTGTCATTCGTTACTAGTGATGTGCCGTTGTGGTACCAGTTAGTGACACCAGGGGGATAGGAGTCAACTACGCAGTGTAGTTCTATTTGGTAATATAGTTGGACTCTTTGATCTGAAACAGTCAGAATAAATGAGTTTGGTCGACTTGAACTATTTATTTATATTTTTTTATTTAATAATAATAATAATCTCACATATCTCACACACGGCTGTCTGATCCCAAACTAGGCAGAACCTGTACTATGGTAACCAGACTGCTGATAAACATACATATATATTTCTAAATAGATAAATGTAATATCTAAATCACATCCACACACAGAACAAATGATTCTGCTGGTCACACAATTATTTGTCCTGGGCGGGAATCGAACCCACGACCTCTGACTTAGCAGTCATGACTACTTACCACAAGACCAACAGACCCATCAAATATATTTTTTCTCATCTGTCTATTTGTAATTTTTAGATCAGTAACAAATAGTAGTGAGCTAGTGATAGAAGCTGCATCCGCAGATGAATCGGGCACTTACACGTGTAACGTGACCAATACGGTAGGGTCTACTCACAAAAATCTTACTTTGGTTGTCTATGGTAAGTATATTATATGTCTGTTTGTAATATTAAAATAACCGCTTTTTACTAAATGCATATGTATGTTTACACGGTACATATGCCAAAATAACATTTTTTACAATTTTTGTCTGTCTGTCTGTCTGTTTGTTCCGGGTAATCTCTGGAACGGCTGGACTGATTTCGACGAGACTTTCACTGGCAGATAGCTGATGACATAAGGAGGCGTTGCCCGCGGTTATAACAACAAACGCGGCCAACGCGGTCTCAGCTAGTTGCTAAATATAGTCGTTAGTGAATAGTTTAACGTAGCAAACGCAAAATGAACTGTCATGTAATATTAAATAAATATCAGTTTTACTTACTTCAATTCGCGCTCTTTATTTGTACTGTCTGAAAACAACTTCATTCCCAAGGATTATAGCCGTTGTGCAAGTGGGTAGCCACGCAAGAACCCAGCAGAGACTCTGTAATGTTACGCATTGGGCAAACGCCTAAAATAATACTTTGTAAACGGCAGGATGATGATGATATAATTGCCCAAAATCAAATGTTTAAACGCGGTCCTTGGACCGTTTATTTTTAAAAGTTTTACAATTTTTTTACAATATACTTAAAATTTGAAAACAGGCGATTTTAATTTTTTTAAATTTCCATATACCCAATGTCATTCTCACAATTAATACGAATATACCTTAAACGCCAAAATCCATTCAGCTATTTAAGCTACAAAGCGACCCAAAGAAATAAACATACATACACTCGAAAATCATAACCCGCCTGCTGGCCTCTGACAAAGCAGGGATAATGTTTGATCACAAAATTACTTACAATCAACCCCAACTTGTACAGACCCACCAACGATATCGTCCTTACCCTCTCCAACACGCGAGGTGTTACAAGGCCAGCTGGTGGAACTGCCGTGTGACGCTCAAGGTTTGCCCACACCCTTGGTGCGCTGGACATTGAATAACAACCCGATTGATAATAAGAAACATGACGATCATTATGGACTGAGGTAAGCATGTTTTGCGTTGCATTGTTAATTAATATAATTGTTTTACAGCTGAGGAGGAGCTACTGAGGATATAAGCTTCTTCTTCAAATCTCAGTGCCCTCAATCAAGGAGCGAGAAAATAAGTCGTGATGGTATCAGATACTGGCCCACAAACATTAAAATTTAGACAAAATTGTAGTCCAAGTGAGTTCGTTAGTCTTTAACGACACACGGAATAAGTAGAACAAAATTTCATCAATTAAATAGAATAGATAATGATTATAGAAATTAACATTTGAGAAACCCCCGACACCCATCTTGGATTCGAAATTTGTCATAGTGTATAGCATTCTACTAGTCAAGCCCTTTCATTTGATACCCATATTGATGGAGTTGTGAAAAAATATGAATGCTGCCATTTTGTGGCGGCGGCCATCTTGGACCAGTTTTCATCAAACAAAGTTAAGAACACTCCCGACTAATTCACCTTTCAAACAAAAAAGACAATATCAAAATCGGTTCATCCGTTCGGAAGCTACGATGCCACAGACAGACACACTCACACACAGACACCTCAGACTTATATCACCCCGTCGTCTTGCGTCGGAGGTTAAAAATTAAATTTTATGAAGAAACCACAATTATACCACAGCCTCATAAAAAACCGGTGTTACGCAATTCTTACGTTGTTTTTTACTGAATGAGTGCAGTTACTGGCAGTTCAAAACTTCCCCCCTCCTAATTCAGGAGCTCCAATTCCACACAGTAATCCAGTATTTGTGGGCTGGTCATAATTCCCTCCTCCTCCATCTTATATGTGTTCGTAATCACCCGTAATTCTAAAGCACTTGTGTCTCCTAAGTTGCATTTGTCTGTGAGTGGCGGTAGTCACTTACTACCAGGTAACTGGACATGGAAATTATTGATACTTTTAAATCATATTTGATGAAATGATTTGTTTTAGACACAGCGATTTCAAATGTGACTGTGATTCGTCAAAGACAAATTTACTCGTAAATTTCATTAAAATCAAATTAAGTAGCAGTGGTTTTGTAAATCAGTCACAGATGTAATGATATGATTTATCAAATGTGATTTTCATTTTAATTCATCCCTAATAAAAAATCATTTATTATTTCCAGGTTCGTAGCGAACCTGTCGGACTCGGGCGAGTATACTTGCACAGCTACGAACGAACATGGAAACGCTTCTGTGTCCTATACTCTTCGTGTTGGTGGTAACTTTTATCTTATTAAATAAAAGCTTTTGTCAATAAGTTCATTAATTAGAAATCATGTTCATTAGGAATATATTACGATTTATATCACAAATATGTGGTTTCTGTGATTGGTCAAGTTAAGTCAAGTTTTAGAAACCAGACGGGGTCGAGCTTCAAATGATGAAGGGTCTTCCGCTATCGGTTGGGTTGGGTATCCCCGTAATAAAAACCTTGAGACTCTTTAATTAATATGAATACCGCATGCGAGAGCTTTTATTCGCACTTAAATATTCCTTGTACGCCATTTTGCCTCCCTCACAACGTATACGCGTACGTAGGTACACGTTTTATCATAATTGGTAGAGTACTTAAAACGTGATTTCGTAACAAATTTAAATTGACATTTATAATTCCTATGTTTAAAATAAAATATTCCACTTATATCATTAAGTGTAACAGCTTAAAGTACAACATTCATTGTCCTATATTAATAATTTAAAGTCTTTAATATCTTTAAATCAACATTAAAATGATTTGAGAATAGCTAGGTATGACGTCACACCTTAGTATTTCATACAAAATGTACCGAGTCTATCGTTCTGACGTTTAATAAAAATATACTGATTTATCTTGACATTCATCTACCCCATTGTTGTATTTACAAAACATTTATGAGTAGTTCATTTGATTCAAGTTTTTTTTTGAAATTTTGGCATCAATGTTGACATGGTTCGTCTTCAGGTTTGGCCCTGGAGGTGGATGGTAGTAACTCTTAATGTGGATACCCTAAGGAATTGTCTGATTAGTTTTCTTATCAACACAAATAAATGATAAATTGAAAGTAATAATTAGCCTGAAGAGGGCTTTAGAGCGGCGCCTAGGTACGCCTATGCGTATAAATAATCTACAGATTATTTTCTTTTCGCAGTTTTAATTAAAAGCAAAAATAAATTGTTAAAGACTACATTTGATTGCCGATAATAATATAATTTGATGGTCTATTATACAGGCATATTCGCCAACTGAATCTGATAAAAAAGAAGACTTAAAAACAACTGAGAAATTCTATAAGGACCTCCAAAACGTCATTGATAACGCACATAAAAATGTCATCGTAATGGGAGACTTCAATGGACAGATTGGGATTCAAAATAGTGGGGAAGAAAACACTATAGGAAATTATGGGCATGGAAATAGAAGCAGAAACGGAACAAGACTAGTAAACTTTGCATTGGAAAACAGATTAAGTATTTTAAACAGTTTTTATAAAAGGAACCCATCAAAAAAATGGACATGGATCTCACCCAATGGACAATACAAGAACGAAATCGATTTCATTATGTCCAATAATAGAAAAGCCTTCAAGAACGTATCTATCATAAACAATTTAAACTTCTACACAGATCATAGGATGGTTCGAGCTACGATGTCAGGAATGTTAAAGAAAACAAGACGATTCCAAAATAAACACATAGCGGTACAATACACAGGTGACCCTAAACTATTACTTAATAATCTTCAAACATCTCTAGATGCCGTGGAATTAGAGAAGAAAGAATATCCATCAATACAAGAAAAGTACAACCTATTACTAAATCAACTAAAAACAGTAACCAGAAAAACAAACGAAAATATCAAGAAAGTAGTCCCACTTACAATCAAGCAATTATTGCAAGAACGGAAGGAACTTCTACAACAAAAGAAAAATAAAGGAAACCGTCAAAGAATAACAGAAGTAAGCAAAAAGATCAGCGAAGAAATTAGAAAAGAAAGAAAAACTAAAAGATCAAACACAATGAAAAGTTACATAGAAAAAACAGGAGGAATAAAAAAGGCATTGAAGGAATTAAACTACAAAAAGGACTGGATACCAAGTATGAAAAAAAAAGATGGTAATAGTACAGGTAAAAGACTCGACATATTAAAAATCGCTACAAAATTTTACCGAAACCTATACCAAAGTAAAAAAGAGAAAGAAACTATAAAAGAAAACGACGAAACAACCGATGAAGAATATATTCCGGAAATAATGAAGGAAGAAACCATAAAAGCAATAAATACACAAAAACTCGATAAAGCTCCTGGATCTGATCTTGTTACAAACGAACTATTAAAAGCAACGTTACCAGTAATCGCTCCAAAACTTACAGATATATTTAATGAAATTATCAATACGGGAAAGATTCCAGAGGATTGGACAAAATCTACAATTATACTACTTCATAAAAAGGGCGACAAAGGAGATATATCAAATTACAGACCAATCAGTTTAATGTCCAATATTTACAAAGTGTTTTCAAAAATAATATTATCTAGAATCACAAACACACTCGAAGAAAACCAACCCAAAGAACAAGCTGGATTCCGTAGAAATTTTTCAACAATAGACAACATCCACGCCCTTAGACAAATACTCCAAAAATATAAAGAATATAACAAAATTTACTGTATAGGGTTTGTAGATTTCAACAAGGCATTCGACACACTTGAACATAGATTTATCTGGGACGCACTGGAAAGACAAGGCGTACATGCAAAATACATTCGAACACTGAAAAACGTATACACAAAAAGTACCGCACAAGTAAAGCTAGAATCTATAGGTGAAGAATTTCCGGTTGAGAGAGGGGTACGCCAGGGAGACCCAATCTCACCAAAAATATTCTCAGCTGTCCTGGAAATGATATTCAGAAATCTGGATTGGACGAATAAAGGACTAAATATAAATGGCGAAAATCTGAGTCACCTACGTTTTGCAGACGACCTAATCCTATTTTCGGAAAACCCGAAAACCCTAGAGACAATGTTGCAACAGTTAGCGAAAGAGAGCGAGAAGGCAGGCCTGTCAATGAACCTTTTTTTTTTTTTTTTTTTATTTTTTTTTTTTAACGCGGGGAATGCTTTTCGCACCATACCCTCCGTTGGGGAAACGTAGGGCGTGTGTGGGACTCCCGGAGAACCGGTCTACCCACTAAACCCCGCGGCGGCCTACCTCGGCAGTCGGGAGGAGCTCCAGGAACGCATCGGCGACTTCTGGAGTCCTCCCTGCCGTACCTCATGTCTGAGGCACATCCCGGAGTGATCGAAGTCACCCTGGGGCAGGACGCTACCGCGCCTCTCACTGTTCTACAGAGTAAAAGGCGCAACAGCATCCCGCCTTAGACGACAGCCCCCGGCCGCACCGGAGTGTCATCTGTCTCGGGTCGTTTACAGCGGTCACATCGCCCCAAGATGTGGCCGCAGCGACCCTTAGGCGGCGATTGGGGAGTTAGCGACCTCTGCCACGTCCCCTTCGCCGCCTCCTTCGAGCGGGATCGGCCCTCTCCCGATCCCGCTCTGCGGCCTCCTTTTGGAGCATAACGTCCTCGCAGAAGGAGACCGTGGCTGCCCATCCCTCGAAACTCGCCAGCATTGCCGCGATTAATGCTGGCGGTGACAGGTTTCGTCCGATCTGTCCGACCAGGACTCGACGTTCGGACTCCCATGCAGGGCAGTCCTCCAGAGTATGCTGGGCGGAGTCCCGGTCGGACCCGCAATGGTGGCATTGTGCCGTGGCCTCCCGTCCAATTCGATTCAGATACTCACCGAAGCAACCATGCCCGGTAAGCATCTGAGTCAATCGGAAGGTGACACAGTCGTTCCTCCCTACCCACGCTTCGAAGCTCGGCAGAACGGCTCCGACGGCGCGTTGGCTGGCACAGCCCTGGATTACAAGCCGTGCCTGCCACGCTCGCAGAGCCTGGGTATGCGCGTTCCGCCGCAGCATTCCGGGCTCATGATCCGGCGCGGCCTCCTCACCATTCCGACCGACAGAACGGACTTGGTCATAGACCGTCGCGTCCATGTCGGCCAGAATGTCGAAGGGTGGATATCGCGCCAGGACCGTCGCCGCCTCAAACGAGATGGTACGATAACCCCGTACGACCCGTATGGCCATCAACCGCTGTAGGCTTCTGAGTAGAGCCTTGCAGCGGGAGGCACCCGCCAAGTCATTAGACCAGACGGGCGCCCCATAGAGGACCATGGATCGCACGACCCCCATATAGAGACGGCGAACTTCTTCCCGTGGTCCCCCGAGATTGGGCAGCAGGCGATGCAGTGCACCCGCTACCCCGCGCACTCGGGGGACTAATCGCACGAAATGCTCTTCGAAGCTCCACCGACTGTCCAGGATGAGGCCTAAGTACTTCATGTACCGGCCCACCTGGACTTCAGCGTCACCCACCCGGAGGCATGAGCTGGGTGGTTCCTGGCGCTTACGAAGGCCATGGAACCATATCGCCTCAGTTTTCTGAGGCGCCACCTTCAGACCCAGCTCATGAATCTTTCCCACCACACAAGCCACCCCATGCTCGGCGAGCCGAAGCACCTCGTCGAAGTGTGACCCTCTAGCCAGTATTAAAGTGTCATCAGCATAGCAGACAACACTAAGGCCAGAGGGCAGACTGGTGCGAAGGACCACATCATATGCGAGGTTCCACAACAAAGGGCCTAAAACAGAGCCTTGGGGAACCCCGCAATACACCTCTCTCCGATTTTCCACCCCGCCCCGACCGATAAACTTCACTGTCCTATCGCGCAGATAGGCCCCAATGACGGCCCGCAGGTAGAGCGGCACCTCATGAAATTCAAGGGCCGCCCTAATCGCCTGCCAGGGGAGGGTGCCGAACGCGTTAAACGATATCAAGGCTAACCGCCAAAGCCACCCCCCCTGATCGGACTGCCGACTCCGACATGGAGCGAACGCACCTGATAGCGTCTCCACTGTCGAACGCCCCCGTCGGAATCCCAAACTGGCAGTCCGACAGATCAGGGCCTACTCGCGACAGGTGCCCGCTGATACGATCGGAGATAACCCTCTCAAAGAGTTTCCCCGACTCGTTCAGCAGGCATATCGGTCGGAACGCAGAGGGAGAATCTGCAGTCCTACCTTCCTTTTTCAAGAGCACCAGTCTCGCTTCTTTCCAGCCGAGTGGGAAGACACCGAGGCTAAGACAATCTGTGAAAATCCGCCTCAGTTTGTCCCCCAGTACCGACAGAGCTATCACCAGCGCCCGACCTGGAATACCATCAGGTCCGGGCGCAGTGTTGCGGGAAGCCAGCCGCCGCACGACTCGGTCCAGCTCTCCCTCCGTCACCTCCCACTCGTCGGACCAGAGTTGCCGGTCCGATTGTAACGGAGAGATAGGCCTGTCAATGAACCTAACGAAAACAAAAGTAATGTCAAACTCCTCACAAACAGAGCCCATAACAGTAAATAATGAAGAAATAGAATATGTAAGGGAATATGTGTATTTGGGACAGTTAATGTCTACTGAGGAATGTATGCAAAAAGAAATAGAAAGAAGAATAGCTAATACTTGGAAGAGGTATTCGTCACTCAGTGAAGTCATGAAGAACAAAGATATGTCTATGAGGAACAAGAGGAGAGTTTACAATATATGTATCCTACCATGCTTACTATATGGGTGCCAAACTTGGGCATTGACAGAAGAACTGGCAAGAAAAATAAAAATTTGTCAGAATGGAATGGAGAGAAGCACAATAGGAGTTAAAAGAAAAGACCGAGTTAAACTAAAATGTATCAAAAGCAAAACAAAATTTAAGAATGCATACACAACATACAGGTGCTTAAAGTGGAGATGGGCTGGGCATATGATAAGAGAGAAGAGGGAGAAATGGATGAGGCTAATAACTGAATGGCAACCACGAGATAGCAAAAGAAATAGAGGCAGACAAACTAGAAGATGGGAAGACGACATCAGAAAAATAGCAGGTCCAATATGGACTCGCATAGCGAAAGATAGAATAGAGTGGAAATCTTTAGAGGAGGCCTATGTCGAAAGACAAGCTGCAACGTAGAAACGACCGTTTACCGATACCTAACTTATGCAAAAAGAAAAAACTAATTTATGTAAGAAGGAAAACTGTTATAAAGTAAACATATTCGTAAGAAAAATCATTGTAAAATAAGTTCAGCAATAAAGGCTATTTTATTTATTTATTTTATTTATTTAATAATATAATTTATTAAAAAATATATATTTAATGCTACACCGAATTTAAAGTAAAAAAAAAAACTGTACTATCCTCTTCCCAGCTTTATCATCAGGTAAGCTGTAGTACTGTAATATCTTGGTATTACAGTACTACAGTATAGTATTACAGTATTGTCATGCAAATGATGTATTTATTTATCTATACTAATATTATAAAGCTGAAGAGTTTGTTTGTTTGTTTGTTTGTTTGTTTATTTGAACGCGCTAATCTCAGGAACTACTGGTCCGATTTGAAAAATTCTTTCAGTGTTAGAGAGCCCATTTATCGAGGAAGGCTATAGGCTATATATCATCACGCTAAGGGCAATAGGAGCGGAGCACCAATGAATAATGTTTCAAAAACGGAGAAATTTTTTTACTATTGAGAGACGCAGACGAAGTTGCGCGGGTCAGCTAGTACATCATAAAAAATACTTACATTGAAAGTTAGCTAGTGGCAAATAAAGCAAATAAAAGCGTGTTTAAAGTTATTATAGTAATAATGTCTCTTCCTATCCAGACCCGCCGAAACTTCTAGAACCAACGAAAGAGTATGATGAGCCACGGAAAGTGAAACTAGGAGAGGCAGTGAAGTTATCGTGTGAAGCGAGCGGAACTCCTCCGCCTATCACTGTGTGGACTAAAGGTGGACAACCTATCGTCTTTACTGACAAGTTGTAAGTACACTAAACTACTTATGGATTTATTAGAGTAGAATAACTGACTTTCACAGGCCTGGATTAGTGATCCTGACTGCTTAGCCTGAGGTGGTGGGTTTGATTCCGACCCAGGATAAATAATCGTGTCACGAGCACGTGTCCGTGTGGTGACGGATTAAGAATACGGAGTGTCACTACCTTGATTCATCCCGTGGGTGTCGTAAGAGGCGACTAATGGAACTAACAACGCAGGACGACAGCACTGCAAAGAGAAGGAAAACTTGAAACAAACCCTATATCAACCCGTCTGGCCAGCGTGGTATAGTAGGCCAAAACCTCTTTTCTAAAAAATACCTATGTCCAGCAGTGGACTATTAAAGGCTGTTGATGAGGATGATGATGATGATGAGCACGATCATTAGTCTGGGAGTAATTTGTCTATGTTACATATGTATTTAGAAATATATAACGTATGTTTATCAACAGTCTGATTACCACAGTACAGGCTCCGCCTAGTTTGGGATCGGACGGCCGTATGTGAGATTGGTGGAAAAAAAAACTGTTCTTAAATTTTTGTATTTGTTAGATCACTAACAAATGGTAGTGAGCTGGAGATAAAAGCAGCATCCGCTGACGACTCGGGCACATACACTTGCAACGTGACCAATGCGGTGGGATCTACCAACAAGAACTTTACTTTAGTTGTCTATGGTAAGTATTGTGTATTTGTTTATGTGCATTTTCAGCCCCAATACTTGACTCTGTGATTCTTGTAGCGATATGGAATTGCGCAATGGAAGTTTACATGCCGAATAATATTTATGTAATACGAATACGAATAATATTATGTATAAATATTGTATTTAAAGATGTCCTGATAGTCCTATCATAATAATAGTATAATATAATTAATTATTTCACACTGACACCACATTAGTAGTATCTAGGTGCATTGCAGCCTTGCGAAGCCGGCGCGGATCGCTACTAAATTAATCTATACTAATATTATTATATACTGAATTCACAATAACAGCATTAAGAATTATTTCTTATAATAAATAAGTAGATGGTATAACACTATTGCATTGGGCTAAGCCTGTAAAAATAGTTGTTTTTAAAGAAAATAAATAAATAAATTATAAAGCTGAAGAGTTTGTTTGTTTGAACGCGCTAATCTCAGGAACTACTGGTCCGATTTAAAAAAATCGTTCAGTGTTAGATAGCCTATTTATCGAGGAAGGCTATAGCGTGATGATATATATATATATATATATATATATATATATATATATATATATATATATATATATATATATATATATCATCACGCTAAGACCAATAGGAGCGGAGCACCAATGAAGAATGTTTCAAAAACGGAGAAAATTTATTACTATTGAGAGACGCAGACGAAGTTGCGCGGGTCAGCTAGTAAAATATAAAAATACTCAGTCAGGTACTAGCGTTGGGATTGCTCTGCCAATTCACTCCAAAGAAGATCGCGCAGTTTTGTCGTGAATGCAAAGCGGTTTGTAGGTATCCCGATTTCGGCATGTCTTAAAGTCGACGGATCTTAAAGTCTATCTAAATATGCACATTCCGATCTAAATCTGATACTTATTCCTATTTTTTCCGTGTATTGATGTATTAAGAATACGGAGTGTCACCACCCCTATTCATCCCGTTGGTGTCGTAAGGGCCGACTAAGGGAGCAAAATACGCAAGACAACAGCACTGCAAAGAGAAGGAAAACTTGAAACAAACCCTATACTAACCCGTCTCGCCAGCGTGGTACAGTAGGCCAAAACCTCCTTTCTAAGGAGAGGCCTATGTCCAGCAATGGACTATTAAAGGCTGATGATGTGATGTGATGTGATTCCTATTTATTGTGCTTCTACAGCTCCACCAACAATATCGTCCGCGCCAACTTCTACCCGTGAGGTGTTACAAGGCCAGCTGGTGGAACTGCCGTGTGACGCACAAGGTCTGCCCACACCAATAGTACACTGGACGCTGAATAACAACCCGATTGACATTAAGAAATATGACGATCAGTATGGACTAAGGTACGAATAAAACACTGTGTGAATGTATACAACTAGAATTGATTACTTTTTTATGGTAGGTACCCCTGGGATAGGGCCTTGTTAAGTGCGGCATCGATCTGGAGGGGAACTGAAATCACATGGCCCGGGTCCTCCCTAGAGTTGGGCGCCTAAAGCTGGCCGTCTGTCTGACCGTCGCGCTCTTCCCCGATTTCCTTTTACTCTAGTTCCAGTTCTAGTTTTCATCAAATGACTCAAACATAAATGTGAAGTCAGTTTTTCTGCAATCAACCGCCCTAGTGTAAACCTTTAAGATAGAGGTGTCACCTAGTTTAAAAGGCAGGGTTTTTCACTAATTAAATATGGATATTTCGATCTTACCGAAGACTAAATTGTCCTGTAACTAACATGTACTGTAATTTATTTATTTTTTGGATGAGAGATGCCATGAGAGATGAGGCATGTAGCTGAAATGCGAAAGTTAAGATGGACTGGTGTGGTGTGACTAGCATGAATAAGGTGATGAATTACTACATTAAAGAAATCCTGAAAGAAGCACCAGTAGATGAAATGTGATGCACAGAGATGAATGATGATGAGAGAGGAAATTGTCAGATATAAGAGTAGACGATATAAGACGACCAAAGAAAATATGGATGGACTGCGTGTGACAGAGGAGAACGAAAGAAAAGTGATTGAACCAACCCCAAATCAATTTGGAAAAAGATGAGGAGTTATGATCCATCTTTATTACTTCCAGATTCATAGCAAACGTGACGGACTCGGGCGAGTACAAGTGCACAGCGATGAATGAACACGGCGATACTACAGTGTCTTACACGTTACATGTTTGGGGTAAAATTCCATATTTTTTTACTATTGATACTAAAGAGTCTATCAGAAATTGTTACATTAATTTAGTGTTCATTACTGTGTAGACCCTCCAAAATTACTCAATACTACAAAGGATAAGCTTCAAACAGTGAAAATGGGAGACGCAGTGAAGTTGTCTTGTGAAGCGAGCGGAACTCCTCCGCCCGTCACTGTATGGACTAAAGATGGCCGCTCTATAGTTTTTACTGACAAATTGTGAGTATTTATTTTAACTAATCAACACTTTTATTGATTGAGTACTTATACCAAGAGGTAGTAGAACACCTAAAGCAGAATTTGATGAGTAAAGTCACAAAAAAACTTTGCGCGTTACAAACGCCCCCTCGCCCGCACCTCTCCCGGTCCCCGTTCTCGTCCTACCTCCGCTCCCCTGTACCCGTGGCGACGTCTCAATTAAGCGGTTTATCTATAACATTTAAAACACTTGGGCAAGACATAGCATTGTCATATAGTATTTATGTATATACACTCATGCCTGTGTTACATAAGGGGTAGGCAGAGATGTATACTAGGAGGGTTCTCTCTTTGAGGAAAGAGAAATGAGGACAGTGGTCAAATTTGAAGTACATTAAAAGGGAAATGTGGGTAAAAAGAACATGTGTATTATTAACATTAACGGGAATTTGTGTGATCCACAAATTGTTGTTCTGAGTCTGGGCGTTCTTTGTGTCCGTTTCATGTGTGTTTGTAAAGTCCCTCGCGACACAGGATTTATCCCTAGTGCGGGAGTTGTCTTTAAAAAAAAGCTTTATATTAAAAAGTATTTCTAATCTAACATTTCCAAATAACTATATATTAATGTTTTACAGGCATTTAACAACTCTTCGTTCAGTCACTACTATTAGTGACTTGATAATAGAATCAGTATCTACATACGACTCGGGGGAGTATACTTGTAATGTGTCCAATGCTGTGGGATCCACTCACAGGAACTTCAATGTCACTGTCTATGGTAAGTGTCTATGATGTCTATGACCATCTATGGCTGAGAAAAAATAGTTAAATGACTATCATTAAATTTAATAACAATTATATCGGTATTATAACGGATCATAAAATTTAGCTTGGAGATAAGGCATAGCTTGGAATAATACATAAGTTAGAGGTTTTTTATCCAAAAGATTGATTGACAATCAATGCAAGTGAAGACAGCATCAAAAGCCAATGTTTCAAAAGATGTATTTTGCAAGTTAAAAAATAAAGTTTTTTTTTTGTTTTATGATCACATTGAAGTGTGTTGTTTTGAATAAGACGAAATAAATGTATACTTCATTTTATCTGAGGATCAGACCCGGCTTGTCATACTCTGACGGGCCTGTTGGTCTAGTGGTTGATGACCCCGGCTGCAGGCGTAGGTCCTGAGTTCAATTCCCATCCACGACAAATAATTGTGTGATGATCACAATCATTTGATCTGTGTTGTAATGATATGATCATTTTGCTGAAATTTGTATGTATTTAAAAATATATAAGTATGTTTATTAGCAGCCTGGTTACCATAGTACAGGCTCTGCCTAGTTTTGAATCAGACGGTGTATTAGAATTAGATGTGTCGATTTATTATTATTATTATACCACAGTAATCCACTTTATCAACCAGAATAACAACCTTTTCGACCATCGAGTATATTGTTGTAAATAATAGTTTATCCACCCAGACCCGCCAAAGTTCCTTAGGGATACGGAGGAAGAAAAGGAACCTCAACAAGTGAAGCTGGGACAGAGAGTGAAGTTGTCGTGTGAAGCGAGCGGAACTCCTCCGCCTGTCACTGTGTGGACTAGACATGGACGACCTATTGCCTTTACTGACAAATTGTGAGTTTTCTTTAATTGCTCATTCATACATAGTTTAATTAAATTCTTTTCCTCCGACCTCTACTTTTTATTGGCAAATTGTAAGTAGATATTTTATTTAATCATGAGTCAGAGACTGTACAATACAGTATTACTACTCGCCGTTTCTTTTTTTTTGCCACCTTTTCGACATAACTTAACAGAGTAGTACTCTCTACGAATAATAATTTCTCTAGAAGCGCAACTAAGCCTAAAAATGGTTCAACGAAATATATGACCCGGTGGGCGGGGCGTAAAATATGCACCAACGCAGCCCATCAGTACGCCGTGACATTCGTCTTGAGCGGTTGTGTTACGGGAAGTTTTGATTGTTCTTATTATTGTGTAAATATGCCGTCATGTGTCGTGAAGTGGTATAGAAACTATTCAGATATGAATAACACTGGAATCATCTTTCATAAGTAGGTAAATAAACATTTTGTTATTCGATACTTAACGACTCTGGAAAATGTTATGCAATATGTAAGACTATTTTTCTATTCGTCTTATACTGCTTACATAAACATGTTTGTTTTTATATTAAGGATGATCTTATGCAAAACTATAATATATTTCATTACCACAGATTCTCAAGAAATAAAGTGAGAAATAATTTCCATCACGCTACAGAGATGGTTTTTGTCTATTTGTGTGTGCATAATGTGCATCAACCATAGTTTACAGGTTTTTATTTGGTTGAGTATGAGTAAAAACTTTGATGGCATTTACAGTACTTAGTATATATTTTGCAATAATTATGTTTGTTAAGCAGAATATGCATTTAAATTCTAAAATACTGATGTACATTCAACAAACACTAGAAATAATTAGTTGTAACATATCATCGACTTCAGAAGGTTCTTACAAAATTCATTTATTTTCCTTGTAGAACATTTATTTGTCATTCAATTCAATAAAAAATAAAAACATAAACAAGCTTATATATTTTAGCGTTATCCTGCATAATACCATCCATGTATCTGTTACACTGGCTGTAATGGGCGGTGCATGCAAGTCGTGACTTTGATGTACCGCCACCAATCACGTGCAAATTTTGCCTATGAGCGAGTGTGTTTCGTTGTACTTGCTGTTAGTTTGTACGCGTAATGGAACCGAAATCAAATTATAGAAGAGTTACTGCTCTAGAGAAATTATTATTCGTAGAGTATTCCACTTTCTTCACTCATTAAATTGATGCTGTGATGCAAAATAATAACTGTAAGGCAACTACAGTCCACTGTACCAGGTATTAGGCTTTTAAATAAGTATCACCGACTGTAATGCGCCAACTTTATGAGAAATCGTTATAAAGTGTATTTTTCATTTCTTAGCTTTCACCCTTAAGGAGGTAAGTTGTTTTTTTTTTTTATTTGAAGATAACGGGAAGGATATTCTGTTAAAAAAACAATTCAGTTCAAAAATGGAGTAGTTCTGAGGTTATAAACATACAAAAAATATACCCGAATTGAGAACTTCCTTTTGTTAATGGCATACATTACAGATACACAACTGTACCTTGTTTATAGATATGTGCAAAATAATAGTGAGCTGGTGATAGAGGCAGTATCCGTAGAATATTCAGGCATGTACACTTGCAACGTGACCAACGCGATGGGATCTATTCACAGGAACTTCTCTTTTATTTTCTATGGTAAATATTGTTTATTTATATGGCCATAGTATAACCCAAGCCGTGTTCAAATGCTTAAGAATTACAAACCCCCTTTTTCTCACTGCCAAAAGGCATGAAAACGTAAAAAAAATTCGTTCCTTTGTGAAGTGAATTTACCGGAGACCAGCTAAAAAAAAATATTCTTGGATTTTCTCTACTTTAATATGCATGTATTATAGATATAAACCTTCCTTTTAAATCATTCCCTCTATTTGTGAAAACCACATCAAAATCACTTGCTTAGTTTATGAGATCTAAGCGTACAATAAAAAAGCGATTTTATTTCATACTATGTAAAGAAGGGGGCAAACAAGCAGTCAGTTTACACGATTAGCTGACTTGCATGCATGCATGGCTCTCCCACAGCACTAATTTTCTTAGTTTTATTCTAGATAGCGAAAGATAGATCCGTGTGGTGACGAATTAAGAATACGGAGTGTCACCACCCCTATTCATCCCGTAGGTGTCGTAAGAGCCGAAGCCGACTAAGGGAACAAATTACGTAGGTCAATAGCACTGTAAAGAGAAGGAAAACTTGACACAAACCCTATAGCAACCCGTCTGGCCAGCGATGTATAGTAGTCCAAAACCTCCTTTCTAAGGAGAGGGCTATGTCCAGCAGTGGACTATTAAAGGCTGTTGATGATGAACACTTTCTTTGTACAATTGTTAAATTGAAACATATAATTAATCATGTTAGCAGATAATGTACAAAGGGCTCACTAACGAGTTACCTTTGTATAGATTTAAAACATTAAAAGCAGCCATTAGTGATGTCCAATATACCCCGTCATATTGTACAGAATATATGAATAAATATACAAAATCCTGTATTTAAAAAGCGTTTCCTAAGCTTGATATTCCTAACGTGTGTTTCTACGACTCACCAACAATATCATCCACGTCCGCAGCTACCCGTGAGGTGTTACAAGGCCAGCTGGTAGAACTGCCGTGTGACGCACAAGGTATACCCACACCTTTAGTGCGCTGGACAATGAATGGTACACAGATTAGCAAAGAGAAATATGTCGAGGGGTATGGACTGAGGTATGTATAAAAATTTAGATTTAAATTTAACAACTATATGGTGTTCACTGTCCCTGAAGGTCCCATTTCATCGAAGTGGCCTTACGTTGAGCTAAGACCTTTAGGTGTCATGCAGCTGTGTTTTGCCTTTTATCTTATTGTATTGTGGGAAAGTAACACCTCTACGAGCACTTTTTTTTTTTCTTTCAAATAGTAAAAGCCACTTTATGCCAGCATTTGTTCACGGGACAAAGTTGTGTTAGTTTCTTCTTTTATTATTTTCTGTATGTTTGTCTTTCGACATGCCGCTTTTCGAACGACTTCGCATTCCGCATTTGTACGCCACATAGCACTTTTATGCCATATTGAATACTTTTAATTATTGTCAATAATATTTCTAGGGGGGGGGGGGGGGGGGGGGGGGGCTAGCTTTTTCCCGCGGTTCCGTGTGTATATCGGTTATCGCTAATAATGTAGCTCTCAATTGCTAACAATTTTTTTAAACTCGGTTTAGTGGTCTAGGCGTGGAAGCGTCACAAACAAACCAACAAAGCCCCTTATACATTTATAATATACTTCTAAGATAGATAGATTGTATTCATGAAGTTGTAAGTCTGATGAATTCTACATTACGATGATTAAAATATATGTTGTTTTTAGGTTCGTAGCGAACTTGACGGACTCGGGAGAGTACACTTGCACAGCTACTTATAAAAATGCAAAGACAACTGTTTTTCACATACTCTATGTTTTGGGTAAATATTGTTATTTTTTAAAGTAATTTCGATTTATAATAAAAGTTGTAAGGTGTTTTACTGAACTAACAATTGTATTTTTGTAATTTTTTTACTGAAATTTAACTTTTACCTAACAATAAAATAACCACATAGAATTGGTCTACATGCCTTTAAAATTAATTAAATTAAATAATAATTATATTATAATGACTAAAATTACTTTTATTTCATTTCATTTTCTTTGGATCTCCAAGAAGAAATACAAAAGAATAAAATGTTATGTCTTGTGCTTCCTCAATCATAGGAGACCACAACATTCACATTACACAAATAATTAATTACAAACAGTGGCTACGAATAGCCTTTGCAGAGAAAAAAAAATAGCAATTAATTCTGCAAAAAGTAATAAATTAGTGGTTATATGTATTTAAATAGGAGGTAGGTATGTGAACAAATTATTGCATAATTAATAATAGTCCTGTATATTGTTCGTTGCCATGCTGTTCCCAAAATAGTCGCAAAACGGCTTCCTGTACACCCCTAGATTGGCACAGGTATTAAAATTATCTTTTCTTTGGCTAACTTATTCAGACCCGCCAACATTTCTTAACACGACCAAGGATGAGCCTCGATCAGTGAAAGTGGGAGAGAGAGTGAAGTTGTCTTGTGAAGCGAGTGGAGTACCTCCGCCAGTCACTGTGTGGACCAAACACGGACGGCCAGTTGTCTTTACTGATAAATTGTGAGTACTTTTTAATTTAAAATAAAAAAATAATAAATTATAAAGCTGAAGAGTTTGTTTGTTTGTTTGTTTAAACGCGCCAATCTCAGGAACTACTGGTCCGATTTGAAGAATTCTTTCAGTGTTAGATAGCTCATTTATCGAGGAAGGCTATAGGATATATATCATCACGCTAAGACCAATAGGAGCGGAGCACCAATGAATAATGTTTAAAAAACGGAGAAAATTTATTACTATTGAGAGACGCAGACGAAGTTGCGCGGGTCAGCTAGTTTACTTATAAATACGTTCAAAATAAATTTATCTTTCTCTTTATCTCTTTCCTCTTTATTTCGTGCATCCGAAAATTGTTTGTGGGATATCTGACTGCAACAATACCGATAATATTTAGTATATCTATCTATACAAATAAATAAAATTGAAGTGTCTGTTTGTAATGACAAAATAATAGTTTTTTTTCATACTTACACGGTTATTTGACGACACGGGACCTATGCCTAAAAACCAGTTTAAATATTTTTTGTCTGACTGTCTGCCTGTTTGTTCCTTGTAATCTTCAAAACGGCTTTACTGATTTTGGTAATATTTTACTACCAAGTAGCTGTCTATATAAGGAGTAACTTTGGCTAATTTTTCTCTCAGAAAACTCTATAAAATTTTGCCTTGTCCGGGAATCGAACTCACAAGGCAGCACTTCTCAAATTCTACGCGAACGGAGTCGCGGGCACCAGCTAGTGTTAACTAAATCTGTACAATATTCAGTATCTATCTGTTTCATAGCTTTTTTTTACTATTTACTTAATATTGAGGTAGTGAAAATCTTGCTAAAAATAAATAAAATTAAAAAAATGGTAAATGCAAGTTTATGGTCTCAATCGTTTCTGCACAATGTGGTTTGTACATATGTATAAACCATAGTAAACAAAACATAGTAGTCTTCTATCAGTCAGTCTTAGCTTTCATAGGCTCTGCTTAGTTTGAAACTAGATGGTGTTGCTTGTCAGATGTCCGAAATATTAATATTATTACATTATAATTATGACTACTACGTTTTGCAATTATGAAACCAAGCACTAAAAGTAAAAAATAAGTAATAGTAAGGTATGACGTCACAAGCCGCTAATTAAAAAAAAACTGCTACAACACCTATTTTGACGTTAATAATGAAAACTTGACTTTACTTTCTAAATGAAATAGTGTTTGGAAACTTAAAATTATTTAACGGTTATTTAATCTAAGTACCTACTATTGCTAAATACATATTACTGGCGCGCCATATTTCTTCTCGCGAATTTCTTCCATCCAACCGTTTATGCTAAATTGTTCCCCCTTAGCGGTGAAATTTCCAAAAATCTTTTCTTAGTGGGTGCTTGCAACATAAAAAGCCTCAGCTGCCAAAATTTCAAGTTTGTACTCTCAAGTAATGTTTATAATTCACAGATCTGTAACTAACAACAGTGATTTGGTGATAGAAGCAGCGTCCGTGAACGACTCGGGTACATACATGTGTAGAGTGACCAGTTCGATCGGATCCATTCAAAGAAATTTCACATTGTCCGTACTTGGTAAGCATATTACGCCACGCATCTGGGTAAAATCAGAATACCTACATTAAATGAAAAATAAGACCCGACTATTCAAATATGCATATATAGAGTTTAAGTACACCTGTTTAAGTAAATTTTACAGACGGATGTAAAGGAAATTTGGAATACTCAATTTGTTATGAACGAAGAAGCTTTTTGCACAAATAACCATTGTTAGTACAATGGCGGTCTTAATGCACAGGCGTTTTCTCCCAGTCTGCCTTTGGGTGGCGGGGAAATGTCTGAGCAGGTGCACTTGAAATTAAGTTTTTTGTGTTAACAAAATAATATTAATTAAGGAGTTATACAGAAACTGTGTGACAGATATGTATAATTTTTCTAATAACTGTTAGTAGAAGCTACATTGATAGTTGAAGTACACGTTAAATAATATATTATATTCATACGACATACGTTACTATCCAGATCCGCCGAAACTTTTAGAATCCATGAACGATGAGCCACGGAAAGTGAAACCAGGAGAGATAGTGAAGTTATCGTGTGAAGCGAGCGGAACTCCTCCGCTCTTCACTGTGTGGACTAAAGGTGGACAACCTATCGTCTTTACTGACAACTTGTGAGTATATTTTGTTCTGCTGGCATTCAATATTATAGTATAAATATATAATAATAATAATATATCTCACACATCTCACACACGGCCGTCTGATCCCAAACTAGGCAGAGCCTGTGCTATGGTAACCAGACTGCTGATAAACATCTATATAATTATTATTATTTTAATTAGATACATATTAAATATAAATTACACCCAGACACAGAACAAATAACCGTGCACATCACACAATATTTGTCCTGGGTGGGAATCGAACCCACGACCTCCGGTTTAGCAGTCAGGGTCACTAACCACTAGACCAACAGGCCCATCAAATGGTTATGGTTCACTTGTTGGACTACTGCCACTTAAGAAAAGCTACAACTCAAAAGTCACGAGTGCGTTGCGTGCTCCAACGGGGGTAGTGTCCGTTCGACACATTAAGATTCGAGGGTTCTCTGACCGGGTTAAGTGGATGCTGTAACAGATAATACCTCATAGACCGCGGTGATAGATCTTTGATTAAGCGATACGATACGGTAGCGATACTCTGTTGTTTTAATTTAAAAGTAGCCTTATCTTCTCTAGATGGCGTTCAAATAGATATATAGATAGATATATAAATACTTTATTTGTACACCAGGGTTTTACAGACAGTATAAAGTAATTAACAACAGATGTAATGTACAAAGGGCGGTCTTATCGCTTAGTGCAATTTCTTCCAGGCAACCTTTGTATGGACTGGACTTATTTTGAGCTGGTGATAAGTATATAGAAATTAGAGAAATAAATAGGTTTTTTCACTAAACTCTTTTTTATAAACATTAGTAGTACCTAGCCTATTTCGTTGTAAACACGTAGATTATAAGAAGGGAAATGAATTTTTAAAATGTTATTTAGGAGTTCCTTACCCAATTAGTTTCGCTGTCTGCCGTTAGATGACGTGGTGTATTGACTTCAAAGTCCTTTACAATATTATATTAATAACTTACAGATATCTTACGAACAGCAGTGAATTGGTGATAGACGCCGTATCTCCATCTAATGCAGGCACGTACACTTGCAACGTCATCAGTTATGTGGGATCCACCCATAGGAACTTCACTTTGGAAGTGTATGGTAAGTGATCTAGACACCTTTTATTTCTTACCTCCCATTCCACCAGGGTCTCAATTCTGCTAGTTTATGCTAACACCAAGCCACTGTCATTCCATTGACACGCTGTTGAGATGCCATCGACACCGGTCAAAATATCGGTATTCTACTAACATCAATTCGCAGTGTCAATAGACTGTCGATGTAGTAATATAAGTCATCAATGTTGATATCAACATTGTCATATCTGGAAAATTAAATATTTCATTTTGTTATAAATTTAAAATGTACGGTTTACCAAACTATTACAAAGATATTAACGACATTTGTATCAGTGATTAGTCATCGGGAGGCCACGGGTCTTACATAGTTAGTAGAATAAGAAAAGTACAAAACTATTCCGACGACATGCCATCGGTAGTCTTTTGATACAATATTAAAATAGAATGATTGAGGCCGAGGTTAAGCCAGTTCCCCCCCTATGGCAACTCTCTCAATCACTGTAACTCCTGTACACCAGGATCAACAGCAGTGACCCACGAACACACCGAGTTATGACACTCGGGCAGTCCCAGGAAAAAATTGAACTGTCTTAGAATCCGCAACGAAAATAATCAAAAGAAAATTGGAGGAGTTGGAAATATAATAAATACACTTCCCTCCTTGGCAGAGTAGGACCGAAAATTTATTAAAATAGGCATACATCTTTTTTAAAACAGGGAAGCACAACAGCTACAAAATATGATGGGTCCTAAGTGAGCTATATTTGATTTCTATATTATGTATGGCAGAAGAAATTCACCCTAGTTGAAACGCACTGGTGACTCATTGAGTTGCAGATATCTATGGACGACGGTAGTCACGTCCCATCAGGTGACCCGACTGCTCGTCGCCACAAACCCTAAAAAAAAGTTTTCAGGAAACGTTATATAGAGGCGAAACACATGTCGAAGTAGCTTCGTAAATGTTTACTCTAGATTTTATCTTTACTCCCTTCTATTACTAAGCTAATATGTATTTATATCCACAGACCCACCAACAATAGTATCCCAGTCTAATTCTCTACTCGAAGTGTTGGAAGGCCAGCTGGTAGAGCTGCCCTGTAACGCACGTGGGGTCCCCACTCCGATTGTGGAATGGACACAAAATGGCGAGCCGATAGGTCACGAAAAATACGTTGATGAATATGGAATGAGGTATGCAACTATATAGAAAAATAAAATTGTCTTTAAAAAAATAATTAAGCCGTCGTTGGACCTCTGCCAGATGTGAAATAGAGATATTGTTTCTCATATACTATCACATAGCGTGGCGACGCATTCCGTGGCGACGTCGCCAGCCGGTCTGACCCTCCGGGCTTGCTACCAAAATGCGTAAGTGAACCTAAAATAATAGTCTTCAAAATATGGGCCGTTGTCCGTGTGGTGACGGATTAAGAATACAGTGTGCACATCGGACATTACAGTTTCAGATGTTGCATCGGACTCTCTTGTTTTTCTGCAAACTGATGAACTGGAAGTAGAGCAGATGATACTAGACTTACGTACTGATTGTGCAACTGGTATTGATGGTATATCTGCTAAACTCATAAAACAGTTTAAGAGTATTTTTGTTCCATCTTTGACATATATTTTTAACTTATGCATAAATGCAGGTGTTTTTCCGGACCTTTTTAAGAGGGCCCTTATTCACCCTATATATAAGACGGGGGATGTAGATCGTATCAATAATTATAGACCAATATCGGTCTTGCCCTCCTTGTCCAAGATCTTGGAAAAAATCATTAACACCCGCCTTAAGAAATATCTTGAAGAAAAGGATATTATCTCCATCAATCAATACGGCTTCAGAAGTAATAGATCCACAAATGATGCAGTGCACGAACTCACTGAAAATATTGTTCAGGCATTGGATAGACGCAAGAAAAGTCTTGCAATTTTCTTGGATCTGGCTAAGGCCTTCGACACGGTCTCCATTCCCAAACTAATTCTCAAATTAGAGCGTATCGGTGTTAGGGACCAACAACTGAATCTTTTTATAAGCTATCTGACAAACCGAACACAATGTGTAAAGATTGGTAGGTACGTTAGCAGAGAACTTCCCATAGAATATGGTGTACCACAGGGAAGCATCCTTGGTCCCACACTCTTCTTAGTTTATATTAATGAAATGTGCAAATTAAAACTAACAAATGGCAAACTCTTGGCATTTGCTGATGATACCACGCTTATTTTTACGAGCCAAACGTGGGAAGAAGTTTACGATGCGGCGCAAACTGGTTTCAATAGAATAACTAAGTGGTTAGCAGAAAACACACTGGCAATTAATGTCGACAAGACTAAAATCATAAGATTCCAAATTAAAAAAAACAGTATACCAAATAGATTTTCTATTACGGCACATAACCACACTACATGCTGTTATCTGACATGCAATTGCCCTCAGTTACAAGATGTTGCTACCATTAGGTACCTAGGTGTAATTATAGACGAAAGTCTTAATTTCGTGCCGCACATTGAACTTTTAACAGGTGGAATACGTAAACTCATCTTTATTTTCAAATACCTAAGGCATGTTGCAGAACCAAAAATCCTGAAAACAGTTTATTATGCATTGTGCCAGTCCTTGTTGGGGTATTGTATCTTATCATGGGGTGGTGCTCTAAAGACTAAATTTATTAAGTTAGAGCGCGCACAAAGGGCTGTATTAAAAGTGTGCACCTTTAAACCATACCGCTATCCTACAAAAGAACTGTATGAGCACTGCGAAGTTCTAACAGTGCGTCAACTTTTCATTCTACAAATATTACTAAAGCAACATTCGTTAAATCTCAAATCTCATCATCTTTCGGTATCTCCGCGATCAACTTCACGCAGGCTTAAACTTCCACCAGCTGACAGGCACAGGACATCTTTTAGTCATAGATTCTTTGGCTTTCTCGGACGATTCACTTACATAAAAGTCAACAAAGTTTTAAAAATTGACTGTAAAAATAAATATGAATGCAAAAGGATTGTAACAGACTGGCTGCTAAAACTAAGCTATGATGAAACGGAAGAACTTCTTCATCCGATATTATGAATTAAAACGAAATCAAAATACAAACATAACAAAAACCCACACACTGACACCGAGATCAACAGAAACGGATCACGGAACCCAACACACGCATACACATACACACGCAACACGTGCACATACACACGCACGCACACACACACACACACACACACACACACACACACACACACACACACACACACACACACACACATACACACACACACACATACCTAAGTTAATTGCATGTTTTTCTTGCTTTCAAGCTATTGTAGTTTAGATTGTTCTTATTGCATCTTTATTGTTTTATAACCAGCTAAAAATGTATTTTAGTGATACTGCAGAGGTTGCTGGTACTTATAGCACAGGTTATCCTATTTTAAGTACCAGCAGAACACTATATAATGTTATATATATGACGTGAGTATATAAAGTTTTACTAGGATATTCAAAGAATTCACTTTTTTTTAGGTTTGTGGCTAATCTGACAGATTTTGGCGAATATATTTGCAAAGTTACCAATATACATGGCAATTCTTCGATGTCCTACACACTACATGTTTGGGGTAATTACTTTATTTACAAGAAACTATTTTGTCGAGAAAAAACAACAATTACATAATAGCTTCACACATCTCACACACGGCAGTCTGATCCCAAACTAGGCAGAGCCTGTACTATGGTAACCAGACTGCTGATAAACATATTTATATATTTCTAAATACATATATATTATAGATAAATTACATCCAGACACAGAACAAATGATCGTGCTCATCACACAATATTTGTTTTGGGTGGGAATCGACCTCCATGTTAACTATGTTTGGAAATCGTGCCTTTCTAAAGATATATCTTTATTTTACTATGGCTTGACTTGACGTTCTCGGTGCGGTGGTAATTCATGCGGCTAGCTAGCGATGCGTTAGGTTGCGGGTTTGATTCCCAGTACTTATATATCTCATCTAAATATATATAAGAGATTTCCACGTATATAGTCACTCATCACGATATCTCTGGAACCATTAGAGCTAAAGACTTGGAATTTGGTAGGAATATTCTTTTCACCGAGTAGAGGTCAGCTAAGAACGGATTTTAAGAAATTCAAAAAAATATATTTTAATAATGTAAATAGCAAAACAACGTTTGCAGGGTCAGCTAGTTTTTATTATAAACGCAAATATTTGTAAGAATTTATGTTAGGATGTTTGTTACTCAAAACTGAAAGGATCTGGTTGAAATTTGCTACAAAGATAACTTATAGTCTGGAATGACACAAGGGCTACTTTTTATCAAGGAAATAATTGATTGCCAAAATCGACAGTATTGTGGCTGTACAGCGCCTAATTAGGACTCTCGTTTGCGCAGCTAAGTTTTAAAATTTAAAAGCATTTTTTTAAGGCAGTCATATAACTTGGTTTAATGTATAGTACTGAAAAATTCCAATTCCATAAGATAAACTATATTATTAACTATTTCTAGTTCCACCATACATAAAACCACATTCAACGGTTCTAAAGCAGGCCTTAGTGGGGTCGAATGTGACCCTACAGTGTGACGTCATCGGGTTTCCCCTACCAACAATGCAATGGAAATTCAACGAAGAGTTGCTTGAAGCAAATACCACCGATGTGAGGTATGGTATTACTTTGTTTTCTATAATACAGGAATTTCTAAAGTGGTCGATATCGACCCTTTGGGGTCGAAATCGGTTTCCCAGGGGTTGACATAAACAAAAACTCATTTTGGGGTCGACAAGATCTAAAAGTAGTAGAATCAGTAGTCACTACTCTGGGTGGGGTTCGATTCACTCACAAGTTCTGTCAGACTTAGTTTACAAATAGCACAATAGTTTTTTATGTGTCTAGATGTAATTTATCTATAATATGCATGTATTTTAAAATATATAAGTATGTTTATCAGCAGTCTGGTTACCATAGCACAGACTCTGCCTAGTTTGGGATCAGATGGCCCTGTGTGGGATGTGTTAAGTTATTGTACTATGAACAAGTGGACCCTGTCTTTCGTTCATGACCTAAATGATTTCATAAATGTTTCTCTTCTATGTTACAGTTTCAACGACGTGGGTAACATATATGTAACGAACACGCGGTTGGCGCACGAAGGGGTGTACGCGTGCGTGGCTCACAACCTCGGAGGGGTCGACGAACTCTCCATGTATCTTAAAGTTAACGGTAAATACTTATGTGGTAACTATTATTGTGGCAAACTAACTATTGCCCTTGGCCTCTCGATAATTTTGTTTCTAGCCTTAAAATAATATTATTCTAAGTTTCTAGCTTTCAAGTTTCAACCCTCCACAACAATTCATCCTTCATTTTACCCCCTTAGGGGTAAATTTCCAAAAATCCTTTCTTAGTGTGTGCTTACTGCACATTACAACAACATTCGCGTCGCCGAGCTCTGACTTTCGACTTAAATGAGAGGCGGCTGGGTGCTATCCTGGTTTCGAGAGGTAGAGCCTTCCAAAGGAGTACAGATTGGATTAGTGAGAGTGGATACACGCAGAAGTAAGAACAGGAGTGGATTGCTTGAGGAACGGAGGGTTCTGTTGTGATTATCGTTGAATGTTTTTTCCTCCAAGATCCGCCAAAGATAATGGAGGACAACTACACGGGGCCATACGTGGCCACCGATACCGACACAGTGCTGAGCGTCGCGTGCCGCGCTACGGGCAAACCTACACCTTATTATACGTGGGTTAAGGACGGGTTTTATTTGAACAATGGTAAGTTAAGCACATATCTATGATATTAGACATTTATGTATTTTTAGTCTAACTTACGTATTTAATGGGAAAAAATAGAACTACAGAGTATATCTATACAAAAAAAAAATTGAAGTCTTTTTGTAATATCAAAATAAAAGGCTTTTTTATACTTACACGGTTATTTGCACGATACCTATGCCTAAAAACCAGTTTATATATTTTTGTCTGTTCTGGGTAATCTTCAAAACGGCTGGACCGATTTTGATAATATTTTACTACCAGGTAGCTGTCTATGTAAGGAGAAACTTAGGCAATTTTTCCTCTCAGAGATAACCTTTAAATTTTGCACGGTCCGGGAATCGAACCCTAAGCCTCATGGACTGCAGTCACGTACCGACCAGCCTTTAAGGCTTTTCAAATTCCACGCAAACGAAGTCGCGAGTACTAGCTAGTGTGTTAAAATAAAACTACTATGGTAACCAGACCGCTGATAAACGTACTTACATACATCCCTCAAGTTAATAGTCTTCATTCATGGACAGACAGACAGACTACAAAGTAATCCTTGAAGAGCTCCCATTTTCCATTTTGAGCCAAAGAATCTTAAAAATGAGATTAATATACATTTTCTTTTCCAGATGTCCGTTACTCAATAGAAGTGGATGGCACGTTGCACATAAAGTCTCCGTCCGAGGACATGAGCGGCAACTACACCTGCCTCGCGAAGAACAGCGTCGGGGTCGACAACAAGACTGTAGCTGTCGAAATTTACTGTAAGTGTTATTAGGACAGCAGTGCTATTCTCTAAGGAAACAGCCTTGCGTACAGCGTTGTCACAGCGTCGAACTTCAAACTAAGTTCGTTTGAAATTTGACGCTACAGCGCTGTCACAGCGTCGAACTTCAAACTAAGTTGGTTTGAAATTTGACGCTGTGTTAGCGCTGTACACAAGGATGTTTCCTTAGAGAATAGCAGTTTAGGTTCACTCCACTCTTTTAGTATGAAGTTACAAGTACTGTGCGCGCTCGACTTGTCGGGCTAATTCAGAAGACTGCCGCACGGTTACTACTTCACAAATATGATCACGCATTAGTTTGATTCTTAGTCGTGACATTCTTTTGTCGAATATTATAGACACATGCTACACACAACTGGTAATTTAATATTCAAAATCATTATTGTTTAAAATAACTCAACCCTAAACTTGTCAAAAAGGTATAGAAAGAGAGGCAACTTCTAGGTAAATATTACTTAAGGTATATAGCGCCGTGCAGTGTAAAGTGCACTTTATTGTTTTGGATCAAAAGTCGATATTTATTTGAATGAATTCAAGGAGTTAGTCTGTCCTGCTTTCATTATCGTATATTCTGTGATATCCGAACGAGTCTGAGTAGCGCCACTGGGTGAAAAGTTAAGAGGTTATCTTGGTATGGACATGTCATGCGGAGGGACGAGGAAAATGTGGTGAAGTAATTGTTAGGTATGGGAGTTGAGGGGTACAAGAGAAGAGGATGACCAAAGCAAAGGTGGATGGACTGTGTGAATTAGAATATGGCTAGGAAGGGAGTACACTGTGAAATAACGAACGATAGAATAGAATGGAAGAATCAAACATACTGTGCCGACCCCAAGTAAAATTGGGATAAGGTTAGGCAGATGATGGTACTGTGATATCTGAACCCGTACGACTACTTCTGCGTCGCGTGTGGTTTTATATAGCCTTTAGCCTTACTCAATCAAACACTAAAATAATTTTTCAATTCGAACCAGTAGTTCCTGAGATTAACGTGTTCAACCAAACAAACAAACAGACGCAGATAGATGATTGTATTTATTCCTCAGCGCTACCGCAACTCACGCAGTCGCAAGAGAAGTTAGCCACGGTGACTTTGGAGGAGGGAAGCGACGCGGAGGTCGAGTGTCCTGTGCGCGCCTCCTCACACTCACTCAAATGGTATAAGGTTCGATGTTGCTATAGTCAATATTTATTTATATATCTACTAGCCGTTAGACAATACTCTGTTCCTCTGTTCTCCTCAGCTTTATATGTCCAGAAATCTGGCCGAATTTTGGCCGTTATGAATCGTTGTTCATGGTGCAGGGGCAAATGAGCAGACAGGTCAACCGACGGTAGGTAACTACAGCCGCGCATTGACGGACGGACGGAGCAGCCCAAGATTCGGAACTGCATTATGGGCCTTTGACTCTCTCCCCTGGGATTAAGAGGAGGGGGGCGGGTGTGTGGTTGTGCCTTGTTAACCTTACTTATTCGGTGAAAGAAACAAAATATTGAAGATATTAATTTGTTGGTTCTTGTTTTATTTTATTTCTGTTGTAATTAGGATACTTTTACCTCGATAGTGTATTATAAGGGGTTCGAACCCGCATCCTATTGACCGCAATGCCGACTACTTAGCAATTGAAAAATTCTTTGTTTTAGAACGCCAAACTAATATCGACAGGCAATCTTCGCCTTAATAACGTGTCTCGTGACAACGCGACAACTTACTTCTGCGTAGCAGCAAACGCAGTCGGTTCTGCTCACTCGAAAGTGCAACTAATAGTAGAGTGGGCGCCAAGGTTCCTAGCGGAAGAGAACAGAGAGATAGAGAGAGTGAGAGGTGACGACGCTTACTTACATTGTGAAGTCGACGCGAAACCAAGCGCAAAGGTAAGAACTATCTATTTAGTTTAAATGCCGGAAATGGGTCTGGATGGGCCATACTCTCCGTAGGGACTCCGATCACATCTCCAAGCAGGCTCCTAGACCTGAACCCCCAGGGAAAGAAGCTTGGTCAGCCAAGGCAAACTTTGTGACGAACAGTAGCAGATGAGGCGAGGAACATCGGTAAGACGTGGAGCGAAATGAAGCACGAGGCTCAGTACCTATCGAGATGGAAACTTGGACGCCCTCTTACTCATCCAGGGGATATAAGACATCAAAGAAGAAGAAAAATCTATTTAGTTTACTATAGATGTAATAAATTGCAATTCCTTTAAACCTTTGAGAAAAGAACGTACTCTTTCCTAAAAGGCCGGCAACGCGTTTGTGACTCCTGAGTTGCAGACGTTCATGGGCGGCGGTGGTCACTTTCCATCAGGTGACCCGTCTGCTCGTCTGCCCCCTTATTAGTTAATAAATGGTGAACAGGCATATACCCTAAATTACTGATACTTAATAAACACTAAATGTCTTCAGGACTAGTTTCTTTTCATGCTTTCAAACTCATCAGTCATCATCATCAACAGCCTGTAATAGTCCACTGCTGGACATGGGCTTCTCCTTAGAAAGGAGGTTTTGGGCCTACTATACCACTGCTGGCCAGACGGGTTGGTATAGGGTTTGTGTCGAGTTTTCCTTCTCTCTGCAGTGCTGTTGTCCTGCGTAGTTTGCCTCCTTAGTCGCCTCTTGCGACACCCACGGGATGAATAGGGGTGGTGACATTCTGTATTCTTAATCCGTCACCACACGGACTTTTAAACACATTGATTATAATTAGTAATATTTACAAATTTCTTCTCTCTCTCTCTCTCTCGTTGCCAGATAAAATGGTTGTTTAACTCGAAGCCTCTGGTCTTTGAAGACAAGAACTACCTGAAGCTAATTAACGTGCAGCTCCGTCACGCCGGTACGTACAAGTGCATCGTCAGTAACGTACGTGGCACTCTTGTCAAGGACTTTACGTTGAAGGTGTTAGGTGAGTTAATGGATTCTTTCCTCTTCCCCTCTTTTCCTTTCCTATCCTCTCTTTTCTTGCTTCCTTTCCCTCCTACTACAAAATATTCCGTCTTTCTAAACCTACTAGTGATGCACGTGGGATCTTAGTACAAGGACCAAACAATACATTTTTGCATCCCCTACCACCGCTTCTCCCTATTCAGTCGCTTTTCTTCTTTATTTAGGTCTCTTCTAAATTTATTGGGTGGCTTCTCGACATCTTTTTGAGAACAATATTATTCTTTTTTTATTGTATACGACGATCAGCTCGTTTGGGCAAACGAGCTGATCGTCGTATACATTCCATAAAAAAATGTTTTCCCTATCTTTTAAAGTGGATTATTGACTGTAGCATGATGCTATTTACATGAAGGTTTTGTATTGCAGAGCCACCTTTTATATCGGATTTTGACATGATGGATGTCCAGCTGAAGGAGGGAGACAACGCTACTCTGGAGTGCAACGCTAAAGGCACCCCTCCACCTAACGTTACATGGACTTATAAGTATATACTATTACATATTTTTATAGCTTTTGTTGTAGGCCAAAACCTCCTTTCTAAGGAGAGGATTATGTTCAGCAGTGGACTGTTAAAGGCTGTTGATGTGATAGCTTTTGTTTCAATATACAGTCACGTGTATATTTATGCTCGTGACTGTTCATCACAGCTGTACAATACTTTTTGTGTAATAAAGAATATCCGTTTCACATAACATCATCACTGCAACAGTCTTTAATAGTCCACTGCTGGTCATAAGTTCCCCACAGAAAGGAGAATTTGGCCTACTATACCACGCTGACCAGACGGGTTGGTATAGGATTTATGTCATGTTTTCCTTCTCTTCGCAGTGCTGTTGTCCTGCGTATTTTGTCTTCTTCCTTTTTTAGTCGGCTCTTACGACACGTCCACCGGATGAATAGGAGTGGTAACATGTTGTTTAGGTATTCTTCATCTGTGACCTGTTGATGGATATCTGTTTAACACTGCTTAAAAGTAATTAAATAAATAAATAAAATAAAATTACACAGGAACACTAAAACTAAAATGAACCTTAAACACTAGCACCTGAACTAGGTGCTAGTGTTGAGTTTGTGTCGCAGATGCTAGTTTCTTTGAGAAAAAGTGTGTGGTTTAATGTTCTGCTATCATTTATACGAACTATGCAATTCTAACATGTAGTGACCTCACAAATAACAATATTGTGTTCAACATTCGTCGAGTTATCTATCTAATAGAATAGAATAAGCTTTATTGTACATCAGTTTAGTACATCATATGTATATAAAATTATTGACCGTATACAAATGGCGGCCTTATCGCTAAAAAGCAATTTCTTATAGTCAACCTTTGGATGGACAAATAGACTATAGATCTATAGGTAAATTCTAATAAGCCCATTATAGAATATTTCACAATGTACATATTTATTTGTCAGTAACCCACACTGGCACGTGGAGGGTACGTCCCTCTGGTCGGCCAACATATCAGACATGTGGGCGGGGCTGTACCGCTGTGACGCGGTGAACAGCGCCGGCGCCACTCACCTGGTGTACCGCGTCACGGTCGTCAGTGCTGCGCGGGTGCAAGAAATCGTGGCCTATGTGCACAGGGAAGGGACCACTGTTGGGAATACCTTGGAACTTGTCGTGAGTAATCACCACTGCTGAAGAAACAACTACAGGACTTATTAATTCGTCAGTACAGGATTACATCTATATATTAGCGTTTTAGCTTTACGATTATTCAAGCCAGGTTTTATCCCTTAGAAATATAAATGTGTTTTTATAAGTTCCCGGTACCCTATTTTCTTTTCCACACTCATAATAATCTGAAATTGCATGATCATTAGGTGAATGTTTAAGGCCTGAAACCGTAACAGAGAAACGCACATTAACTTAAAATACAATTGTTTATTGATGTAATCTGTAGGAGAGATTTCTAGTAAAGGGACGGAAGTATGTAACAGGTCTTTGACTAAAGAGTCTAATCAAATTTGATTTGACCATCATTTCTTCATATCTTTTTTAACGTTTCTTCATTCATTCATCCTTCATTTCTTCCTGGGACTTCCCGAGTGTCATAACTCGGTGTGTTCGTGGGCACTGCTGTGGATCCTGGTGTACAGGAGTTACAGTGGTGGGCATGTGGGCGGGATTAGTCCCATATCTTTTTTAACGTAGGAGAGCCATGCTTCTGCATACATGGTCCAGACTGGACCGGAGTGATACCAGGGCCTCGCATAACAAGTGTTAACTAGTTCTTTCCATGCTTTTCACAGAGTGAGGTTACAAAAACCTCCCCCTCCCTCTTATTCTGGGGGGAAGGACCGAAAGGGCGGCAACGCATTTGTGAATCTTTAGTTGCGGGTGTTCATGAGCGATGGTGGTCACATACCGTCAGGTGACCCGTCTGTTCGATTGTCCCTTATACCGTAAAAAAATATTATTTGTACTGGTCTGGGGTTCGATTCCCGGGTCGGACCAAATGTTTGGGTGGTCTCGTAATATATATGTATTTACAAAAAAAAATAGGTATTCTTTTAGTCAATCCAGCTTTCTTAATACAAGCTCTCCTTAGTTTGAAGCTAGATGGCGTTGTGTGTTAGATGTTCAAAAATATTATTATATTACACCACGCTGGCCAGGCGGGTTGGTATAGGGTTTGTTTCAAGTTTTCCTTCTCTCTGCAGTGCTGTTATTCTGCGTAGTTTGCTCCCTTAGTCGGCTCTTACAACACGACGATGAATAGGGGTGGTGACACTCTGTATTCTTATTATGCGACTTCTATGAGACTTAATCGTTTTTTTCTTACAGCACGGCTGTAACGTTAGGGTAGCATGCAAGGCATCAGGAAACCCCGTCCCTGATATACAGTGGGTGCGACAAGGCCGAGCTATTAGCGAGAACAGATACGACATTGACTACGCAGACCTGACTCTTGCTGGAGTAGACTCCAGTCACAAAGGGCTTTACACTTGTGTCGCCAGCAACGAGGGGGGCAGTGATGATAGGAGAATCACCTTGGATGTATTGGGTAAGCATTATCAGCATATGCTTGCTCTTTCTTCAACTATATTCGAAGAGGCCAGGACCAGGTACTGGTTTGTTCACGCTTTATTTAAACATGTCACAAATACTAAGACCAACTGTACTAACCCAAATCTTTAAAAATTAAGTTTTATTAAATTCGGCATATTTTATTCCTTTTTTTTCAGAACCCCCAAAAATATTCCAATCATTATTCGAACCCACACATTCTTCAGAAGTCCACCTCGAGGTTATATCCGGACAATCATACTACCTCCACTGCCATCCGTACGGGAACCCCTTCCCAGAAGTCTACTGGTTCAGAGACGATGTTCCTCTTAAACTGTTCGATGACACGATGGTGTCTACTGAATTCGGTGAAGTTATAGTGGTGAAGGAAGCTTCGGAAGATCAGTCTGGCAACTATACCTGTGTTGCCAGGAATAAAGTCGGCAATACCAGTGTTACTTATCTGGTAGATGTATTGGGTGAGTTGATTAAGTCCATATATTATCAATATCCGTGTGGTGACGGATTAAGAATACGGAGTGTCATCCTATTCATCCCGTAGGTATTGTAACCAACTAAGGGAGCAAACTACGTAGGACAACAGCAGTGCAAAGAGAAGGAAAGTACAGTAGGCAAAAACCTCCTTTCTAAGGAGACACCTATGTCCAAAGCTGTTGATGATGATTATCAATATTCAGCTTCTAATGGCTTCATAACTCGCGAAGGAGGCCTTCAAACCTTCAATTAAAGAGCGTACTCCTTCCTCAAAGGCTGGCAACGCGCTTGTGACTCCTGATTTGCAGGCGTTCATGGGCGGCGATAGTCGCTTTCCATCAGGTGACCCGTCTGCTCGTTTGCCCCCTATTCCATAAAAAAAAAACAAAGAGATAATAGGAAAAAGTAAAAACGCATGTCTGTGCTCGTATGTAAATATAAATAAAGAATTGTGCACCTATTTTTAAAAAGGATATTTTACGTAATGTATACATAAAAAATTACTTACCCTGAATGATCTGAGGTTTAGGCCCCTTAGGGCTACAAACTTTGAAATTTTGGCAGCTGATGTTTTTATGCTTTAAGTGCCCATTAAGAAAGGATTTTCCGAAATTTTACCCCTAAGGGAGTAAATAAGGTACGAACGGTTGCATGGTAGTTTGTCATTTTTTGGGTTCTGTACTTCAAAATAAAAAAAATACGGAACCTTTAAAAGATCACTCTGTTGTCGGTCTGTCTATCTGTCAAGACTCTTTATTAAAGTTAGAAACACGAAATTAGAAATAATCGAATGAGTGAAGCCGCGGGCTAGATATCATCAGACAGTTAAGACTTAGACAATATTTATAAATCAAAGTAGATATATACACTTAAATAAAATAAAAAGTAAAAGACGACTAAGGGAGAAAACTACGCAGAACAACAGCCCTGCAGAGAGAAGGAAAACTTGACACAAACCCTTTTTTTTTTTTTTTTTTTTTTTTTTTTTTTTTTTTTTTTTTTAACGTGTGGAAATCCCCTCGGACCGTCACCCCTCCGGGGTTTGCGGCGGGGCGGTGTGTCGGACTCGGACCGACTAAAACCACACGGTGTGCCACTCTGCGCCTGTAACAGGAGGGATCCGGGAACAGCTGTTGTTAGGACATCCGGACCCCTCCTAGCGCCAGCCCGCTCCTGGTGCGGGCTCCGTCTCGATGTTTTCCTCTCTTTATAGGCGACGTCCGGCACACGCGGACGCCGCCCCCTCGCGGCTGGCCAAACTAATGCGGGTGGAGGGGAAACCCACCCCGTCCACCCGCGGCCACACTCAGGGCGGCATGAGGCTGTGGTAGGCGGGCCTCCGCCGCCCGGTTCGCCGGCGGCGGATCGGGTCCGAGTGGAGGTCGTCCTCCCGGGCCCTCTCCGCCGCCTCCTTCCGCGAGATTACTACCCCGCAGAAGGTTGCGACCGCGGTAAAACAACTGTCGCTACCGGCCATGGAGCGTACTACGGCCGGTAGCGAGAGATCCACTCCGATGACTGCAGTGAGGGCCCGGCGCTGCGCCGCCCATGCGGGGCAGACCGCCAGCGTGTGCTGGGCCGAGTCCTCACTGCAGTCGCAGTGGTGGCAGGCGGGACTCAGTTCCCTCCTTGCGACCGTGTGCAGGTACTTTCCGAAGCAACCGTGCCCGGAAAGCACCTGCGTCAGCCGGAAGGAAAGGGTCCCGTGCTGCCGCCCTGCCCACTCGGCGATGACCGGCTGGAGAGCCTCCACGGCGGCGAAGCCAGCGCGTGGAGTCTCCAGCCGGAACGACCAACGAGCCATCGTGGCTCGGCGAGCGGCTTCGCGCCACTCGCGCACATCCTCGGGCGGAGGGCGAAATCCGCTCTCCGCCCGGAAGTCAGCCACTCGCCGATAAACTTCGGCGAGCACTTCCGCCTCCAAATCCCACGGGGGAGTTCCGGCCAACGCGCATGCCACCTCCGTAGAAACGGTGCGGTAACCGCGTATGGCTCTGACCGCCATTACCCTCTGAGGGCGCCAGAGGCGTACCCTATTCTGGGCGGTCAGAGCCGCCGCCCACACCGGTGCACCGTACAGCGCCATTGACCGGACAACCCCCGTGTACAGCCGTCTTGTCGCGACGCTGGGTCCACCCATATTGGGCAAGAGTCGCCCTAGGGCAGACGCAGCGCCGACCAGCTTTGGAGCAAGCTGTCGGAAGTGCTCGTCGAAGAGCCACCTCCCGTCGAGGATCAGGCCCAGATATTTCATCTGGGCCCGAACCGGTACGAGGACCGAGTTGACCACGATTGAGGCGCCAGGGGGTGGACCACGACGGGGCCCATGGAATAACAGGGCCTCCGTCTTATCTAGGGCCACCCGTAAGCCCAGCGCCTCAATGCGCCCGACCACCAGGGAGACTCCCCCTGTGGCCAGGCGCGCCGCCTCTTGGAAGTTTGCCCCCCGGGCTGTCACGAGGGTATCGTCTGCGTAACAGATTACACCCAGCCCGGGGGGGAAATCGGCGCGAAGGGCCCAGTCGTACCCTATGTTCCACAAGAGGGGTCCAAGAACAGACCCCTGTGGAACACCGCACGACATGGGCCGACTCCTCAAATTACCTTCTCGGTCCTCGTACACGACGGTACGCTCCTCTAAGTAGTCTGCCACTAGCCGCCTCAGGTACTTTGGCACCCCATGATAGTGGAGTGCTTCCCTGATGCAGCTGAATGGCAGACTATTGAATGCGTTGGCGATGTCTAATGACACCGCCAACAGCACGCCGCCACAGCTCACTGCCTCTTCGGTCACAGCCCTCAGGCGCAACACGGCGTCGACTGTCGAACGCCCCGCCCGAAAACCAAATTGGGCGTCCGACAGATCGGGGCCCACCTCGCAGAGGTGCCGGACGATGCGGGCCGAAAGAACCCTCTCAAACAATTTGCCCGCCTCGTCCAGCAGCACGATGGGCCTATAGGCCGCGACCGAATCGGCAGGCCGTCCCGGCTTCTGCAGCAGGACCAGCTTCCCGCATTTCCAGCACTCAGGGAAGCGTCCGGACGCCAGGCTAGCGTCCAACACCCCCCTGAGGTGGTCCGACATGTAGTCGAGGGCTCGGGCCATCACTCGGGCTGGAACCCCGTCCGGCCCGGGGGCGGTGTTCTTGGATCGAATCCGTAGAACAGCCGCCCCCAACTCCGATTCCCTGACGGGCGGAGCATCGACCTCGCTGACCCCGTCGTCTCCGGCTGATGCAGCCATTGACGGGGGTGTGTGCTCCGCCCGCTGCGGGAATAGGCCCTCGACCACTTCCTGCAGGAAGCTGGGCTGGAGAGTCTCCGTAAGGGGGGGGCCCGACGCGCGGAGCTTTTGTCGCACCGCGCGGTAAGGGCGACCCCAGGGGTCACGATTAAGACCCTCCAGCATCTCCTGTCTCTTTTCCTCTTTGGCGCGGCTAATGGCCAGCTTCAGAGTTTTCCGCGCCCGCCGGTACTCCTCATGAAGCCGGTCCTCCTCACCGTCTCCACGGTGACGCCGCCGACTGCGTGTGTAGGACCTCCGGGCACGTGTACAGGCCGCACGGAGGTCCGCCAGCTCCTGGGACCACCAGTAGACCTCCTTCCTTGGAGGCCGACGACCTCGAATGCGGGGCATGGCCGCATCGCAGATATGCGTAATCGCATCGCGAAAGCGGCCAGCCCCCACGTCGACCTCCTCGGTCGGAGCCTGAGGAGACAGCCACGAGTGAATTATGGCTGCCTCCTCTAGTAGGTCCCGGTTCAGTCTGGCAACAGCCCACCGCGGAAAGCGGGATAAACGCCGCGCCACGTGACCCCTACTGGAGTCCTGGGTCCGGGAGAGCTCAAATCGGATATACAGGTGATCCGAGAGCGTCTCAACCTCTTCCAGGACACACCAGTTCCTTACTCGTGCGGCGAGGGCAGGGGTAGCGAACGAGAGGTCCACTATCGACCCCCCCTGCTGTCGCACGCACGTGTTGGTGGAGCCTCTGTTTAGAAGACAGAGGCCCACCGAGGCCGCCCACTCCTCTACGGCCTCGCCCCTTGCGTCCGTCCTGGGGGAACCCCACGCAATGGACTTTGCGTTGAAGTCCCCCAGCACAAGGACGTGCCCAGACGCTAGTCGCCGTATCGAGGTCTCCAAGCTGGTTAGGAAAACCTCGAAGTCGTTCAAACTCCGGTTGGGGGAGAAATAAACACCATATATGGTGATCCCCCCCCACTCGACGGCAACATATCCAGTGCCCTTGTCTCTTAGCGACAAGGGCGGGGAATGAGCCGTCGTGGAACCGACGACTGCCACGGAGCCGTCCCAGTCACCCATCCAGTTTGGACGGGGAGGGACAGAATAGGGCTCCGCGACTACGGCAACACCTATCGACCACTGTGCCATGGTTTGCAGGAAGAGATCCTGCGCCGCGGCACAGTGGTTCAGGTTCGTCTGGACCAGGAGGCTGGAGACCCGATCCATTACTGGATCGTCTCTACAGCCTCCTCCATGGGCGACGACGTCGACGCACGAACTACATCGGAGGCAGCCTGGGTCGACTGGCTAGCCCCCGATGCTTGCTGAGAGTTGCGGGGAGGCTTGCAGCCCCCCTGCCCCATCTGATGATTAGCGGGCTTGTTACCCGCCGCACACACCGGGCAGTGAGGGGCGGCAGAGCATTCCACCGCCACATGCCCCGGTCGACCACAGCGGAAACATAGTCCGCTGCAGTCGAAGCAGCTTTGGCACTTGACGCGCGTGTGCCCCGATGCTAGGCATTTGTAACACCTCATCGGTCTCGCCGCCAGGACTGTGATCCTAGCGCTCACGAAACCGATGAGCAGCCTGCCGGCGTCGGCCAATACTTTGGCCGACGCTACGGGACAGCTGACCCACACGGCGCCAAGCCCCCCTGGACCGGGGCGGATGGTGCCGACCCTGACGTTGTCCGCGCTGCACCCCGTCTTCTCCCGGATTACAGCGCGGACATCTTCGGCCGTCACAGAGTCGTCCAGGCCCGAGATGCGCAGCTCCGCGCACTTGGTAGGCCTGGCGATCTTGACACCATCTGTGGCCGCGAATAAACCCCGCAGCCTCTCAGCGAAAGTGTCCGCCGTCTTGGCGCCTTCAGCCCCTGGGAACTCGAGAACTCGAGCTCCCGTTTGGGCGAGGCGCATCCTGACCCCCACCGTCCCGAAGTCGTTGGCGAGGCTGTCCCGGGCCTTTTTAAAAACGGCCGCGTAGGACAACCCGCCGTCAGCCGCCTCCGGGGATACGGTCACCACTACAGCCGCGGTTTTGGGCGGCTGCAGCTTCCGCGGCCTCTTTGCAGAGGCCGTTGCCACCGGTGGCGAAGGCTGGGCTTGGGCTGCTTTTTGGGCAGCCCTTCTGGCCCGCCTTCGGGACTTCTTGGAGCCCCTCGCCTCCTGCCAGCCCTCGTTGGAGGGGGCAGGTGCGGAGGGGCCCGGCAGGGGTGTCGGAGTGGGGAGCGGAGGGAATGCCACTCCGCTCCTCGGCGCCGTTTTAGGCCCCGTCTTGGCCGGCACTTTGGCCTGCGCCTTGGCCGGCGCCTGGGACGGTGCCTTGGCCGGCGCCTGGGCCGGTGCCTTGGCCCCCCTCCTCGGCTTTCGGGGCAGACGCCGCCGCCGCGTAGGAGACGCGGCCTCCCACTACGGGGAGCGCGGTCGGAGCGGCGGCCTTAGGCCGCTGTGTCGACGCGAGCGGGGAGCGCACAACCGGCGCAGGGGGCAGTCTCGCCTCCAGGCCAGCCAGGCGTCCGTCCAGCATATTCCCAACTGCGATGAGGATTTCTCGCAGTTGGGAGTCAAATGCCCCTGAGTTGGTAGTAGGGGCAGGCTGGGACGCGGACGGGGCTTCCCGCTCGGGGAGGTTCGCCTGGAAGCGGGCGAACTGAGCGCTCAGCTCGTTCACCCGCTCCGTCAGCCTCTCGTTGGCCACCTGCAGGCGAGACACATCGCCCACTAGGCTCTCCACGACCTCCGACAAAGCGGAGGAGGAGTCCTTAAGGGCCCTCACAAACGAGCCCTTAAGGTTCACGGACTTGGTGGCCACCTTGTGGATGACGGCCACCGCCGCTTTCGCCCTCTCCTGCACGGACACGGAAGCCTGGGGCATTTCCCCCCACCGGCTCCCGAACCTTGAGCAGGAGATCCGCGATCTCCTCCTCCGCTACGGCCTCGCCGTCCACTCGTACATTCCTGTACGACTCCGCGTTTGAGAACGCGGAGCCTGACGGGGTCGAGACCGGGGCCGAGGCAGGTTTGCGTGCCCTCCCTCGGCGGCTGCTTGCCACCTTCGGTGGCATCATCTCCTGGGACGTGTCGGTTTCCTCGTCCCTGGAGCGTCCTCGTTTCCGGCTGTCGCTTCGCTCCGCCTCCATGGCGTCAGCGCCATCCGACGAAACGGCGGATCCGGAGCGCAGCCGATCTGATGCTCTTCGGCTCCCAGAGACCAGCGTCAGACTGACTTCTGGGAGCCCCATAGAGATAGGCGTCCCCGACGCCACCTCACCCTCAGTGGACGACCCATCCGCTCCACTGTTCTGCTTCTCCTTCCTTCCCTTCGTTTTCTTCGTTTCCGTTAGACTTGCCTTCTGTTGTTGGTTATTTCCGATCGTTTTTTGTGTTTTAAGGTTTTGAATTTTTTCCATATTTAATCCCACGAGTGGGGGAGAACTAAAGGTCCACCCGGGCAGAGATCCCCCATTACCCGGGCAAGCGTAAGTTTTTAACCCAACCGAGGGGTCCGCAGGTACCTCGGCTTGGAGTGCGCTCGCGACTGAACTTCCCATCAGCCATGCATCCCCTGGCCACGCACCAGAACACGGGATTCGGGGAATTTTTTAGAGAGGTTATCTTCCTCGCGGTCCGGGCGGTTAAGCCAAGACCCTCGCCCCCGATCAGAGCCGCGAGACTTAACCACAGCGCTCTTCTCGGGATTACGATATGCCGACGGTTGACAGGGAGACTACGTCCCCCTGCCTGCTCGGTGGTAGTGTGAGTACACGCCGAGCCCGTCCTCCTTTCTCCACCGCTGTCAGCGGAGAAACTGTGGCCCCTACAGGGCCCCGCCATCAGGTTTTTTACCGAGGTTTCCTCCTCCATGCTCCGAAGAGCGAAGAGCCAGCAGGGCAACCGGCAGACACGCCCACCCTGCTGGACCAGGCCTTGCCCGAGAGCCGATGAACGGCTGCCTCTTCTGCTAGAATATTGGCCGCTGGCGATAATCCTCTCCTCCAAGAGGACAAGGAGGGAACAGTACCATCGCCAGCGTTTCCAGGGTGCACCACGAGGAGGTTTTCTAGCCCAGCACCCCAAACCCTATACCAACCCGTCTGGCCAGCGTGGTATAATAGGCCAAAACCTCCTTTCTAAGGAGAGGCTTACGTCCAGCAGTGGACTATTAAAGGCTGTTGATGTGATGTGATACACTTAAATTTCTTAAACTTAGTTCAGTCATTTCTTTTTAGTACCGCCGATATCACCGAAGGATTCTTCTAGAAAGGTTGTAGCTACTTTCGGGAAGCAGTTGGTCCTAGAGTGTCCGTCTGTGGGCACTCGCCCTAACGTCATGTGGATCAAACACCCTTACACTGAGATTAACGCCGACAAGAAGATCTCGTTTGCAGATGACAATTTTACTATGGTGAGTTAGCCACCTTACCTGAGATATTAACCATATTTGTCTTCTGGTACTTCTGTCTGGTTCAGAAGTATTTAAATAGATAAACCGCTTAATTGAGTCCTTGCTAAAAGACCCTTGGTGGGACGAGAACGGGGACCGGAAGAAGTACGGGCGGCAGGCGCCATTTTTATTACGCTATGAACGCCCGCTGTCCGGCGTTGTTCGACCAACAACTAATACTTATAAATGTAGGGATATAGTTTGTTAAATAAAACAGTAATGTGATCAGATACTCACAAAATATACCAGTCGAGAGCAATGCATCGGATTATTAAAGACTACCTTCAGTGTGTGGATATTAACTGTTTGGAGGGGCCAGCATGCAGCCTAGATGTCTACACAATCGAACACGTATAGGACAACTTCGGATTCGCCAGACAACGAAAACATTTTAAACACCCGCACTAGGAATATATCCTGTAACATACATGAAACGGACACAAAGAACACCCAGACTCAGAACAACAATTTGTGGATCACACAAAGTGTCGTCCTATGTGGGGTTTGAACCCACAACACTCGGCCTAGTAGAAAGCGGCGTGGCGACCGCTTAAACCACTACGCCATCTGTGCAGTCAACTTCCGCCAATCAGTTGAGAGCTCATAAAAGAATTGGAGAAAATTACTCCAAATTGTATAAATATTACATTACTCCGCGATATCTTCAAATTGGCAGCAAATGTGTTGGCTACTGGTGGAGTTTATCATTTAATTAGGTAAAAAATAATCCTATCCCCTCCTTCCAATCTGCAAACGGCCAGCTATTTAATTTATGCCCATATTATATCGGACTACTAATATAGTTATACTATTTATTTTAGATAATCAACAAAACCATAGTATCCGACAGCGGTAATTACTCCTGTATACTAACTAACAAGGTTGGCACCACAGAAGTGATGTTTGAGGTTGTTGTGCTAAAGCGGCCGTCGATTGCCGGCAATGTAGGCACCAATATAGTGGAGGGGCACGTTGTACCGTTGAGAAGGAGCATTGTACTCAAATGCGAAGTTGATGGTCACCCGTTTCCACAGATTACTTGGTTAAAGGTAAGAGAAAACCCGATATCTTTAATTACAGATAACATTTAAATTCGGCATAAATATTTGTGGACACAAATTGTAGTCTCGTTTAGAAATTAAAACACTTTGAAGCGTGTAGGTTTGAAGTCGTCATAAGACAAGCAAGCAGCCCTTCGGACTATATTTAAAAGAACATGATATAAATATAAAAGAAACGTTAGGTATGCCTTTACGTTTTAATGTAGTATTTTTTCTTTTGTATTTTTAGTTTCTGAATTGCCCAGGAGAGGGCTCTCAGCCTCTCTCAGCTTTATAATTAGCAAAATATAGGTGTTAAAAACTTCTTGCGAAATACCGGCGTGAGTGTACGTATTATTATTCTGGTGTGGCAACTTTCCAGGACACCCAGATGCTGAGCGACAGCGTGTCGAACATCCAGCGCGTGCTGGGCAACAGTCTGCTGGCCATCTGGAGCGTGGAGGCTCGCGACGCCGGACAGTACATCTGCCTCGCGGAGAACATGGCCGGCTCCGCGCACAGGAGATACAACGTTGCTATACAGGGTGTGTACATAGATATGTAACTACTCTTGGAGACTCCTACACGTCTCCTCCTCCTACATTACAGACTCCTACGTCTGTAATCTTCTCCACAATCATCATCATCTGTATCAAATGTGTGTAAAAATTACTACTATACTATAATTTGACTCCACGGATGGCGTAGTGGTTTAAGCGGTCGCCACGCCGCTTTCTATTGCGCTGAGTGTTGTGGGTTCAAACCCCAAATTGGAAAACACTTTGTGTGATCCACAAATTGTTGTTCTGAGTCTGGGTGTACTTTGTGTCCGTTTCATGTATGTTTGTAAAGTCCCCCGCGACACAGGATTTATTACTAGTGCGGGAGTTGTCTTTTTTAATAAAAAATAAATAAAAATAAAATTAGGGTTTGAAATTCCAGTGAAAGTTCTGTTCAATCTTATGTTTCTAAATTAAAGGTACGATATTGGATTACCTTTAAGTGGAAAACTCGTAGCGACGTCGAGGCGTCGGTAGAAAGAGAAAGACGGCTATCTACATTCGTCTCTCTCTCATCGCTGATTTGTCTGTCTAATCGGCGAACAGGTGCGAGAGAGACGCATATAAATCGCTGTCTTCTATATTTTTCTACCAACGTAAACCGCTGTCTTCTTTCTCTTTCTACCGGCGTCCCCGGATCGTGGCTCGCTTTTTCCTCTATCTGTGTTATCTCTATGACGTTATGTCCTTCTGATACTCCAGACAAGGTGATACAAAATATTTGATCATTTGAACCAAAGCAATGACAGCGTAACAAACAAAGTTAAGTTAGGATAAGGACATGATTTTACAAATTTATTTACAGATTTTTCTGTTCGAGTAAATTGTAAAAAGTTTTTTAATTTTAGTGCCGGCGAAATGGAGTGGCTGGTCAGCATGGTCTTTTTGCAACGTCACCTGTGGGTTAGGATACCAGACCAGATCCAGGCTCTGTCATTATATTGATGATCGCAACAACACCTACGGTAGTCTATTACTGTTTTACTTTAGAGCGCTTTTCTTAAACACGTTCGCTCCTATCGCGCTATCATATTGTTAAGTGAAAACTATTGCGTTTAGACTGTGGCGACATAAATGTACAGAAAAACTTATTACAACGCCATCTGTCGAAAACTGCATGAACTATATGAAAAACTTCTATACCTACATCGCGCAATAAAAGTTCTCCCGTTGTTTAGTTTATATACAGAACGTTCTTGCATAATTGTAGACTTTCAAGAACTATTTGAATTTTTCTCTACAAACATGTACGTCGACGTCTAACCTGACCAATCCTTCAAGGAAACTCAATGGTGCCTAATCAATGGCGTTTAGCTAAAACAATATTTTTGTTAAATTATTAGGTACCGGTCACCAAAATAATAACTAAAATACATAGATTAACTAACCAATAATAATGAAGACTTAATATTGCAGTTAAAAGGTAAAGTAATCGATACAATAAAATTAAAAATACAGATACAAATTAATTAGTATGTAATACAAACGACTCCTAAGTATCAGTTCATCAACAGCCTTTAACAGTCCACTGCTGCACATAAGCCTCTCCTTAGAACAGAGGTTTTGACCGTCTAGCCAGCGTGGTATAGTAATACCACGCTGGCTAGACGGGTTGGTATAGGGTTTTCACTCGTGGCTGTCTCCTCAGGCTCGGACCGAGGAGGTCGACGTGGGGGCTGGCCGCTTTCGCGATGCGATTACGCATGTATGCGATGCGGCCATGCCCCGCGTTCGAGGTCGTCGGCCTCCAAGGAAGGAGGTCTACTGGTGGTCCCAGGAGCTGGCGGACCTCCGTGCGGCCTGTACAAGTGCCCGGAGGTCCTACACGCGCAGTCGGCGGCGTCACCGTGGAGACGGTGAGGAGGACCGGCTTCATGAGGAGTACCGACGGGCGCGGAAAACTCTGAAGCTGGCCATTAGCCGCGCCAAAGAAGAAAAAAGACAGGAGATGCTGGAGGGTCTTAATCGTGACCCCTGGGGTCGCCCTTACCGCGCGGTGCGACAAATGCTCCGCGCGTCGGGCCCCCCCCTTACGGAGACTCTCCAGCCCAGCTTCCTGCGAAAAGTGGTTGAGGGCCTTTTCCCGCAACGAGCGGAACACACTCCCCCGGCGATGGCCTCCTTGGCCGGAGACGACGGGGAGCACGGGGAGGAAAATGTTCCGCCCGTCCGGGATTCGGAGGTAGGGGCGGCTGTTCTACGGATCCGTTCCAAGAACACCGCCCCTGGGCCAGACGGGGTACCGGCCCGAGTGCTGGCCCTGGCCCTCAACCACATGGCAGACCGCCTCGGGGAGGTGTTCGACGCTAGCTTGGCGTCGGGACGCTTCCCTGAGTGCTGGAAGAGCGGGAAGCTGGTCCTATTAAGGAAGCCGGGACGGCCTGCCGATTCGGTCGCGGCCTATAGGCCCATCGTGCTGCTGGACGAGGCGGGCAAATTGTTTGAGAGGGTTCTTTCTGCCCGCATCGTCCGGCACCTCTGCGAGGTGGGCCCCGATCTGTCGGACGCCCAATTTGGTTTTCGGGCGGGGCGTTCGACAGTCGACGCCGTGTTGCGCCTGAGGGCCGTGACCGAAGAGGCCGTGAGCTGTGGCGGCGTGCTGTTGGCGGTGTCATTAGACATCGCCAACGCATTCAATAGTCTGCCATTCAGCTGCATCAGGGAAGCACTCCACTATCATGGGGTGCCAAAGTACCTGAGGCGGCTGGTGGCAGACTATTTAGAGGAGCGTACCGTCGTGTACGAGGACCGAGAAGGTAATTTGAGGAGTCGGCCCATGTCGTGCGGTGTTCCACAGGGGTCTGTTCTTGGACCCCTCTTGTGGAACATAGGGTACGACTGGGCCCTTCGCGCCGATTTCCCCCCCGGGCTGGGTGTAATCTGTTACGCAGACGATACCCTCGTGACAGCCCGGGGGGCAAACTTCCAAGAGGCGGCGCGCCTGGCCACAGGGGGAGTCTCCCTGGTGGTCGGGCGCATTGAGGCGCTGGGCTTACGGGTGGCCCTAGATAAGACGGAGGCCCTGTTATTTCATGGGCCCCGTCGTGGTCCACCCCCTGGCGCCTCAATCGTGGTCAACTCGGTCCTCGTACCGGTTCGGGCCCAGATGAAATATCTGGGCCTGATCCTCGACGGGAGGTGGCTCTTCGACGAGCACTTCCGACAGCTTGCTCCAAAGCTGGTCGGCGCTGCGTCTGCCCTAGGGCGACTTTTGCCCAATATGGGTGGACCCAGCGTCGCGACAAGACGGCTGTACACGGGGGTTGTCCGGTCAATGGCACTGTACGGTGCACCGGTGTGGGCGGCGGCTCTGACCGCCCAGAATAGGGTACGCCTCTGGCGCCCTCAGAGGGTAATGGCGGTCAGAGCCATACGCGGTTACCGCACCGTTTCGACGGAGGTGGCGTGCGCGTTGGCCGGAACTCCCCCGTGGGATTTGGAGGCGGAAGTGCTCGCCGAAGTTTATCGGCGAGTGGCTGACTCCCGGGCGGAGAGCGGATTTCGCCCTCCGCCCGAGGATGTGCGCGAGTGGCGCGAAGCCGCTCGCCGAGCCACGATGGCTCGTTGGTCGTTCCGGCTGGAGACTCCACGCGCTGGCTTCGCCGCCGTGGAGGCTCTCCAGCCGGTCATCGCCGAGTGGGCAGGGCGGCAGCACGGGACCCTTTCCTTCCGACTGACGCAGGTGCTTTCCGGGCACGGTTGCTTCGGAAAGTACCTGCACACGGTCGCTAGGAGGGAACTGAGTCCCGCCTGCCACCACTGCGACTGCAGTGAGGACTCGGCCCAGCACACGCTGGCGGTCTGCCCCGCATGGGCGGCGCAGCGCCGGGCCCTCACTGCAGTCATCGGAGTGGATCTCTCGCTACCGGCCGTAGTACGCTCCATGGCCGGTAGCGACAGTTGTTTTACCGCGGTCGGTAATATATTGAGACGGAGCCCGCACCAGGAGCGGGCTGGCGCTAGGAGGGGTCCGGATGTCTTAACAACAGCTGTCCCCGGATCCCTCCTGTTACAGGCGCAGAGTGGCACACCGTGTGGTTTTAGTCGGTCCGAGTCCGACACACCACCCCGCCGCAAACCCCGGAGGGGTGACGGTCCGAGGGGATTTCCACACGTTAAAAAAAAAAGGGTTTGTGTCAAGTTTTCCTTCTCTCTGCAGTGCTGTTGTTCTGCGTAGTTTTTTCCTCTTACGACACCCACGGGATGAATAGGGGTTGTGACACTCTGTATTCTTAATCCGTCACCACGCGGACCAAGTATCAGAAGTATCATTTAATTATTAAACTATAAATTCAAAATATTCATTATTAACAGTTTCTTAGTCATTATACAGTATAATCTATCTGTATATTTACCTTTCAGATAGCTCTTCTAACTCAGAGACTATAGTTCTGGACGAGTCTGCGTGTAAAGGCCCCTCAGACGACAGGCGCAAATGTCACATGCCTCCTTGTCAAGTAAGTGCTTTCTTTATTAAATATTTCATTCATTTCATGAATTTTAGTTATTTTTACTAATCCTTAATAGTTCTGTATTATTGAGAAATATGATTTATCGTTGTGAATTGTCCTAAAATTCTAGTATTGAAATAAAGCGACGACCGAATGGCGTAGTGGTTTATGTAACGCACTGCTATTCCAAGTCGCGGGTTCGATTCCCGCTCAAGTCAAACATTTGTGTGCATGAATATTTAATGTTTGATTTGGTCTGGGTGTTTCTATGTATAATAAGTATGTATTTTTTAAAAAAATTATATATATATTTATTTTTTTAAGCACGTGACATAACAAAAAAAAATCTTAAGAGAATTGTTAAGATTTTGAATTTTTTGATGGTACTTATGATCTAGTAATAAAAAGAACCAAGAAGAACCAAGAAGAAAGAAGTTCACATGTCACTAAATACATATGTTAGTAAACATCAAAGCAGATAATACGTTGTACAGATAAAACTTGTATGAAATACCAACTTGCGACGTCATAGTTTGCTATCTTCGATATTTTAATACTTGTAAAATATCATACCAATTGAAACTGATGACAAATTTAAATTCTCCACGCTATATACACTTTGGAGATGCCTATGTCCAACAGTGGACAGCGATGGATTGATGATGATGATACACATATAGATGTAAAATGAATGAAGAATGATAAAATTCACAATATCAAGTATTATCTAACACTTCATTTTGTGAAGTTTAGTAAAAGTGCAGTTCTGATCTTTTCGTTACGTTTCAGGAAGATAGTTCGAAGCCCCGGTGGAGTCAGTGGTCGCACTGGTCGGAATGTTCGGCCACCTGCGGCGCCGGCTCACAAGCCAGGACGAGGAAATGCAAGACCAAGGCTAAATGTGTAGGGGATAACGTTCAAGTGAGTGGACAAATCTTTCAATCATCAACGGCCTTTAATAATCCACTGTTGAACATAGGCCTCTCCTTAGAATGGAGCTTTTGGCCCACTATATCACTGGCTAAATGAATTGGTATAGGGTTTGTTCCAAGTTTTCCTTCTCTCTGCAGTGCTGTTGTCCTGCGTAATTTGCTCCCTTAGTCGACTCTTACGACCCATGGAATGAATAGGGGTGGTGACACTCCGTGTTTTTAATTCGTCACCACACGGATACTGTAATATGAATCATATAATTTTATTATTTTTGTAGATTAAAAAGTGTACAGATTTGCCCCCGTGTAGTCCAGTAGCCAGTTCAGGTGACAGTGATGTTTTCGACAGCTCCGAGGACATCAGTAATTCTGTGAGTACCAAACACTAGATACCAGTCGCCACAGTGCTTTATTCTTCTGACTCTTTGTATTTAATTATAATTTAAACATACGAGTAACCTTCCTGGCAAACCGAAGTAAAAAGCCACCATGTATTATTGCAAAAAAATCAAATAAAAAGCAAAACGTATGTTTTTATAAACTATAAGCAGAAATAAACCATACATTAAAAACATGGGGATTGTACTTGACCTCATGATGTTTTTTTTAGTTTTACATCACTGTACAAAAAGATGGTTCATTCATGACAAAGGTTCATTGAAAGCTTTTTTTTAAATGATCGACTATTTTTTTAATTTTAGTTCGATTTGCTATTAAAACAAATTTATTTCTTATTTCTTAGTTTTATATCATCTTCAATCCTTGATACTTGTGCAAATATTTAAATTCGTGTTGAGATTTGTAAAAATACATAAAAAAGACAACCGATTTCGTAACAAGTTAAAAAAAATTACTTATATACTTACGCAAATATCCACAGAATCCATACATACCAGACATTACGTTTGAGTCAGAACCTGAAGTAGTAGACTCACATTATTCACCGGATGTTGAAGAATTTTATAGTGCATCAGGTAAGTACAATAAAAGTTTATATGCATACTTACATACGTCGAAGAAAATTTTCTGACAAGTAGTTAAGGGTTCCAAAACCACCCAGTATTTCCCGGCACACACAAACCACGGGAGTTCACACACATAAACATTTACAACCAGCTTAAAGAAGATAACAAGAATTTTAGTTTTGTCATGCCAGGCAAATTTAGCGCTTGGGGTATTAGACTACAAGTAAGGAGCGGCCGCAACTGATTATTCAGTAGGACCCCGCTCGTCGGTCAGCGAACACGTCAGTTCTAGTGATGTGCCGGATATCTTAAGATACTTAAGTTACTTAACTCGAAACTTAAGATCCGTATCCGTATCCGTATCCGCGGATCTTGACACCAAATATCCGTATTCGGATCCGTATCCGCGGATATACTTTGTTAACGATCCGGCACATCACTAGTCAGTTCAAAAAACTCGTGACGGGACATTTTAGATATAATTTTATTACAATGAAGGCATATAGACGTGGTTTAGTATCCGATTGCAAAAATGCAACACTAACGTCGTCAGAAAAGATTAGAGTTAAGCAAAAGAAAAAGTGGCAGCTTCTTGGTGAATATTACTGTGCGACCTAAATTGCACTTTATTGCGTCGTGTTTAAATGTAAATTTTTATACTACCTACTATTTATATATTCTGAGGTTATGTGTGACCATAAATAACATTTTCGTGTAATGAATTATGAGCTTTAAGAAGAAGAATATCGAGTCTGGAAAACTCTTGTGTTAATTTAGATTTTAACCTTTTAATTTTTTTTATTAGAATTTAAGTTTTTTTTAAATGTTTTACCTTAGGTGCTCAATCACCAACTGCGTTCTTTGACGTAGAAGTGAAGGAAAACTTGGACGGTAGGGTACAGGGGCCCTGCGACCCGGGGTACAGCCACAACATATCTACTAACACCTGTGATGGTAAGAATTGTTGAATATTCTAACTGGTTCTGGGTTCAATGACAGGGTCGGACCAAATGTTGGTATTATTTGTAAATTTTTGTTACGGAGTTTGGATGTTTTCTATGTGTAATATGTATGTATTTATAAAAATAAAGTATTCTATCAGACAATCTAGCTTCCATAGTACAAACTCTTCTTAGTTTGAAACTAGATGGCGTTGTGTGTCAGATGTCTGAAATATTATTATTATTCATTTATTTTGGACACAAGCGTGAGTATATATATAAGTACGCTTATTATATTGATTACTATGTGTGTTAGATGTCGACGAGTGTACGGTGGAGAGGAACCAGTGCCACTCGACGCAAGTGTGCATGAACACGGCGGGCGGGTACCGCTGCACGTGTCCCGCGGGATACCTGGCGCTCGCCGCGGGACAGAGGTGCCTCGGTCTGTATACTGGCATATAAAACTACTAGTTAAGTTAATTTAACTTAAATGAGAAACTTTAGAGGGACAGAAGGAGAGAGAGAGAGAGGACAGGGAGCGCAAGTAGAAAGGGGAAGAGGGGTGTAGAGTAGTAGAAAAGGAGTGGGGAGGTAGGAAGGGGCAGAGATAGGGGGCAAATCGCTTGCTGGAGCGAAGGAAAAAGACAGGAATGATAGGAGCAAAAATATTTGCTTGTTAAATATCATATATTCACTTTTTAAACATGCTGCATAACATGCTGACATGCTTCATAAACCTATCGTTTTATAATTATTTATTTATTTAAAATTTCGTAAACTCATTTGAAAACTAAATAGTTGACTGCACGGATGGCGTACTGGTTTAAGCGGTCGTCACGCCGCTTCTTACTACGCCGAGTGTTGTGGATTCCCATGTGGGGTACATGGGACGACACTTTGTGTGACCCACAAATTGTTGTTCTGAGTCTGGGTGTTCTTTGTATCCATCGTGTATGTTTGTAAAGTCCCCCGCGACACAGGATAGATTTTCCTTACGCGGGAGTTGTCTTTTAAAAAAAACTTATAGATAAGTTCTATATCGTATACATTTTTTTTTGTTAGTTAAATGAATAGTTAATCAGAGACGTCTGAACAAGTTATGTTAAATCTAAGTGACTGACGTTTATCTATACTTTTGTAAACAGACTACTAATAAACATACGTTATATTTATAAATACATATGTACATAAATAGATAAATTACACCAAGATATAGTAGATGTCATCGTGCTTATCTCAACATTGTCCTGGTTTGGAATCGAACAAACGACCTCTCGCTTGACAGTCATATTTACTAACTACTAGTTAAACTGACCAATCCATAAGTTGTATGATTTGAGATATAACATAAAAATAATTAGAAAAGAGTCTTTAAAAGGTTTTAATTCGGATTAAGAGAGATTAAACAGACGGTTTAAGAATACGGAGTGTCACCAACCCATTCATCCCGTGGGTGTTGTAAGAGCCGCCTGAGGGATTAAACTATGCAGGACAATAGCACTGCAAAGAGAAGGAAAACTTGAAACAAACCCTATACCAACCCGTCTGGCCAGCGTGGTATAGGCCAAAACCTCCTTCCTAAGGAGAGGCCTATGTCCAGCAGTGAACTACCAAAAGCTGTTGATGATGATTGATTTTCTTACGTAGCAATTTTTTTTATTGTTTTAACTAATTAACTAATCAAATAATTAAATTTAGACGGGCTTGTTTGTCTAGTTGTAAGTGACTCTGACTGCTAAGCTAGAGGTTGTGAGTTCGATTCCAACCCAGTACAAATGATTGTGTGATGAGTAGCATCATTTGTTCTATGCCTGGATGTAATTTATCTGTATTATGTATGTATTTGTAAATATTTAAGTACCTATGTTTATCAGCAGTCTGGTTACCATAGCACAGGCCCTGCCTTGTTTGGGATCAGACTGTTGTGTCTAAGATGTGTTCATATGTAAATAGTTTAAATGACAACAGTATAAATTAACAGCTCGGAGCTGATTAGATGATGGAGCCAAGGAAAGCATTGGTATATGATAAAGTCAAAAAATAAATATTGAAACTGTTTTTGAAGTTAAAACTTCTTATGGGAGGGTAAACCGCTTCGTTACGTAACGCATTACGGTGCCAGTCTGTCTGGCTTCCCTTTCTCTCACGCATACGGTAGCGGTAGGCAGGCTCCTCCTCTCTCTTGCTTATTATAGCTACTAAAAGCCAATGGTTACTTTTATAGGATTAAATAATGATACTAATAATGTACATACACAAAATTCTAATGTACATATTCAGGAATTGTAACTAATAAAATATATTTTATAATCAATAAAAGACTTTATTAATAAGTAACCTTTCCTTACATTATCATATTAATATACATAAATTTTAAGTAATAACCAAAGGTTTTCTCAAGTTAAACTATTTCAATATTAAATAGTTCAACTTAGATTAGTTTAAGTTATCACTTCTGTCGGTCATTAAATTCTGCTTTTTATTTTTACTGAACTCTAATAGTAGTGAGTAAAATGGTGTTGCAGACATAAACGAGTGCACGCTGGAGTTGGACGGGTGCGAGTTCTCGTGCGTGAACACGGCGGGCGGCTACGTGTGTGCGTGCCCGCGCCACCTGCGCCTGCACCTCGACCGACACCGCTGCGTCACACGTACGTAGCTCTAGCGACACCGCTGCGTCACACGTACGTAGCTCTAGCGACACCGCTGCGTCACACGTACGTAGCTCTAGCGACACCGCTGCGTCACACGTACGTAGCTCTACCGACACCGCACGTCACACGTACGTAGCTCTACCGACACCGCTGCGTCACACGTACGTAGCTCTAGCGACACCGCTGCGTCACACGTACGTAGCTCTAGCGACACCGCTGCGTCACACGTACGTAGCTCTACCGACACCGCACGTCACACGTACGTAGCTCTACCGACACCGCTGCGTCACACGTACGTAGCTCTACCGACACCGCTGCGTCACACGTACGTAGCTCTACCGACACCGCTGCGTCACACGTACGTAGCTCTACCGACACCGCTGCGTCACACGTACGTAGCTCTACCGACACCGCTGCGTCACACGTACGTAGCTCTACCGACACCGCTGCGTCACACGTACGTAGCTCTACCGACACCGCTGCGTCACACGTACGTAGCTCTACCGACACCGCTGCGTCACACGTACGTAGCCTCTACCGACACCGCTGCGTCACACGTACGTAGCTCTACCGACACCGCTGCGTCACACGTACGTAGCTCTACCGACACCGCTGCGTCACACGTACGTAGCTCTACCGACACCGCTGCGTCACACGTACGTAGCTCTACCGACACCGCTGCGTCACACGTACGTAGCTCTACCGACACCGCTGCGTCACACGTACGTAGCTCTACCGACACCGCTGCGTCAAACGTACGTAGCTCTAGTACACCGCTGGTCACACGTACGTAGGCCCGCTGCGTCACACGTACGTAGCTCTACCGACACCGCCTGCGTCACACGTACGTAGCTCTACCGACACCGCCTGCGTCACACGTACGTAGCTCTACCGACACCGCTGCGTCACACGTACGTAGCTCTACCGACACCGCTGCGTCACACGTACGTAGCTCTACCGACACCGCTGCGTCACACGTTACGTAGCTCTACCGACACCGCTGCGTCACACGTACGGTAGCTCTACCGACCACCCGCTGCGTCACACGTACGTAGCTCTACCGACACCGCTGCGTCACACGTACGTAGCTCTACCGATACCGCTGCGTCAAACGTACGTAGCTCTAGTGACACCGCTGCGTCACACGTACGTAGCTCGACCGACACCGCTGCGTCACACGTACGTAGCTCTACCGACACCGCTGCGTCACACGTACGTAGCTCTACCGACACCGCTGCGTCACACGTACGTAGCTCTACCGACACCGCTGCGTCACACGTACGTAGCTCTACCGACACCGCTGCGTCACACGTACGTAGCTCTACCGACACCGCTGCGTCACACGTACGTAGCTCTACCGACACCGCTGCGTCACACGTACGTAGCTCGACCGACACCGCTGCGTCACACGTACGTAGCTCTACCGACACCGCTGCGTCACACGTACGTAGCTCTACCGACACCGCTGCGTCACACGTACGTAGCTCTACCGACACCGCTGCGTCACACGTACGTAGCTCTACCGACACCGCTGCGTCACACGTACGTAGCTCTACCGACACCGCTGCGTCACACGTACGTAGCTCTACCGACACCGCTGCGTCACACGTACGTAGCTCTGCCGACACCGCTGCGTCACACGTACGTAGCTCTACCGACACCGCTGCGTCACACTTACGTAGCTCTACCGACACCGCTGCGTCACACGTACGTAGCTCTACCGACACCGCTGCGTCACACGTACGTAGCTCTACCGACGCTGGCCGTGCTGGGACCTGACGACCGGCCAGGCCGCAACAGGCCGAAGTGTCGAACGCGGTCGCCGTGACTGAATAAACTCACACTCGGGCCTCTGATGGGAAGTGACTTCTACCCTCCCCCTCTCCCCCTCCCCCCACTAATGGTGAGAGGGAGAGTTCAATGGGAAGTCGAGCCGGCCCATATATGTGCAGAAGCATGACACTACCACGACATAAATGTAAAGCCCCTATGATTCTTTTTGACATCTGAAGCTATCGTCGTAATGTTTCAGTAAATACACTAGACTAGAAAGATCAGATCTCTCAGAGAATACTTACTTTACTCCTAATCCAGGAATTACACAAATATCTAATCTAACAAACACTCTTGTACAAAATCATAATTACTTGTTTCTTTTTCAGCTTCATTATACCGAAAACCGTTTGACGAAATAGAACCGGAGTACATGGGCACGACAATTGATTTTCCGATTAAATACACGAAATCTAAAAACAAATAGCTTACCTATTTAATTCAAAGTCAATAATGTTTTTTATCAATACTTAGATTTGTAAGGCATTAAATTATTTCGAACAATTCCAATTGAAATAAAAGAATTTAAATAATCTGTGGATTTTTATTTTGATCTACAACAATATCTACACATGATATGTGAATATATCTTTATACTCCTTAACAATTATAGATATATATTGAATATACATATGTATATGTATACTTACATTACATTACTTACATTCACACAACGCCATCTAGTCCCAAACTAAGCAGAGCTTGTACTATGGCTACTAGACAACTGAATATAAATACATACTCGTATATACTTTTCTTTGTAAATACATACTTATTACTCATAGAAACCTCCTTTCTAAGGAGAGGCCTATGTCCAGCAGTGGACTAGTATAGGCTGTTGATGATGATGATGACTCATAGAAACACCCAGACCAAATCAAACATTAAATGTTCATGCACACAAATGTTTGACTTGAGCGGGAATCGAACCCGCGACCTTTGGAATAGCAGTCCGTTACACAAACCACTACGCCATACGATCGTCAAGTATGTAGGTACTTCGATAAACAACATTTTTTAGAGAAATATTTTTTGTTTCGAACTATAATCAAAGGGCAATGAGTGTCATGACCCCCGCCCGCTGGCCTAAGTCTAGTGCTCGTATAATTTCAGTAGTAATCAAACTGGAACTTAGCTTGAGAACAATGCACAAGCGACCCCCTTGAGTTGAATCTGTTATTAACTGTAAATAATCAATCTTAACTCAAGTGATTGTGAAAAATAAAAATCAAGATTGTACTAAGATTTTGAAAGTAGCGTTAACATCCACTATTAGTACTCAAGAGGGAATACTGACGTCATAAACTACGTTTTACAATATTAACTCTACTAAATTATTACTTATTTAAACTAATTTTGTGTTCCTATGAACTCGTTAAATTCTGGGCAGAATTAATTTTGTGTTTCTAGGAACTCGTTAAATTCTGGGCAGAATTTTATTCAGATTTTTATTTCTGTTTTTGTATACAATAGAGTTTAAACAAATTATTTATTGGCTATGGCTTAACCTATGTAACATCACGTTATGAATATTAGAAGTGAAACAGCGTGCAAAACCTCGGGGAACTTACTATAAAATAAAAGCCGATGTGCTACCTGCGGGTCTAAATTGATGACTACGTATTAATTTGAACCTTTTACAAATGGTTATTTTGTCTGATTGATCATGATTTTGGAAGAGTATACTACCCGTTTGGTCCTTAGGGTCAGAAAATATAGGAATGAAGAATACAGTATATTAAAATTCACCATGGTGCAGGATATTGTAGGTAGGTACTCATTTTTGTTGCCTCTCCCAAGTTTAAGACCCATTATGTGAAAGGAACAGCTTATATCTGGTATCCTTTTTATTGTATAGGTAACTAGCTGGTACCCGCGACTTCGTTCGTGTGGAATTTGTAAAGCGTTGCTTTAGTGTGTTCGATTACTGGGCAAAATTTTACTGTTTGTACTGTAGAATTACTTAACACCGGTATCGAGCTTACCCATTTGTGTAGCCGATGCACAGCTCTCCCACGGTAATTATTTATACATATTATACAGGTTTGTTGTTTCAATGTTTTCCGACTCAGAATGATCGTCTGAATGCACTATTCGTTACGACGTCCCTTACACCCTGTCTTTGTCTGTACAGCCATTAATGATACCAGACTTTAATGATACCTACATTTGGTTTACAATGAAAGGCAACTATGAATGTCACTTCAATCATAAAATTAATCTAAAAGAATTATTTAATAGTTACGACCGGATAGTACGACCGGATGGCGTATTGATTTGTGTGACGGACTGCCATTCCAAAGGTCGCGGGTTCGATTATCGCTCAAGTCAAACATTTTGTGTGCATGAACATTTAATGTTTGAGTTGGTCTGGGTGTTTCTATGTATAATAAGTATGTATTTAGACAAAAAAAAGGATATATGTATTTATATTCAGTTGTCTAGTACCCATAGTACAAGCTCTGCTTAGTTTGGGACTAGATGGCGTTGTGTGAATGTAGTAAAATATATTATATTATTATTGTACCGTTTTTAAATGCAATATATATCTTTGTGTATGAAAATAATCCTACTAAAATAATTAGGTGGCAATAGGTGGAAGTCGTTCGTTCCCTAAGAGCTTCTTAATAGGTCCTCGCTTGGGGTCCAAGACTCGCTCGTCGTTCTTTCTGGAGACGTTTCTGAAAATTCACATCGGTAGCACTAATAAGTAACTGTTTACCTATTATCTGAAAACTTTAAAAGTATTAAAGTACATACATAAAAGTTAGTACATACAAAACAACGCAGGACACCAGCACTACAAAAAGAAGGAAAACTTGTCACAAACCCTATACCAACCCGTCTGGCCAGCGTGGTATAGTAGGCCAAAACCTCCTTTCTAAGGAGAGGCCTATGTCCAGCAGTGGACTGTTAAAGGCTGTTGATGTGATGAAATGTTAGTTTAGACGACGGCGCGGCGTGCGACACGTCGTAACTCATAGTTTTTTTTTTCTGATAATGGTAACTCTCGCACGGTCCTGTGTCGCGGAGGACTTTACAAACATACATGAAACGGACACAAAGAACACCCAGACTCAAAACAACATTTTGTGGATACACAACATTTTGTGGCAACACAAAGTGTTGTTCCATGCGAGGATCGAACCCACAACACGCACCGCAGTAGGAAGCAGCGAGGTGGCCGCTTAAACCACTACATCATAGTCAATAGAGTCAGCATGTCATAATACAAAAATCCCGTCTCTTAAAAGACTTCATCCGATATCATAAAACTAAGTTTTTGAGTTATATTGTTTGTAAGTATAATATTTTTGTATTGTATTGAGCATTCATTGAATATCAGATTAGATTTTCTGGGCTATGTAACATCACGCTAACACCCTTCGGGGTGGAGCAGTAACCAAAATTGCTAATTTTAACAGCCAGGCCTTTTTCTTTGTTTTGATGATGGGGTGTAAAATCCCTTCGGATCTGCGGTTCCTTAGGGACACAGGAGCGGTATTAAACACGGAACTGGGTCTCGCCCTCTGCCACATTTAGCGGACTTAGGACATTACAGAAGAAATATATAAACATTGTAATACCAGTATTTGTAGTATGGTAATAATACTAATAATGCAGATCGCTGCATAATTTTGGCACATACTCGTAAGTGATTGCTTCTTTTTGAAAAGAAGCAATCACTTTTTTTTACCCTCCTTTTTTTAACTACATATTAACACTGTTTCAACGGGATATCTTCATAATATTTTGAGCCACAACAATGAGACTAAATAAACAACATTTAGGTACAAATAAGTTCTCGGACAAAATTGAAAGTTATCGCTAAACACTTATTAGATACTTACTGCCAATAACCGGCGTTCTTCTGAAGTCTCAGTATATTATTCTGACAAATCATGAGTTCGTTTTGTAAATAAGTTCTTTGGTCGTTCACTCTCACGAACAACTAGAATTAATAAATAAAAAAGAAACGTTAGATACCCATATCCATTCTGGATTATAAATAATAAAAAAAAACGAAACCAAGTGCGAATCGGACTCGCGCACGAAGGGTTCCGTACCATTAGCTATAAAAACGACAAAAAATCACGTTTGTTGTATGGGAGCCCCCCTTAAATATTTTTTTTTATTCTGTTTTTAGTATTTGTAGTTATAGCGGCAACAGAAATACATCATCTGTGAAAATTTCAACTGTCTGACTATCACGGTTCATGAGATACAGCCTGGTGACAGACGAACAGACAGACAGACAAACGGACGGACAGACTCCGCATTTTAGTAATAGGGTCCCGCTTTACTTTAAGGCTTTCTTTTTATAACTGGGTCAATATTCCTTATTTTTTAAATACTATATTATTGAATGGAGTTGTTTAGGATAATTAATTTTTGTATTTGCATTCAAGCGTGACATAAGGGTTCACATCTGACCAATTTGTATTAAGGTTTAGTTAATTTTCTAAAGGTAGTCCCAAACCCCTGGAAGTAGGAAGAGGAAATGACAGAAAGTACATGAATCAACGGCAAATATAAATAAAAAAAATATAAATAAATCTTACAATAGCTACTTATAAAAACCCACCTTCGACTCAGAATCTAGACGCCATTCCTTGCTGCGAAGAGTGCTGATCAGGTCAGTTTTAAGACGTTCAAATCTCTTCACCGTACGCAACAGTTCAGCCTGCAAAAACAATATATCATCATCTTAACCGCAAGACGTCCACTTCTGGACATAGACCTCCCCCCAAAGTTCGCCAGAACAATCGGTCCTGTGCTGCCCGCATCCAACGGTTTCCGTGACCTTCATCAGGTCAACACTACAATCTATACCAAACAGACGTCAAAAAGTAAGTGAAACGGTGCGACACTTTTTTCATCAAGTAAAATGAAAAAAAAAAACTAAAAATATTATTTTTTTAAATTTACAAAGCAGAAGCAAACAGAAGACTAAATATTACATAGCCTTGTTAGGGATGTGCATTACATTAATCTTGGTCAGTCCAAAAGTGACGACACGTGACGATACGTAACGTAACGTACGTTACGTATCGTCACGTGTCGTCACTTTTAGTATATGCCATTAAGAAAGTCCAGAGTGATTTGCAAGTGGTTCAATTTAAAGAAGAACGTTAAAGTCATATTTTAATTAGTTATTGTAAGTTAAATTGCATCTCTTCCTTAGGTTTACATTGCTCTTGTTATTATAGTAGTAGTGAAAAATCCTAAATTGGGGCAGAAACTTCACACCATAAAAGAAAAGAATAAAACACTACACTTCGTATGTTGTATTTCCATTTTACCGTCGAGTACCGTGTCTAGAACACCAAGATTGAGAATGCACATATAGCAGGGATAACTGTTAACCAATTATAGCCACATGCTTGTTTAGTAGGTTAAATACTTACAGAAGTAAGGAGATCCAAATTAATGTTTAGATCGTCATGTTTCAGTTTACAATCTGGAAAACAAAAAAATGCAATTTTTATTCTACTTTAATAAATTGATTGACTTGACTGCTTTCATTGTAGCTGAACCTTGCACTACTATATGAAAAGCTGGTAATGAAATGACACAACGTAGGTACCTGATCCACAAATCTTAGCTGCCCTAATTTTTTCTTTCAAGCCCGGCAGTTGTTCGCGCAAAGTCTCTATGGTATCTAAGTACACTTTGTGACGGGCACTCTCCTTCATCAGGTCATCATCATGATCCCATGGATAGTCACTCTTCCGTAACTCATCGTGAATGGATGATATTTGTTTTTCAAGCTCACCATTTTGCCAGGCTGCTGAATCTCTGCATTATAATAAAAAAGATAAATTAGGTAATTTTAAAGAGTTAGGCCATACAGAGATTTCACAAACGTAGAGTACGATGCCCACCTGCAAGTTTTTTCATGGTCCAATTCACTTTTTAATGTATCAATTTCAATACTGTCGTTCATTGTTGTAGAAATTTTAGCTAGTGTTAAAAATATATGATGTCCAAATTGCACAGTGCATTGAACACAGGAATGCCCTTGAGTTTGGGCTTGATTGATTTAACAAACCGATGGCAACCGAATGTACCAGGAATTGGAGGCCTTCAAAACTGTTTATTTGCATCTAATTTCCATAACAGCAATGCTATACGTAATAAAAGGTTGGTAAGGGTTGTAAATTACCTATAATATCATTGGTGGGTCAGGTGCCAGTTAAAGCATGTTTAAAACTAATTTCTTATTAATCTGGTAGTTACATACTGCCCTAAACAAGGGTAAACAATATTAAGAAAAACATAAAATCGAAAATGATAATATAATTAATAATGATAAAAATTATAATATTTTATTACGAAAAATACATTTCGAATCATGTGAAATATAGGATGCCAAATATAATTGTCAAAAACCCCTAATTGTTATAGTGAAGTTCTTTTAAATTTAAGAAATTATTTTATTTATTATTAACATTTAATATTGCTTTAAAAAAAGAAAAAAGTGATGTTTATTTTTTTTAAAGATGCACAATGTGTCAAAGCAATTTTTAAACGTAAATTGTCATTAGTCATTATAAAACCATCGCACAAAGTTCAAAAACTTAATGTCAGAACAAAAATGTTATGTCAAATTTAAATTTTGAATCGTACAAAATCTAACGCATTTAATTAAAACAAAATAAAGTTTATTTTAGTGAATTTTAACACTTAACTCGGAATTTTTAAAATGAGTTTGTTAAGTGCTGTGTTACAAGAAGCCAATAAAGTTAATACGGATGATTTGAAGAAACATCGCGATCAAATATTGCCGACAGTTAAAGATCTTACGGAACGACTCCAACTCTTATCTTGGGCATTACAACAGAATATCATAGATACTTATGTTAATTTTACAGTAACAAAGAGTTTAGAACAGTTAAATTATAAAAATCGAAAAGCTAAGATTCTGGAAGACCATTCAAAATGTATTCAAGAAATGGATAACATAAAAGAAATGTTTATAAATGATGAAGATTTTCGCACTCATTGCGATAAATTACATAAGTCATTTAGTATATTTAATGATTTATGTACTGTTGTCGATGGTAAACGTATATTAGAGAAGGCAAATCACGAATTTACACGTTTTAATTACACAGAAGCAGTGTTAGCCGTGAAACAATTGAAACTTGATCTAAACAAATTAAAACTTGACGGAAAAATGGTGAAAGCTTTAAGCAACATCAATGCACAAGCTGAAAACCAGCTTGCTTTGTATATTGCACAGTTGAGTGTTGAGTGGGAGAATATTTTTACATGGTCAGAGAATAAAGGACTAACATTTTTGACCTACTCTCTTTCCATTCAACAAAGTGACCCGATACTACTCCATACAATATTAAATACTTTATATATCACTGATAGAATGTACGCTGAACTTGGTTTATTTTCCAATTTCTTTATAAATAACTTATTACACAATGTTATAAGACACAGTTGTGATATTTTCACTGAAGACCACATAGGTGCCATAGTGTTCAACATAAAGGTCAATTTAAATGATCCGAAAAGGCCCAATTACCAAACAATTTTCAATAATTTAACAGCCATCTTTGAGTTTCTCCATTCAACATTAGGTTCACATTTTAAAAGTGAAAAATCATTTATAGAAATTTTTGCGGATACATTGAGACAAAAATTCTTTAGTAAAATTATAGAGGACTGCATTCGGATGAACCTACCGTCATGTGATAGCACATACCAGAATTATAAGAATATTGTAATTGAATTGGATTCATTTAACAAATTCCTGGTTGATCTGAAATTTGTGAAAGCAGATGAATCTCCTCTCAATAAATACATCGATGATACCGAATGTGTGTTATACAATAAGAAATGTGACAAATTATTGTCCGATGTCCGTATGTTACTTAACAAAAGCCTTTCGTACAGTACTATCACTGTAGGGTCCGCACCGATAGACGAAAATGATTCTATATTGGATGTAACTGATAACAGTGCTATTTGGGATATTAATAAACCATTGTTTCTGCCGAGATGTGTGATTTCTCAAAACGTTAAAGTAGTTGTCTCTTTGATAGTAGAACATTTAGAGGAAAGTGCAAAATTGCCAGAAAAATACAGTAAACAGCTCATTAGTTATGTGAAAGACATTGCAGTCATGTACCAGAGCTTTGTGCCTAAGAAGTTTAAAATTAACTTGGAGTGCTGTCCTTCAGATATTGGTAAGTATTCTCCATCTATTTTTAGCTAAGGAATTTTAGAGGAATATAATGTAAAATGTTTATCTAAACGCATAGATGGTCTAAGAACTGTCATTATCACATCAAAAAGCTTTAACAGTTCACTGCTAGACATAGATCTCTTCTTAGAAAGGAGGTTTTATAAAATAATAAAAGAGATTTTTAGAACTGCAATACTTTAAATTAAAAGAAAGAAATGGAGAAGAAATGGAGGAATGGAGAAGAGAAGACAGAAAGAATCTGATTGGATGTGAATTGTATTAGGATATAATTTTTTTAAATGGTAGTTGACATCATTTTTATGCTTGTGATTTTCAATCTTAAATTATTATTAATTAATTAATTAATTAATATATATATCCTAGAAATTATTTCTTTCAAACTTCAATGTAAATTATACAGGGTGTTGTCAAGGTTGTTAAGGTCACTAGGCTGTTGACCGTCCGTGTGGTCACGGGTTAAGAATATGGAGTGTCACCACCAACTAAGGGAGCAAACTCTACAGGGCAACAGCACTGCAAAGAGAAGGAAAACTTGAAACAAAACCTATCTATACCAACCTGTCTGGAGGGCGTGGTATACTAGGCCAAAACCTCCTTTTTAAGTAGAGGCCTATGTCCAGCAGCGGACTTATAGAAGTAAATTTTAATTTCACATAACATCATATTATTTTCTGATGAAACAAATTTTAAATCTGACTGAAATTTCATAAATAATATGCCAGATGTACATCCCTAGTATTAAAAAAAAATATTTTATTCTCCTGTCTTACCGAATTTCAATGGTATCAGTCAGATTTTAAATTTGTTTCATTTGTATATTGTTGAGAAATGTGTATTTACACCAGGGCCTCAATTCTGCTACTTTATGTTCATGCCAAGCCACTGTCATACCACTGACACGCTATTGAGATGCCATCGAGTGGCCATTGGCATCGGTATAAATAAATCATTACCTTATAATTTGAAAATATATTACGTTTTTTTCAAATACGTTCAAATATGGCAATCTTTTTGATATCACCACTGATGAGCCACTGCCATTCCATCGCCACTGTAAAGACACTGAGTTAGTGTAACCTACCGATATTTATACCGATGCCAATGGCCACTCGATGGCATCTCAATAGCGTGTCAGTGGTATGACAGTGGCTTGGCGTGAACATAAAATAGCAGAATTGAGGCCCAGGACTATTGCTTCAAAAATTTACTTTAATTCAATAACTATCATACATCCTTTAGTTATTATAAACGCACATATTTTCAAACATGGCAGTGACACTTTCAATCTATAGATGTAATAAATAATTATTTTAATATAAAACTATTTTATTTTCTTTTCAGCTCTCTTCTTCAACAATTGCTTTTACCTGGCTCACAGCTTGCTAGGACCACCTTGGTGTATCACTTTGCCTAAGGACATAGCTAATCAGCTGAACATAATACTCTTGGAATGCATCCAAGATCTCAGGGTGTTGGGCCTGGAGAAGATCTCCTTGTACTTGCAGAGAGAGAAGAGTACTATCATGCAGAGCATTGAAGCCAATGGTAAATGATGTACCTTCTGGTTAATTGACTGCACGGATGGCGCAGTCGTTTAAGCGGTCACTACGCCGCTTCCTACTGCGCCGAGTTTTGTGGGTTCAAACCCCACATGGCGGCGCTTTGTGTGATCCAGAAATTGTTGTTCTGAGTCTAAGTGTTCTTTGTGTCCGTTTCATGTATGTTTGTAAAGTCCCCGCGACACAGGATATATTCCTAATGCGGGAGTTGTCTTTTAAAAAAAAAGAAATTTTAGGCAGCTTACATGTGGCACTGAGCTTTTGAGCCTCGGTCATGATATTAAATGATGTCATGACAATCAATTTTTCGGGTTTTTACACCCGCCTATGTACTATAACAGATTATAATCTATTTCTGTGTCCCCCCTCAGCCGTTCTGATTAAGTAGTAAAAATCCATGCATCAAAAGGTTCGAATTTCTTCTTACTGGTCGCGCGTTCGATTCCTGCTTAGTTAAAATACTTGCGTGCGTGTATAAGTCTATTTACATTAGTGTGGGTGTTTCTGAGTACAAAAAATCTATACAAATAAATAAAATTGAAGTGTCTGTTGGTAATGTCAAAATAACGGGTTTTTTTCATGCTACAAGGTTATTTACACGATACCTATGCCTAAAAACCAGTTTAAATATTTTTGTCTCTCTGTCTGTCTATCTGTCTGTTTGTTCTGGGTAATCTTCAAAACGGCTCGACCGATTTTGATAATATTTTACCACCAGGTAGCTGTCTATATAAGGAGTAACTTAGGCTATTTTTTACATCAGATAACCCCTAAAAAAGTTACCCGGTCCGGGAATCGAATTCACTAAGGCAGCCTATTTTCGAATTCCTGGCGTATACATAAATGTATACTTTTATAAAAAACCGCCGCCGATGTTCGTGCACCTAAGATTCACAATCACTCCGGTTAGCCAGCCCATTTGCTCATGCGGGCCATGCCCACGGTATCACATCTGGTTTTGCTGTCACTGTAGAGTACTTACTTACTGTGCAGTAATAGTTGTACCAGGCTGTCATATTGCTGCGCACTGTCGTTTAAAACCGCCAAAAAACGCTATGAATAACATATAGCTTTCTACACAAGTTAACACATTTTTTTGTGCAGTGACTGATTTTTAAACTTGCCACATTTGGTAGGCACGCACATCGGGTTTTTGTGGCATTACGAGGCGCGTATAGACTTGTTGCGGTTTTTGGTGCTAATATAAAGAGGTTATGTGTATGTCTTTGATTTCCTAGATATACATTTCTATTTTCTTAAACCAATGCTACAATATATGGTACTTTCCAGAAATCTATAGAACCGTGTTGTGGAGTAAACATCTAATTCACAATCTGTAGTACCAAACACTAAAATATTTTTCTGTGTATATGACAAATACAAATAATTTTTAATAATTTAACATAAATAAATAAATTTTCATCAGTTTTCTTACATTAAATTAAAATATACACCATATTGGTGTATATTTTAATTTGAGTTTATCACAATTTACACTGAGCAAAAATCGAACCTATAACTTCTAAATTTACAGTTGAATCTACTGTGACTGTGTCAATAAATAAAACAAAAAACTTTATTTATTATCAATTAATGCATTAATGCATAATATCTTAAACACAGGATCATCCTGGACCCACGACTCCTACGAGCAATTCGACTGCGCAATTAACACCGCCTTAGCGTTATTGAAAGACCTGAAGTGTTCTTGGTACAACGTTCTGCCGAATCGCATGTATGAAATGTCCATGTGTACGCTAGTACAAGTGCTATGCCAGTCGATGTTAGACCGGGTGTTCGCGGCCATCAAGCCAGTGAGCGAAGAACTGGTGTACATGCTGGCTATGAGGGTAGACAACACTCTCGCTGATGTTTTAACTTTATTTGAGGTAAGGTACTTCGTGCAAAGATTTTTTTCATGTGTTCTTCCCATTGTTCAATCACAGGACAGACATAAAGATAAGTAACCAGCTTCTTCGAGCTCCAACAGTCTTAGATCAGTTACCCATCCTAGAATTACGTATTGCTTACCGTAGCCAGGGATATAGGGCGTCCTATCCATTTTCCTTACCTTCTACCTATGTCTAGTCATAAACGATTACATTCCCAAAGAGGGCTTGCATGAGAGGTTTGGCTGATTTGTTCATAGTCAGTCGCCGACTATAAACAAATCAGCCAAACCTCTTTGCGATGCTACAAATTACGCCAAACTATAATATAGCAGATACTAGGACAGGATGATGATAATCATGATCTCCCTTTGTATCAGTTTAGGACAGACATGCACTACGAGTTCTTAAAGGGCAAAGTTGCGCTGCAAGCGAATTATAACTTTTTTTACAGAGATTTCGTCACAACTTACAAAGCTGCGCAGTGTGCACGCAACTTTAGTTTTCATAGCCAAACTGACTCAAGCTAGGACAGTAGTAGGACTAGATTAGTAGCAGTAATGTGCTTAAGCAAGTAAAGATACCACTGTGTGCTTTTCAAGATACTTTTTGCATAACTAATCCGTGGATCAATCAGCTCGTTTGCTACCTCTTCCATAAAAAAAATAGACATTGAGGCTAGCGATGACCAGTAGCCGTGATCATCGGGGACGATAACCCGTCATTTATAAATGTTACGTTAAACTCGAGAACAGTAATTGATTTTATCGAATCTTTTCTAAAAAGTAATAAATAAAATACTTTTCCAGCACCTAGCACCTAGAGACAAGATGTATAGGTGAACGCCCCATCTTCTGTGCTGCAATTTCACTTCTCAGAATGCTTGTCTGTTGCAGGAACCCATTCACTTCGAATCAAAGATGAACATATGGGCGAAATTCTCCAAACTACCGAATCTGCTAAGAGCTCAACTGTTGGAGATATCGGACTTGTGGAACAATGACAGGGACCAATTCCAGGGTTACAGCTGCGAGGAAGTACGGCAAATTGTCAAAATGAGATTCCCCGATGATAAATATAGGCTTAGAATTTTAAAAGAAATACAGTGATTGTTTATTTTAAATCATTTTGATTTTTTATTTAAAAATAGACCTATCAAGATCTGTTAAAAACGGTTACCAGCAATGCTTGAAACAGAATTATGGAGGAACTACTACTGCGCACCTCCTCAAGGTTATTTTCTTCCTTCCTCGCACTGGGCTGATAATGGATGGATGGATGCCTCGTTGATAATTTGTATTTCCATAAACTAATTGGCGCGAGAACTATCATTGTGCGATACAGGAGGAGTAATTACTATATGGTTCGGCTTGTCTTTCCTAGATGTCAGTGAAGTACGGATGGCGTAGTGGCTTATGCGGTCGCCACAGCACTTACTACTACCTCAGTGTTGTGGGTTCGATCCCCACATGGGACGACACTTTGTGTGATCTACAAATTGTTGTTCTGAGTCTGGGTGTTCTTTGTGTCCGTTCCATGTATGTTTGTAAAGCCCCCCGCGACACAGGATATATTCCTAATGCGGGAGTTGTCTTTTTAAAGAAAGAAAGTATGTTTTCCCTTATGTGGAAGTCTCATTAGGAATTCTAGTTGAACGTTCACACGTGAAACTTTGCTGGCTTTTGCCAGATCTGCCGTGTGTCTTCCTACATCTAACATTCTTCGTATAATTCAAATATTATAATTTTTTTCTAAGCATGAAGGACGTAGTTAGAAATAGGAAAAAGGGCAATACAGGCCTCTTAACCCACTTGCGTGATCTTTCAAGATGATTGCATAAAGTAAGTAATGTATGTATAACGTACAATTGGTGCGTGTAGAAAAGCGGAAGCAGGAAAACAGATCGTGTGTAAACTGTGTATCCGACATATTGGATAACAAGTAGGTTAAGACACCCATCTGAACTTCGGCAACCTTGCGCACGGCGGGAAAGTAGTGTTAAGAATACGATATTTATAAGAGTGTATAGGTATATTTTTTTATAACAAAAGACAACTGCCGCACTAAGAATGTCGTGTGTCGTGGGGGACTTTACAGACATACATGAAACGTAATCAAAATATAACCAGACTCAGAACAACAATTTGTGGAAGGTCACAAAAGCCTCCTCGCACCGGCTCCAGGTCTTGTTAACCGTTGCCGTATGAGTATATTGGAGTGTGAAGATCTCCAATTAAGAACCGTTCGAACGCTGCCACGACTCCGATCGAACATCAGATCAACCTCCGCAAATGGAACTGTATTGGCCACACTCTGCGTAGAGACCCCGATCATATCGCCAAGCAGACGCTGAATTGGTACCAAAGCAAACGTCAGCGTGGCCCGCCAAAGCAAACTTTGCGACGAATTGTCGGAGATGAGGTGAAGGGAATCGGCAAGACATGAAGATCACTGTTGAGACCCTCTGCATCTCGGGGCCATAGGATACTAAGTTTTAATATTTATCTATATTACTAGCTGACCCGCGCAACTTCGTCTGCGTCTCTCAATAGTAATAAATTTTCTCCGTTTTTGAAACATTCTTCATTGGTGCTCCGCTCCTATTGGTCTTAGCGTGATGATATATAGCCTATAGCCTACCTCGATAAATGGGCTATCTAACACTGAAATAATTTTTGAAATCGGACCAGTAGTTCCTGAGATTAGCGCGTTCAAACAAACAAACAAACTCTTCAGCTTTATAATATTAGTATAGATTAAAAGAAGAAGTATGAAGGACTCTCCTAAGTTATCGTTACCGCAACATACATATCTTAAAATATGTGGATTGTGGAGAAAGTAATCATCCTGAAACTCAACCACCCATTACGCGAATGCTATATAAGTGAGTGGCGCTTCCTCACACCCATCATTACGTTTATGTCTGTAATTGGCCGAAGGCGCCGCAATATGCAACACTATTCGGTAGGTAAAAAGAAAGTACTTTTAAAACGGAACGGAACGTGGAATCTATAGCGTTTGATTAGAATAACCAAATTACAACTTAGTGTTTTGGCGGGAAAAGTGTAGTGTAGTTAAAAGTGAATATAATTATCAAATTATTTGTGTATTGTGTAAATATGTGATTTTAGTGCTTGAATTGTAATAAAGTAAAAATGTTACTGGGAAATGAGTTAGAGTAAAACTTGGTAGGTATGAATATTTTGTGCACCCCAACGGACCAAAATTGTACGTCATGTTTGAACATACTTATTATAAAATATCTAAACATAGATACGTTTTCTATTCGGAGATACCATTTCGATATGTAAGTAATTCTTACACTTGTAATAAAAGTAAAAAGTGGAGTCTACATAAGTAGATATTTAATGAATAGACGTAATTACAGAAGGAAATACTTGGTGGTTGAGATACCACCATGTTTTTTTAATAATTCGAAAGGAATTAGGTAGTAGGTAACATTATTTAGTTAAACCTAGTTTTAAATCAAAAGATATCTAGCTAATAATGTAATAAAAAAAATTCAAACAAATGTGCCCACATCATGAAGCGTTCTTCAATGCACATTCATCATTCCTTGATATTCCACTCCCTAAGGGTATTTTTATTTAAAGTGGAATGGGAGCAAACGGGAAACCGAAACGAAAAGAGAATTTTCTTAAATCCGTTCATAAGTAACGAAGTTCTAAAGTAGATAATAAAAAACTACCAAATTACTTCCTTTTATGAAGTCTTTAATTAAACAACGATTTGTTGAAAACGAATATACCTATATTTTTTTAAATTAATGTAGACAACTCACTCTTTCTTGCCGGTTAAAAGCCAACTGCATTGTTGACGTCTAGTATTCGGTCGGTAATTTAGTATGAAATATTGAAAGCACCAAAACCAAATGCTTTCCATCTTTTTTTTTCATTTTCCGATACAGGTATCTACTTAAGTATACCTACGAGGTTTTTTCCAATAACATCGTGAAAAAGAGACGCAATATAATCTATTTATAAGAAATTAAGTTGCTTATATCGTTATGACCGAAGATAACGAAGAATCAAGTTTTGTTTATTAAAAGTAGTTATTTTTTTAATTATTACCCGTTCTTAAGTTAATTATCTATAAATAAATATTGACTAAAATACAATTAAAAGTATTTTATTATTTACGTTTTTTACATCTTCGTTCATAACTTGCTACCACGTATTTGCACTTTTGCGTGTATTTACACATACAACAGTTTTTCTACTGTAGGTACCTACTACTAAGTCGGGGTACCAGGGACTTCCTTTCTAGGGTATACCTGGTTCCCCGGCTATTAGTACGGCGTGCGGTTTTAGTCGGTTCGAGTCCGACATGCCACCGACAGGTGGTATCCGAGGGGATTTCCGAACGGAAAAAAAAAAAAAAATAAGGTACCTACTACTACTTTAAACTCCATTTATTACCCCTATGGCTTCCCAGACACTTCCTAATACCGGTAATTAGATAATCTTAGTTCCTACTATGCCATTAGGAGCTTCCCACAAATCAATTGTTATGCGAAGCGATAATAATTATAACTTACTAAAGAACATACGAAAAACTGAACAAAAAGCTAAATTTCTCAGTGTTTTGTTTTAAAACTAACACATTCCATTGTTGGTTACTTAAAATAGGTGAATACGGAAATAAGGATTGCGTGTCAGCTTTACGCACGCACCGACGCGAAGACGGAGTTACAGAAAAAGTTTTAAACTACAAATACTACTACACATTTTTTGTATCTACCAATTTATTGTCATACGGTCTACATCGACATATATTTATTACCACCAGCCGTCATAGATTCCAATGATTTCTTTTCTTTTATTTTCAGACGGCATTCCTGATAATTTCGTTAGCAATCGTCGTCAATCAAGGATGTGGCGTGACGGCGCAAGACGATGAACTACTTGCCATTGAGTCGAAAAACAGACCTTTAACTGTTATACATAATTCAAAGTACGCAGTGCAAACGAAACCAACTAACCAATCAATGACGAAATTAGACTTGCCTGCTTACAAACTCCAACAAAGACTACCAAGTAAACCGCCTAACATCGTTAATAAACCTGTACAACCGAACCATTACGTCGACGCCCTTCGACCTCACTATGGACAAAAACAGAAATTACTGCAACCACCGCGAAGCTATCCTAAACAGCCATTGAAGTTACAATATTCACCTAATTCACTCTACAAGTATCCTAAAGTAATCCCTGTGCAAAAGCTCCACATACCATATCATATAAAAACGACACGACCGCTACCTTACGCTACGTCAACTGGAATTCCATTAGTTGCCAAAATCCCTAAGTTCAGCTTACCGCAAGTAATAAATGGTGTTCGCGCCGACATCGTGAAGCCACCACCATCTTTTAACCAGACAACATCGACGACATCCACAACTACGGTAGCTACAACTGTTACGACCACAAAAAAAACTTTGAGGACGAAACGAATATGGCCAAAGCGAATTCTAAACAAAATGAATATGACTTTACAAAACACGACTTTGACGAAAGACAACACGACTAAATCTAACACCACTGACGAGACTGACCGCGAGACTTCTGAGAGTAACCGTCGAGTCGCATATGCTTATAGAAACTCTACCACCGGAACCACGACAGTCCAACCATCAACGCCGCGAGTTTATCGTCCTGTCACCAGAATGGTTAAAGTAAAAACTACCACACCTTTACCACCAATAAATTTCACGGTGCCTGAACCTAATGACTGGGTGCCAATTCCCCCTTCGCATTTTGCTAGATTAAAAAAAACTCCAACGGAGCCAGTAATTAGTAAACGTTCAGATTTTTTTTCTATTAATCCTTCCGCACCTTTAGGTAAACAACAGCTTTATTTACAAGCTTTTGGACTTTTCCCAATGACAGCACCTCAACATTCTGATCCCGAGGTGGATAGAAAACACACGGTTATAATCCACCGGAAACCTCAATTGAAACCGCATTCTTCTGGTTACAGTGGGCGGCCGAGCCGCACACCCAAGCAAATGCACAACGCATATGGGGACTTAGAAGCCGAAAGAAGTCACAGACATCTACACCCAATTCAAGCCAACGGGCCGACCAAAATTAAACACCACCATCACCATCATCATCACAGATATGTCAAAACTGTTGAGAAAAAAGTCAAAGTACCCTACAAAGTTGAAGTTCCGAAGCCTTACCCAGTTGAAGTTGAGAAAAAAGTACCTGTACCGGTAGAAAAAATTAAAGTTGTGGAAAAACCTGTGCCTTACCCGGTAACGGTTGAGAAAAAAGTCCCGTTTCCAATAGGAATTAAAATACCACATCCCGTTCCTGTAAAAGTTGTAGAGAAGGAATATGTACCAAAACCATATCCAGTAGTTCAACGGGTGCCCGTGGTGAAACATGTTGAAGTGAAAGTACCACAGCCTATGCCGATACACGTGGAGAAGAAAGTGCCTTTTCCGGTAGAAGTCAGAGTTCCTGTACCTGTGGATAGGCCTGTCCCGGTAGCGGTGAGAGTAGAAAAACAAGTGCCTTATCCCGTGCCCGTCAAAGTTCTCGTCCCGCAACCGTACCCGGTCGAAACTAAAGTCCCTTATCCGATTGAAGTTAAAGTCAGGGAACCGGTAGAAGTAGTAAGACATGTACCAATTAGAGTGCCGTATCCACAGCCGTATGCAGTCAAAATACCTCATCCAATACCATTTCCGGTAGAGAAACGAATACCATATCGAGTTAACGTAGAAAAGAGGGTGCCAGTACCAATAGAAGTAATTGTCCCTCAAAAAGTAGAAGTTGAAAAAAGGGTACCTGTCTACATTCCTAAGCCTTACCCAATAGAAAAGAAGGTACCTTATCCAGTCAAAGTACCTTATCCTGTGAGAGTGCCTGTACGAGTACCAGTAAAAGTTCCCGTAGAAGTTCCGGTGTACGTTCATCATCCAGTACAGGTTCAAATGTATACTGAAGATCAATATCAACCCACGTCTGAGTATGAGGATATGGATCGCTACGGTTCTAGTACATCGCCCACGGTCTATATACGCGGGAACACTGGCTACAATAGGTTCCAATCTCGTTCTGACTCTGCCGCCGATACAACGACACCAAAACCACTAACCAATTCACCGACCACCACATCATCAAGTTAATCTATATAGACTAGACTAAATCAATGGACTTTACAGTCCTTAAGTTTGCGTTTAAATTAATTGTGTAATAAGGTACCTTGATGATATAGAAAATATTGTGATGTGCGTGTGGGTAGCTGCAATTAAGTTTATTGAGTAAATGAATGGTGCTGTGATATTAAACGTATTGTTGTTTTATTAGACGAATCTTGATTCCGTTACGCCGGTAGGTCACTAAGGTTATAGTTAAAATAGTTAAGTTCTTCTTCAAGAATACATACATCTAGACTAGACGAATAGTAAGTATTCAACCATAAAGAAGACCACTCATCGCAGCATCCAATACTTAAAAGAAGAAGAGAATAGGTATGTTACTAATTTGCTTTCAACACTAGATTAACTATTTACATGACTAACAAAAGGGTAAGGGTTAATTTAGAAATAATCCAATTTATTTTATCTAATTTTGACGCTCTGTTACTAAGTGTTAAATGGACGTATCGAAAATCTAAATAGAAATGTTTTGAGGGCTAGTCATAGATTTTTGGGACAAAAAATATAAGGTAATGTATTATGATTCTGAACTTCTATGGTTTTATAATCAGACATAGGTATTGATAAAAATCCGGACATTAGCATGTAAGTTTTCAAGTTTGATGTTAGTATTAAAGAAAGATTTCGGTATTAAAATCACGAATTTTCCTGAACTCGTTAGCGCTTACGTTGTTTAGAAGATTTAAATACTATGGCCTATAGTGTATGCCTAAATTGGGATCCCATCCGTCTGTCACACATATGAACAAAACAACAATATTAAATGTTAGCCCCACCTTTTCAAAAAACAATTGAAGAACCTAAAAACTATTTATTCACATAGCGGATCAATCAAGTTCAATGGCAAACTCAATGGGCGTAGTCGAGCTAGCGGGAAATTACATGTCTTATTACGATGTCAATCACCCCACACGATACAGGATGTAAATACACTGTAAACCTGACTATTATCCGATCGATTCAAATTATAAAAAAAGATTTATTAGATAATTTTCTCATTCATTACCATTCACCGTCAAGACGAGTAGGTACCTCGATCTCCAGCGGGATATCTATAAAGTGTCTCAATCGTCCAAGAAGCCAAAAAGGTCCAAAAGGTTTTTTAACGAGTCTCTAGACATTTTTTTGGGCAATTCCGATTAAAAACCTCTCCTTAGTCTGTAAACCTATTTAAATAATTGATATTGATGCTAATTCTGTTGTTCGGAAACTCTCTAAACTATAAATCACTACAAATTAGTTTAGTCCAGTCAAACAACGTTTCTTATTCTGAAAACGTAGTATTTGACAGGACTAAACTAAGTTTAAGTCATTTTTAGTTTAGTTTAGAAACTTTTCGAACAAAAGAATTAGCACCAATGTAAAACACAGACCATCCACTCTCCTTTGCTTGATACATTGTAGATTTCGTGCATGCTATTACACGACAAATTAATTAATTATAATATTCGAGAAACATCTTGAACAGGCTTTGATTTATTAAGCACGAGCGCTTTTTTGTCTAAGTTTGTTCAAAATTATTACCATCATAGAGTACACTGAACTAAAATAAAAGTCTAGACTGGATCAGGAATGTGTGGTTTCCCACTAAAAAACAACCTAGTGTCTTTTTATACATAGGATACGCTTCTTTCTCTCAGGATTTAACTGTTTTCGGTTTATTGGTGCAAACAAACTACGGCATAAGCCCTAGCGAAACGTCGAACAGGAAGAAAATTCATTATATTATTTCTGAATTAGGCAGTCTAATGCAAAGTGCATTCTTCTTCTCATTAGGTTATTATAATCTCCAAGAAGATTGCGAATCAAATCTCGGTAGGATATCAATAGACAGGAATAATGTCTAATGATTTTTTCGATATTTGTAGTCGTTGTGGCTAGATAACCACTTCTAATAAACGAGAAGTCAAAAAAAAAAAAAAACTTAGCTAGTAGTCTTTCGTAAACCAAACTAAAAAACAACTAAGTCGTTCTACCTTCTATGGTAAGAACTAGTGCTTCGTGGTATTGTTCGGACTAATACCAGCCGTAACTTTTCGCCATCATTCCACACGGCAAAATTGGCATCACCTGAATAGGTGGCGCTCCACTACTGTGCGCTTTTCGAGACACTTTTTACCTCGCACAAACAATCTGTGGAACGGGTTATCGTCTGCGGTATTTCCGGACCGATACGACCTTCAAACCTTCAAGAAAAGAGCGTACTCCTTCTTAAAAGGCCTCCAACGTGTTTGTGACTCTTGAGTTGCAGACGTTCATGGGCGGCGATGGTCACTTTCCTTCAAGTGACCCATCTGCTCGCCTCCCCCCTCTAACATAAACAAAAAAGAAAACTAGTTATTAAAACAGTGTGAATGTTGAAGCTAACCGCGGAACAGGAAACGTATAATGATCGAAAGTGAAGATTCACAGTTGAGTTGGCGCGCGAAAACTTCCATTCAATTAAATGCAATACGACATTATATCATACACATGTGTTGCAAAAAAACAGCTCTTTTAAAAATGAGGGGAAGTAAAAAGATAGCAAAAAATCGATTTCCAAATCGCTTGTAAACCTTTTATAGTTAGGTAGGTAAGTCAAAATAATAAGCATCATATTTACAGAACAAATACCTACTATTCCAAATCGGTTCATAAACGATGGACTTCTGAAGTAAACAGCAAATTTTCTTGGGTTTTAAAAGAAAAAGAAAAATAAACAGCTTTAACAAAATATTTTTTTGCTATTATTACCTTTGCGTTATAACATTTAACTCAATGATTTATGAAATGTCTCCTTAAGTTTCAGACATAAATAAAAATTAAAATAATGCCGAAAATACAACTTATATAAGTTAAGAATACTTAGCTTCTACTTGTATTGGTAGTACTTGAGAGAAAACGTTAGGATCTGTCAAATCCTTTGAATAATTGAGTGGTATTTAAACACTGTACTCCGCAGTTCCAGATCAGAGCAAATAGACAAATTCATTATGTAGGTACCTTCTCAGATAACAAAGGGGTTGTTTATTCATTTAAATCCTTGTACATTGGTCAGGCAATGGTTTCTTATACTTAAATATATCTAAGTATTAATATGAGACAGGTATCAATACCCTGAAAATAATGGAAAATAAAATAGATCTTTACACATCCTAAATTAATTTTAAATAGCCTGACTGGCGACATTTTATTTAGGACTGCTGAAGAAGTTGTGTTAACGATAATAATAGCGTAATATCATTTTTTTGGGCTTAATTCCTTGCAAACACCCACTACTGTGACTCCTGTATGATACTTGGGAAGTCCCAGAAAAACTTAAACTGTCTTGGAACCCACAAGATCAATCAGAAGTAAATTGAAGGGATTGGTAATATTATAAATCCACTTCGACCACTTTATATTGTTTTAGTCAAATAAATAATATGCTGCTTGATGTTATTTCCGACACTATTTACGAAATAATTTCCACAGGAGCAGGAGCAAAAGGAAAAATTTTACATAAAAAAAAACAAATATTTTAACAAATATTTACTCGTATGTACACATACACACAATACACATTTACACCTTTTGATATATAAGTATACCTGAGTTATCTAATGTAGGAATATCCCTTTTATTTAAATGGTGGTTTTGAATTACAAGAAAAATCTATTTTAAAAGTACACTCACTTACATATCTTTTAATCTACTTAGATTCAGTGTTGACATAATTGAGAAAGCTTGAATGTAGTAAAATACAAAACAGATATACCTAAGCAAAGGAGCAAATATCTACACTAACTTTTTAATACATGCTTTATTTTGCTCTACAAATTCAATCTTATAATCCCATACTAAACATTGCAACTGTAACAATTAATTATACCACTTATAACATTAAAAATATTAAGAAATCTTGTGTCCCAAAATCATAACAATGGTTTTTTTCTTTAAATACGCTGTACATCAGAATCGGCATAATTCATTTGATGATTTTACAATTATTTCTACCTTACATTTATAAATAGTTTTCTTGTATTTCTATCTTGTTTTTTTATCTAGTAAAAGGTAATAATAGTGAGTGTAAAGAATGTAAACATGATGATGATAGAGATTAAACAGAAAGGAATCATTTTCAACTTGATCTGACAATGTCTGTCAATGTCACAATCTGACAATGTCAATTTGTTTTACACACATACAGGTCACAATTATATATTTATTTATTTAAATACAACAAGTTAAAAGTTTAATGCCAGAGTACAACAATTAATATCCATAACTTTTGTCAAACTACTTAACTTTGATAAACTGCCACTCCAATTCGTACACACCAACTGAAGTCTGGTTCTTCTCATCATAATCCACCCATTCTTTCTCAGCTAAATCTACATCTTCAAATGTTTTTCCTGAAAAAAAAATTACAATAATAATCACTTGTTAAGAAAACTAATTAAAAGTAATCAAGTATAATGTTAATATTACAATTATATAGGAACAAGAACAAACAAACAGACACTGAAGCTTTCTGATTGTATTGTCACCAAAGATAATAAATAAAGATCTAGGCATATGATTCTGACTGTTGAGACAGGCATTGAGGGTTCGATTCCAGAGGATGATAATTTGTTTTTAACCGACTTCAAAAAAAGAGGAGGTTCTATGTTCCATGGTAGGTATGTATTTTTTTTGTTTCTATGTATAACTTATATATCATATGAATGTATTTAGAAATATATAAGTATACTTATGGGCAGTCTGGTTACTTTACCACAGGCTCTGCCTAGTTTGGGTTTCAGAATGCTACTAAGTACCATTCTGTAATCTGGTTCATTATATCACTTGCAAATGTTTATAGTCTGTAACAGCTTACAGTTTTATTATTTGTCTATATTCCAAAGAGAATTAATACATTTTTACTGTTACTATAGACTTTCTAAATCACATTTTAGACAGAGCAACTTAAAAGACTTATAGAAAATAACTAGCCTCACTATGGTAGCTTGTTTTTTTTTTTTATTTGGACAACCAACAAGAACATACACCTTTAAAGCAAAAGATACAAATTTAGGTAGTGATATACATGCATTAGTGATGCCTTAATTACATGTTGCTATGAAAAGCATAATAATAAAAGAGAGTTGGGAGAGTAAGGCTGTCCTAACCTAAAAAAATCTTGAGCAGACATTTTCTTACATAATAACTACTTAAAAATCTACAAGAAAAACAAAAAAATCTTATACATGTATCTCAGCTTAACAATAATAGTTTCTTTTTAACAGAAGGTAAACTTAATCTAAACATATTGATATCCTTATTTTTACTAATAGAATTTTATTCTGCCTGGAGCCTATTTAAATGAGAGAAATAGCCAAGGTTAGTTTTGGATCGCTTAAGTGTGAACAAGGATAGGTGGATAAACAAGGTATAGTTGTTACAGCAACTATAAAAAAATTATAAAAAAAAGAATAAAAAAAAAGTACTAATTTATGGTATTCTTCATCATCATTACTGAGTATACTGACCATTGTCTTCAGCTACTGCTATCCAACCTGATTTAGGTTCAAAGTCAATGGGCTCAATCCCTCGACAGTCAAATATTACAATAGTTTTAAATTTATTAACATCATTGCTTGTGAATTCACCTGGAAATAAAAAAAAAACTAGTTTTTAAGGTTGGCAACATTTTTATTGTATTTTTGTTAACCTCCTGCAAAGCTAATAGGAGATTAAGAGGAATATCCATAAAAAGATAAGTGGTGTTAAAATCGCAAAGTAGATTTGCCTAAGGGGTGTAGCAGCTTTGCTCTTGATTGAAACAACTGGAGGGAGCATTATGCCTCTGTTGGAAGACAACCTTACTATTCAAATCAAATTTATTAATTAAGGCTATTTGCGACTCCTAACACCTTATGTTCATTACAGAAAACTAGATGGGGTTCAAACTTGCTACCACTCGAGCCCAAATCCTTCCTTTTGGCCATTGCACTTTTATTATTTTGAAACATACTTTCAATTATTTTAACTTAATGCGAATCTAAAATATAGGCACCCTTGTTTTTTATATGTTATTTATAGGATTCTGACACTATATATAGGGAATATAGGGAGCCGTATACTTGTATACTTGGGTGTATAAATGAAATTAATATTTAAAGGTTATAATACTTACCATTTGACCCTTCGATAACATCCATACTATTCTCTCTTGAGCACAGCTTACATTTAATTAACAAATTAGCTTCTGACCTATTATGTTTCTGAGGTACTTTTTCGGCTTCAGTGAGATCATGAAACTTTTCACTCACTTCGCCGCAACTTCCACACTTCAGTTTCAGGAACCAAGGGTAGTGTGGATGGTTGGTATATAACTTTTCAATACATTCTAGTGTCGCTTTGATTTGTAGAGCGATTTTAACCATGTTTAACAACTACGCGAACTAATATTTCCCTGTAATAATAATCGTAGAAATATCAACACTCCATTCAATGAACTAGAAATAAATACAACAATACTAAATGTCAAAACGGATCGTCTGTCATCTGGCAGTCTGTTCTCCCATTATTCAATATACTCTGTGGTTTGCCACATAATAGTAAATACTGCCAAGCTTAAATATAGATAATATAGGCAAACTAAATTAATACTTTATATTTTTTTATTTTGCTCAGTAGTACATGCCCTATGGCCGAAATTTAAAATGAAATCATTTATTAAACCTCTCAGTTAACAATAACATAGCCGTAAGAATCAGAAGCTCAAGATACTTCTGATTATTATGGCTGTGTTATAATGTATTTACGCAAATTATTTAGGAAACGGTAATATCTCTCGACACAGCATTACTTACGTAAAAGTAGTTTTCAGCATGATTAAAAGGTCTGCGTTCCACTGGACTGACGGTGTGGTTCTATATAGACACGGATGTACTAAAACCCTGGCCAACATTTCTGAAGACCTTGTACGCTAAGTACGTCATCTAATCATTTTAAAATAAGTTTTTTACACGAGTATCTTTCAGTATAGAAGTCTGTGCAACTTTGGGTTTATTGCATTTGAACGTCTTCATCGTTCATCACATTTTTCGAAAATACAATCCAATGATCAAACGAGCAGACGGGTCACCTGATGGAAAGTAACTACCGCCGCCTATGAACGGAGTCACAAGCGCGTTGCCGGCGTGTAAGGAAGGAGTTCGCACTTTTCTTGAAGGTTGTATCGTACTTTGATGTCTCTATTCATACTAATATTATAAATGCGAAAGTGTCTGTCTGCCTGTTACTCGTTACGCTTAAATTGCTGAACCGATTTAGATGAAATTTGGTACAGAGATCGTTTATCCCAGAAATCATCCTTTAAGGGGCTGAAAGGGGAGAGGGGGGGGGGGGGCTGTGTGTACATTTGTATGAGGAAGCAATAACCGCTGAACTGATTCAGATGTTTGGTATAAAGATACTTTGATTCTTGAGGAAAGACATAAGCTAGTTTTTACCGCGATAACCGACATTTACTCGGCGAGGGCACGTTAGTATTTTAATAAAAGCCATATTATTGAATACAAAAATGCTATAATCAAACACTTTTTGTACTTCCTACTTAATGACTGCATCTACATCTAACTGAAATAATATTTGAAGCTGTTAGGAGATCTATCGTCGCAATGAAAAGTATAAAACGTATCAATTTATTGCATTTATTGTCAAATGCTAGATATAGTCTTAAAAAATATTACAATGGCAATAAGCTAGGGAATCTTTCTTGACGGCTTTCATGGGAAAGGATAAATGAAGCTATGTCATAATAAGGTAAAAATAAAAATGTATATTTTTTGCACATATGTTCAGTCTAGTTGTTTTGTAGGGGCACGATCCTGATGTTATTTCCTTGACTGTCGGTGTGGAGAGTGAGACCCATCTCTTGCAATACTTCATTATCCACGGGGCCTTTGAGGGTTACCTTTGATATAACTTCCTGTAAGAAAAAATATTTATCAAAGAATTATCGATTTCTGGACACAATCAATGGTGAATTTAATAAAACTAGAGATCGCCTTTATTGGTAGTCGTGTTTTATTTCATTATAGGTCTTAGTGTGAGTTTATTGACGTGACAACGTCTTATAATTCGATGGAGCCGGCTGCACGCACGAAAAACCATGACTCATGCGGCGTTACCTCGCTCTGAGGCGTTTCATTTAAGGCGTGAAGTGCAAGCGAAAGCGCGGGACGAGTGACAAAGAGGCACAATCGGCCTCCGCGTTCGGCAGCGTTCGACATCTGTCTCTCTCAAGTAGGAACTTGAGTGAGCGATGCGTCCGCGTGGACAGCTGCTACTCGTATACAATAATACATTTTTGAAAAATGCAACCATTCAATCAGTATTTTCTTATGACGTTGTCACGTTCAACTATCGTCAGTAAACCAACTTTACAGACAACCGATTTTTTACATCAACTCGCTCTCGACGGCGATTACATTTGGCGTCGCGTTAGGAGAATTGCGGGCCAATCGCAATGCCAAACGCGGTCTCCCTGACGATCAAGTAGATATGAAATAAACTTACACTATTTTCTAAGGAGAGGTGGTCTTTTTTATGTCCGCGGTGTTCAATGAAAGGCTGTTGATGATGAAACTCACACTAAGCCCTAAATATAACTTGAACTATCGTTCACTAGACTTTTGTACAGTTCAAAATAAATACTATACTATACTCCTATACGTTTTAAACAAGTCGTTTTTAAACATTTATTTATTTAATAGCACATATTGTTCAAAAATACAAACATTAGGTTTCAAATATTATATGTTTCTGTGAGCCATATTTGCTTAAAAATTGTAGATTTTCTTTACGTATTACTAATAAGTAAATTTTTTTGTTTGTTTTTTATTCATGGCAAAAGGATACATTTCAGTAACAGTGAGGAAAGCCACAGGTGTTACTCGCTTTGTATGTAATACAATGTAGATTAATTTTTTTATACATAATACATTTTTTGAAGTGATAACTTCTTATGGGTGGGTAAACCGCTCCGTTACGTAACGCGTTAAGGCGTCAGTCTGTCTGTTTTCCTTTTCTCTCACGCATACTCCAGCGGTAGGCAGGCTCCTCCTCTCTCACCCTAACCCACATCGCTAGCCGCATGTCGGACAGACGCTTTACACCAAATTTAAGTAATAACATAAGCTTTTCTCAAGTTAAACAATTTCAATATTAAATAGTTTAACTTAGATTAGTTTAAGTTATCACTTCTTTCTTCTTCACACGTTTTTTAAATGTACTTTGTATTATTTTCAGCTACATTGCGTTTAACATTTTAGTGGATTCACTAAGAGTTTATCTACAGAGTTGTTTTTTAGTTCGTTAAGTAGTTGTAGTAAAATATATAGCCAACGACGCTAGCCATACACGTTGTTGTATGATCGTAGTAAACCTCGGTATAGATAGTTCAACTCAGTTTCGTCGTCCGACTGCCGCGTCACTGCCACACGAATGAAAGTTGTATATTTACAAGCCCACGCACACATAGGGCCGCGCGCACAACTGAGTTGAACTATCTATAAATATGGCAAGCTACGTAGATTATTTAATATTATTCTCAATTTTAATGAAGCTATGTTCTCAATCATTTCATCAGATAAAAGGTAGCACCTTTTTTGGTTCCGTAAAATTGTTACTATTCGCTGTTTTCATTTGTAAAATGACTTACAGTAAGTGTTTTATGGTAAATAAAGCTTAAAAAATAAGGTAGGCTGTATGTCTCAAAAATTAAGTCAATGAAGTCGTATTGTTTGGGGTGTGAGGGGCGAACCACCATCTTTCGCCCCAAGCCAACCTCACCTGCCCGCGGTGCATCCTGCTGAACGACGAACGAGGCTCTGGCGACCGACCGATGGCGGTATATAAATCCCAATAGGCGTAGCTAAATACAACAGGCCGGTGACGGGCAGCAGCGTTACCGGTGCGACAAGCTACGCCCTGCGATCGCCCAGCGTGGCGATTATGGGCAAACCCCTCCCATGCAGACGCAACAAAGGCCACGGCCCCCAGTTCCCGGCGGCCCCGCTATTCCTGGTCATGGTGGCGACCACGGTAAAGGCGGGGCAGGGGGTGCGAAGAATCTCCGGGCTACGGGAGGCCACCACAACCGACTGACCCTGGCTACGTACAACGGACGCACGCTACGGCTAGACTCGCATCTGGCGCAACTTGAGGTGGAACTTGGGAAGATTAGGTGGCATATCCTAGGGCTATGTGAAGTCCGAAGAGAGGGGGAGGACACCATAACCCTCGAGTCAGGCCACCTAATGTACTTCCGCGAGGGAGACCAACAATCCCAAGGTGGGGTTGGGTTTCTGGTAAATAAGTCCCTATCTGACAACGTTGTGGAAATTTCCAGTGTCGAACAGGGTAGCGTACCTCATTATCAAGCTCACCGAGAGGTATAGCCTCAAGGTTGTGCAAGTGTACGCACCGACCTCGGCACATTCGGACGACGAGGTGGAGGATATGTACGATGACATATCGAGGGCCCTCCACTTCACAACTAAGACCCACTACAACGTTGTTATGGGTGACTTCAACGCTAAAGTGGGTGTACAGAATTGCGGCGAATCGGTAGTAGGATCCCATGGATTTGGAAGCAGGAATCATAGGGGGCAAATGCTGGTCAACTTCCTCGAACGGGAGGGGCTGTTTTTGATGAATTCTTTCTTCAAGAAACAGCCCCAAAGGAAGTGGACGTGGCAAAGCCCCGACGCTATGACTAGAAATGAGATCGATTTCATCATGACGGATAGAAAGCACATATTCAGAGACGTCTCAGTGATCAATAGGTTTAATACCGGTAGTGATCACCGACTTGTCCGGGGCTCTCTGAATATCAACTTTAAGGCGGAACGTGTCTGTTTGATGAAATCCAGGCTCCGACCAACTCGGCTCCAAGCCATGACAGGATCTGAAACGTTCCAGTCAAAACTGGAAAACCGATTCGCTGCCGTGGAAACCACAATCGACGTAAACCAGAACCTCAAAAATGTGGTTCAGATCCTCAGGGAAGAAGGTATGAGATTTTGTGAAATGCAGCGTAAGGGCAGGAAGTCGAAGCTTTCAGAAAGGACCCTAGGGATGATGAAGAAACGACGTGAAAACCCACCTGTCACTTTGTCGGCAAAGCGGACTCTAAACCGAGAGATCAGTAAACTCGTACGACACGACCTCCGGTGCTCCAATACTCTTTCAATTGAAAGAGCGATCGAGCAAAATCGGGGGTCAAAAGTGTTCGTACAATCTCTTGGAAGAAGCCACCTGACAAAGTTGACTACAGAAAGTGGAGAAGTCGTTGCTTCGAAGCCGGCAGTCCTTTTGGAAGTGGAAAGCTTCTATGGCCGGTTATACGCTTCACATGCATCTCGACCTGATCCCGAAAATGAGGACTCTAGAGCCACATTAACACGTCACTACACCGAAGACCTGCCAGAAGTTAGCATTGACGAAATCGAGATGGCTCTTGGACAGCTGAAAAATGGAAAAGCCCCTGGAGAGGATGGCGTTACAACAGAGCTGCTGAAGGCCGGGGGTAAACCCGTACTAAGGGAGCTCCAAAAGCTCTTCAACGCTGTCCTGTTTGAAGGGAGAACTCCAGAAGCGTGGAGTAGGAGTGTGGTCGTCTTGTTCTTCAAAAAGGGTGACAAGACCAGGTTGAAGAACTATCGACCCATATCCCTTCTAAGCCACGTCTACAAGCTGTTTTCGAGAGTCATCACGAACCGTCTTGCGCAAAGACTCGACGAATTCCAACCACCGGAGCAAGCTGGGTTTCGGAGCGGATATGGCACCATAGACCACATCCACACAGTGCGGCAGATTATACAGAAGACCGAAGAATATAATCAGCCCCTGTGTCTAGCATTCGTGGACTATGAGAAAGCCTTTGACTCGATCGAGATCTGGTCTGTTCTGGAGTCCCTGCAGCGTTGCCAAGTAGATTGGGGATACATCCAAGTGATGAGATGTCTCTACGAAGCGGCCACCATGTCCGTCCAAGTACAGAATCAGCAAACAAGGCCCGTGCCATTGCATCGAGGAGTGAGACAAGGGGCCGTTATTTCCCCGAAATTGTTCACAAATGCAATGGAGGACATGTTCAAGACGCTGCACTGGAAAGGGCGTGGCATCAATATCAATGGCGAATACATCTCTCACTTGCGATTTGCAGATGACATCGTCATCATGGCAGAGACGTTGCAGGACCTACAGCAAATGCTGAATGACTTAGCTGACACTTCTGTACGCATCGGCCTACGGATGAACTTGGATAAAACCAAGGTCATGTTCAACGAACATGTACTACCGGAACCGATTGCGGTACACGGTGCCGTTCTCGAAATTGTTCAAAATTATGTGTACCTCGGGCAGACATTGCAGTTAGGTAGAAACAACTTCGAGGACGAGGTGAACAGAAGAATTCGGTTGGGTTGGGCAGCGTTTGGGAAGCTACGTCGAGTCTTCTCATCGTCGATCCCACAGTGCCTTAAGACGAAAGTCTTTAATGAGTGCGTCCTACCCGTCATGACATACGGAGCTGAAACGTGGACACTTACTGTACGGCTGGTCCACAAGTTCAAAGTCGCTCAACGTGCTATGGAAAGGGCTATGCTCGGCGTCTCTAAGGGATCGCATCAGAAATGAGGTGATCCGGCAGAGAACTAAGGTCACCGACATAGCGTACCGGATCAGCAAGCTGAAGTGGCAGTGGGCTGGCCATATTAGCCGCAGAACCGATAACCGTTGGGGAAAACGAGTTCTTGAGTGGAGACCGCGTCTCGGCAAACGTAGTGTAGGACGCCCACAGGCCAGGATTTGCGCAAAATGGCTGGCAGGAGCTGGATGCGAGTAGCCCAAAATCGATCTAAGTGGCGTGCAATGGGAGAGGCCTATGTCCAGCAGTGGACTGCGATAGGCTGATGATGTGAGTCGTATTGTTTGATATCTATTTGATATGAGATTTTTTTTAAACAAATTAATAGAAAATCTCTATCAACAGGAAAAAAGTTTTATAGACCGCATAAAGCATCTTATACGCTAAAAGAAATCTTTAAGTACCTATTTTGGCTTATATCCTACTACAGACTAAAATTAATCAATGTACCTGATTTTCCGGACAGTTTTCAGATAAATTTCGCACCGCGAAAATAACCCACTGCATTATCACTGTAATATTATAAGGAATGTATTGTATAATTTGGTGTAATTAACATTTCTGTAAACATTTTTGGGCATATGGAGGGGAGAGCCTTTTATCAGGGGTTGAGCTCCGGTTTTTTCATGCCAGTTTTCTGTGAAACCTTGGTATCACTCCGGTATAAAAAACCAGAAGAAGCCAGTTAGTTTTGGTCATCATCATCATCATCAACAGCCTTTAATAGTCCATTGCTGGACATAAGCCTCTCCTGAGAAAGGAGTTTTGGTCAATTGGTGATTAAACATGGGAAAATTTTAATTAGGTATGGTATTGACATGGAAATGTAAGAAGGAAAGAAAAGCTGATGGCCTGTTACGGCTTATACAGGACATAAGAACGCATTATTCAAACTTCCCAAGTTTAAAAAATAGCTATTATAGACCAAGGTCGCATTACTTGAACTGGCTAATTTCGGAAATTTCGAGCTAAGAATTAGGTTTTTCCGTTTAGCGTAAAATAATATTAATTTACTTTTCAATATAAAAGGATACAAGGATTACGAGCGTCGATGTTACAGCAATCTAGTAGTACTGGGATCACTTCCAATTCGCGGATCTGAAAAGTAAAGTCATTGGTCTAGTATTATAGTAGTGGTATTAGTCTAGTATTATAGTAATGGTATTAGTCTAGTATTATTATTTGGCTGTTAGTTTCTACGCTTACTGCAAAACTCATTGTTTTTATAATTTTATTAGCTCCACTGTAATAAACTTGCATTGTAAAAAATGTTAAATTTGCTTGAAAACGAAATAGATTTTGAATATAAACATTTTTTGTTGGTATACAATGTGTTTTTTTAACGAATCTTTAAACCACATATTCTGTTATTTATTTCTAGACGATTTGCAAAATATGAACAAAAATATTCAGTGGTTTAGAAACAGGACAATTTTTTTGTTTTCGTAATTTGCAACATTCTGTGTAAATGCAGTCATAATACATTGACCTCAGGCGATGATCAGCTGTATACGCGGCGATTTAACATCACACGTGGCCGCTGTTACTACACTCGAATCGAAAAATATGTTGATTATTGCGTCATCAGGATGAAGGACACGCGTTTTTAATTAGTTCATTTAGTAAGTACAGTCAGTGTGATGAGAGTGTTATGCTGTTCTGTATCCTTGTAGATGCACTCACGACAAATTATCGTAATAATAATGTTGTTTTTGTTCATGAGATATTTGTTTAGAAAAGTTTTGTTGTGTTAATAATAGTTAGGTCTTATTGCTTTAGTCATAATACACGGCAATGGTGTGAACAATTAATGTTATCGTGTGCGCAAGACTCCGTGTCAAATTATCGATTATCTCAAAGTACAGACGTTTCATGTAGCATAACGTTACCATTCTCTTATTTTCTTGATTTTTCCAGCAAAGGTTGGCGAGCGTCCTGACCAGCGCTGCCTTGAACCCAAAAGCCACATGTCGTTCCACGGTCTCCACGCTTGTCATAGCTTTCTTTGGTGTAGTAGGATCGATAGCACCTAGTCTGAAATTAGATGAAAGGTTTTAATTCCACTTTACCTTGTCTATGTCTACTCCACTTATCTTTGTTATTTTATTTCAAAAGACAAACCGCATTAGGAATATATAATTTGTCGCAAGGGATTTTATAAACATACATGAAACGGAAACAAAGAACACCAAGACTCAGAACAACAATTCGTTGATCACACAAAGTGTAATCCGGTGTGGGGATCGAACCCAAAACAACCTTTTAAATTGTTGAGTTTAATTGATGAGACGTTAGCATGTTTGTTGACAGTTGTGTACAACCATAAACAACATCGGAGCTGTGTGACGACGAAATGAAAAGACTGACCGATACTCATTCACTCGGTGAAAAGTAATGAACGAATTGATTAACACCGGTTTTCTGTGGGGACGTGATCGGTAACACTCCGGCCGAGCCCGCCTTTTTGTGTCGAAGCACAGCTCTCCCACAGACAAACGTGTCTATTTGTAGGAGAGAAAAGTAAATAATATAATATTCTACCACATTCACACAACGCCATCTAGTCCCAAACTAAGCTGAGCTTGTACTATGGCTACTAGACAACTGATATAAATACATATATATTTTTTTGTAAATACATACATATTATACATAGAAACACCCAGACCAAATCAAACATTAAAAGTACATGCACACAAATGTTTGACTTGAGCGGGAATCGAACCCGCGACCTTGCGAATAGCAGTCCGTTACACAAACCACTACGTCATCCGGTCGTAACTGAACTAAAATCAATATTTTTAGTTCTATGTCTTACCTTGTTTTCTGCATGTCAGGTGAGTCAATCTGCACCGAAGGTATTTTATTTACATTAATATCTTCTTTACTGCTTTTAACCGTTAAACTTTCTTCTGAAACCTTGCCTTCCACTGCAAGTTCTACCTTCTTCTCACCATTAGCACCGTCACCTCGCGTCTTCTCCGATGATATACCCAGAATCTTCTGCAATTGCTCGCTTAAGTCAAAGTCAGTGGAAAGATTCTGACTTTTCTTTATTTCCTTTGGAGTATCAGGCGATTGTTTTTGCGATTCTGCTTCTGGTACACTATCTGCTAGAGGTGGGGATATTTCGCTAGGAGATGCTTTAATTTCGGTCTTTAATTCCTCTTTTGGGAAGTGGATTTCGGTTGGAGGGTCATTTGGTGAGCTGTCTTGAGATTCTGTACGACTTGTCGGTTGTAAATCCAGCCTAGGTTGCAAACCCACGGGTATAACTTCGGCTATGGTGTTCATGCTGCCGTTTGGTGATGTAGAATCGATGATTAATGGCGGTTCAGTGTCATCGCCGATGTCAATTTTATGTTCTAAACTAATTCGTCTTCTCGGTAGAGGGACGCGGTCTTCTGTTTTTGGTACTGAGCTACTCCTCTTGTAAGCTACTTTCGAAAGATCTGAATCGGTTTTCATGTTGTTACTTGGTCCGTTCATAACGTTGGGTGTAGACTCTGATTTCAAAGGCACCATGCTATCGAAAGCTTCTACTTTGTCTATGTAAGACGGTATGTCGTTGCATTCGAAATATTGCTCACTACTTTCAGATTCTGTGCATTCGGATGTAGTTTCGTTACACGACAGCATGTTGTCGGCGGAGTCGTTTTTTTGTAGTGGATCTATAAATAGTATTATGACCATTAATAAATGGAATGATACAGTTACATGGTAATTAAGTTAAGTCACATCACATGCAGCCAACAGCCTTTACTAGTCCACTGCTGAACATAGGCCTCTCCTTAGAAAGGAGGCTTTGGCCTACTATACCACGCTGGCCAGACGGGTTGGTATAGGGTTTGTGTCAAGTTTTCCTTCTCTTTGCAGTGCTGTTGTCCTGCGTAGTTTCCTCCCTTAGTCGGCTCTTACGACACCCACGGGATGAATAAGGGTGGTGACACTCCGTATTCTTAATCCGTCACCATACGGCCCAGCAGTGTCTTAACATAATTAGAAGTCTGAGATTATGTATGCAGTTTTAAAAGCAGGCATAATGTTTTATGGATTTTATATTATGGATCACCAGTAGTTCAAGAAATGAGAATCTAAATGAGAAGTCTAGCGATAGTCAAACTTGCGTTAAGTATGGGGTAGAAAAAAGTATTATCAGTCCGTATTTATAATATACGTTCTTAAAAGCATTGTAATTGCCTTGACGTCTAATTATTTTTTGTTTAAAAAAATTACCACTATTTTCATAATTTTAAGATTCTAATTTAATTTTAAATACATTACAGGGTTTTTATTTTTTATATTCAAATTAATAGACGCAGACACTGCGTGAATAAGTTGTTGTGTGATAAGTACGATTATTGGTTATATGAACGAGTTTAATATAAGTTCGTTTATCAGCTGTCTGGTTACCATAGTACTGGCTCTGACTAGTTGTGGATCAAACGACCGTGTGTGAGGTGTCTAATGTTATTATTTATTTAAATTTTATGAGGACTATTGTAGTAAATATAACCGCAGTCCTTAATGTTAATGACCCTATTTTTGGTCAAAGTTATCAGATATCATTTCTTTCAGTTAGACAGATATCATTTCTTTTTCCCCTTTTCTGTCTGTCAAATAAAAACTCATGTAATCGTTGAGCTCTGTCAGTCTCTCTTTTTAGTGTTTTTTTTACAGCAGGGTAGGCGCCACCCCATATAAAACTTTGAAAACGAGTGTTGTACATCGGCACAGGCGTACAATAGATTTTCGATACGTATACATTTATTTTGCTAAATATTTGACAGTGCAGACATTCCTGCTATTGTGGGTGTTGATCTATGACTTTAGAGTCTACAAATATTACAAATATTTTTTAATTCATTTTATGAAATAAAAGATATTTCAATTATTTTATCAAGAAATATTTGAAACATTAAGACGACACTTTAAGCAATCAAGTTACAAAGCTCCCGGCAACTTTAGTCACAACAATTAGTCACACTTGTTAAGTTATACGATATAAACAGTCAGTGTTAGCTAGTGATTTACAATTACATGGTAGGCTGATACACCGGTTTTGTTTTAGTGCCGTGAAGTTATGCGAGTGGATATTTCACAGATAGGTTTATATTGAAACATGTTTTATTATTTTATTGGTTACTTCGTGTTTTAGCGTGTGAATTATATTTAATTTACTTGTACGCATAATTGATAATCTGTAGGTACACAGAGTGAGGAACGATGACACATGTCATATACTGCTGCCTGCGCGGCTGCCTGCGCTATGGTAACCAGACTGCTTGAATATCATACTTAAATACACCTAGGATTTAGAACAATTAATCGTGCTCAGTACACAATTATTTCTCGTGGATGGGAATCGAACCTACGACCTCCGGCTTAGTAACCAGGATCATTAACCACTAGACCAGCAGTCATATAAATTTGATTCAAATTGAAACAGCCGTTTTGGCGTGATTAAGTAACAAACAGACACACATCCTTCTTAACAAACTTTCGCATTTGTTATGTTATATACTAGCTGAGACCCGCGGTGTTACCCGCGTTTATTGGCATAACCGCGGGCAACGCCGCGGGGCGAAGCTAGTCTAAAAAAAATAGCCTAAGTTACTCCTTATGTCATCAGTTATCTGTCAGTGAAAGTCCCGTCGAAATCGGTCCAGCCGTTCCAGAGATTACCCCGGAACAAACAGACAGACACAAAAATTGTAAAAAAATTTGTTTTGGCATATGTACCGTGTAAACATACATATGCATTTAGTAAAAAGCGGTTATTTTAATATTACAAACAGACACTCCAATTTTATTTATTTGTATAGATAGGTACTTACTTCCTCCTGTTGTATTGACATTGTTTTCATCATTGATAAGAGTTTTCCCTGTAGCTGCATACAACTTGTTAATGGACGAAAAGAAATTTTGACTCTCTTTCCCAAGTTTGTGTATGGCACGCAGGAGAACTGAAATGAAAAAACTGAACTAAACCACAGCTCTGCCCGTTTGAGTAATTAATAATCTATTATTCCTTAATGTAACTTTTTATGGTACAAGGAGCAAAAACGCAGACGGGTCACCAGGGCCTCAATTCTATCATCTTATGTTACGTACAGGCCACTATCATTCTATTGAAACGCTATTGAGATGCCATTCACGTTGGTCAAAATATCGGTATTCTGCTAATATAAATTCACAGTGTCAATAAACTGTCAATGTAATGATAATGGCTCATTAATGGTGATATTAAAAAAAATTGCTATATAACATGCCTGGCAAATTAAATATATAATTTCCTTGAAAATGTAATTAAAATTACAAAAAGGCAGTTCAGTGCCAAGTCATCAGAATTCCCTTGGTCTTACATAGTTAACAGAATACGAAAATTGTAATAATCATTTTTTTAAGGTTGAACCGAATAACAATACTAACAAAGACTACTAAAAACATAACAGCAATTGTGGTTGATTTGCTGTCATTTTTTGAAGAGTTCCGTTGTCTGTCTCTAAAACTCATCATCAGATCTATAAGAAATGTAAATGGGACCATTTCAGAATAAAACCGTTTCGAACAAAAAAAAATTTAAAAAAAAATGACGTAATTATGTCCGAACATCGAAATCATTTCCACAGATTTTATGAAAGTAATAGATTAGAAGTTTGTTTTATTATTATTATTAAAAATAGAACTACCCGTCAAATTCAATTTTTTTATAGGAGAAACAGACGAGTCACTGGATGGTAAGGAAATGCCACCGCCCATAAACGCCTGCAATTCAAGAGTCACGAGTGTGTTGTCGTCCTTTAATTTCTTTCTCCAGAATCTGGAGTTTATTTTTAATAAGACAAAACTAGGAATATGTCCTGCGTCGCGGGGGACTTTACAAACATACATGCAACGGACACAAAAATCACCCAGACTCAGAACAACAATTTGTGGATCACACTAAGTGTCGTCCCATGTGGGGATCAGACCCACAACACTCAGCGTAGTAGTGAGCGGCGTGGCTTAAACCACTTCGCCATCCGTGCAGTTTGGTTTCTAGTAAAATCGCTTACTCTGAAAAGCAACGAAAGAGTTGCTTAAAACCGGTTTTCTGTTAGGCCGTGGTATCACTCCGGTCGAGCCGGCTCATTCGTGCCGAATCATGGATCTCCCACGTAAAATTGGACAGAGTATATCATAAATGCAAATGAAATGGCAGGGAATGCCAAATATTAAAATGTTTTTTTTTTAACTCTCTAAAATCTCTAGATTGTCATATACAGGTATACTTACAAGCACAGTTGATAAATAGTGAACTATCAGACTGCAAACAGTCCATATATGCATCCATACTCGACGCAGTAGCAATGATCTCCAATAGAAAAACCACTTCTTGCGGCTCAATATTATTTACATACTTGTCTACAGTTTTCAATATACAATCTGATTTACTTTTAAACTCATGAGCCATAAACTTCACAAAGTTCACAGACACATTAATATCCTGAGATTCGGATGACATCAATATGTTGTAAGCTAAATTCAACACAAGCATCCTACATTCAGGTTCTAATTTTGAATACAATTTCTCTATATATGCATTCTCAACTCCAATTAAGTATTCTATAATTAAATGCGGGTATTCAGTGTTGCCACTACTGTACATGTACGCCAATGAGTTTAAAAGCGTTACATCATCTTGTAACACATTTGGTTGCCCCAACAGTATGTTGTATATGATCATTGCCGCAGCAGTAGCTATTTTATCATTTTGATCGACAAGGCTGTTCAAGATATTAGTATCAAATTTATTCCAAATCATTATTTGATTAAATGGGTTGTTGACAACTAAATTTCCTAGAGCTTGCATGAGAACTGTCATACATGATTCAAACTTTTTTTGCAATTCTTCATTAATAAAGTCACTTGGATGTTGATACTCTGTGGCTAGGATATACATGGAGTCCAAAATAGAGAGTTCCTTAGATATATATGTTTGCATTTTGGTGCCAGCTGCTGCACAGGAGCGAACGAGACGGAGGCACTGTTCTGCAACAGCAAGTGTGCTTCGGTTGTAAGAAGCTTGTTCTACATCAAGCCTCATAATGTGTAGTACTTCAGCTATAAGTCGCAAAGTATATTCAGATGCTTTTTTCCTGAAATCAGAACATACAGAAGCTACTTAAAACAAATACAAAATTACTAACAAGAAGACTATAACCTCAACACCAGCCATCTCATTCCTGAACTTTGCAAAGACTTATATGGTGTTCAGACTACTAATTAACATATTTATATATCACTAAATACATACATATCTCTATAAAAGAACAAAAAAAGTACCTAGTTTCGACGCACTACTCCAAATAAAAGAATCCATAGAAGAATGGTGGTGGTATGCAAAGGTATGGAAAAATTATAGTAAAACATATCCAGAAATTTTTTGCTAAACACAGTATTATTCCAGGACACCAGCATGGCTTTCGTCTGTTGTATTTTATGTGTAGCACAGGGTTCAATACTGGTTCCTGCGTTACACATAATATACACATTTGATCTTTTGCTGATTCAGATTTACAAGCCATATTTAATTTCTTGAGAAGCTGCTATGCAACTCACTAAGATACCACAATCACTAAAAGAACAACCATACCGGGAATGCATAAAACTTCAGAAACTCACAACCCAATGGGATCGCAGAGATCAAGGAGACTTAACTATATCATATAGACATATAAGATCTTAAATTGACATTATGACCTTCAAGAGTTTCAGTTCAAGAGTACCTTCTCAAACATCAATCCTCACAAACCCTTTTTAAGAAATTGTGGAGTGAAAGTGTGAAAAAAGCGTAAAGATGATGTTTTATTTGAACAAAATTTGAACCAATTTAAAATCAATTCATCAAATATTTGATTAAATCCAAGAAAAACAACTAATAAGAATCTATTAGGATTAAGGCTTTTATCAGTTGTTTCTTTATCTTTTTTTTATAGACAAATCCTGCACTAGGAATATATTCTGTCACGGGAGACTAAAAAATTATATGAAATGGACCCAATGAACCCCCAGACTCATAACAACAATTTGAAGATCACGCAAAGCATAGTCTCAGGTGGGGATCGAACCCACTCACTCAGCAGTGAGTTAACGCTTACAACACTACGACATCCATACAGTCAACCTGCTGTGTGCTTCGACTGCCTGTCTGTCACTGTTTTTTGTAAATTTTAATTCAATAATAATAATAAATTCATTTATTTTCTCACCACATTTGCAGAATAAATTAGGGTTTTTTTTGTCACTAGATGTTTGTGGGAGTCTGATGCCTAAACTAGGTGTTAGCCTGTATTTCAGTCAGCAGGCCTCAATTACAGGTTTAGTTTCTATTACTTTTTATGGTTATAATTAAAGTAGATTGTCTTGAGATCTATTTTACAGGGTGATGTCTGGGTTAGTTATTTTATGTATACAAATACTAAGTATAAGGCATAATTTATGATCAACGAAGTTTCCTAAAACCAGTTCTTACAGCTCAAGTATAACTTAAATGAAGATGAATACATTCATAGCAGTTAGGAATAATAAACATGAATTAAATCAGTTAATCAGTTTTTTACTTACGGTCGCAATCGCCCGGTCTCCGCATCTCTGGAAAGTTGTGCCTCAGCCTTTAACATTTCCTCCACAGCGTCCCATTCTCCAGTTTCTAATTGGAAGTTAATTAATTTGGCATCTAATAATATTTCTTCGGCAAACCACACGCTTTTATCTCGAGACATTTTAATAGATTTATGAACTCAACTCAACTTTTGGTTAATGGGTTTGTGGTAGAATGTAACCACAATTTCGCCAATGTCATGTATTTGAAAGACAAACTGTCAAAGAATTTTATTTTATGTAGAATAGATTTATGAATTAAAATTACTACGCAAGAAATCTGTACTACATATTATGACAGCTTGCCAGATTAACAGAATGACAGATGACAGGAAATGAGGAAACCACCAAAGTGACAGTCAATGAGAGCAGTGTGCTCTGTATCTGATTTTTATTTATCTGTAGCAGAGATAAATATTTCGTTTTCTTTCAAAATTATTTCTAGTAAATACCAAAATATATAATATATAATGTCCATAAAATAACATGAGAAATCAAAACTGGATTGATCGTTTTTGACTAAATCGTTTTTTATTAGATACCTTTTATATTTAGTGTCCATCAATGATCATTGTATATTTTCATAATCTTTACTCTCATATGGCTTCTCACACGATTTTATTACAGGTAAGTAAAAATCTTCAATTTGTTGTGTGTTATGAACAACCGTTTCTAATGAATTCGTCTTATAAATGGTGGTGGGATTAAGAATACAGAGTGTCACCATCCCTATTCATCCCGTGGGTGTCGTAAGAGCCGACTAATTCGAACAAACTACGCAGGACAACAGCACTGCAGAGAGAAGGACAACTTGACACGAACCCTATACCAATCCGTCTGGCCAGCGTAGTATAGTAGGCCAAAACCTCCTTTCAAAGGAGAGGCTTATGTCCAGCAATGGACTATTAAAGGCTGATGATAAAATGGTCTTATAAATGTCGCAAGTAACATTTATGGCTCCTGTCGGGCACAGCAAAATCAGGGGAGAAAAGCAAACATTCTAATATCCAGTAGGTGATCATATTGAAATGTATTTTAGTAAATAGAGCTCAGTAGGTATTTATTTTTTTAATTCGAAAAGTTACTATTGCTTATTATTATGCTAATAACATTATAATTCTTTGTTGTTTGTTCATGTGATATTCATACTCCAAGAAATAACTTGTTTATTTATTTTTTTCAAAGAGAAACAAAATCTGTGCCCAGAGAACTAAATTGTCCTAAATTAATATTGAGTGTAATGAATTAAGACATTGATTTATTATTGCCCCTTATCCCAAATATCTAGTCATTAAATCACAAAAATCACAACTGTGTAACTTCTCGTACCATTCCTTTTGTTTCAAGGTTTTTGACAAGAACGTATTCTGACTTTAGTCAACTTGGTTTAAAGTTACGTAAGGTGAGGTGTTTGGAATTCATCAGTCAGTTATTATGATGAAACTATAAATTAATGAATGAATATTTAAATGAAACTTATAATTCATATGTTACTAGAAAAGCTACTGTATAACATGTCTTGAACTAAATAATAGTACTAAATAATCTAACATAGTAGTATTTTTAATTGTGGTTGTAAACCCTAAAAGCGGTGATAGTCGCTTACTCCCGCCCCCGCTTCACCGTCCGGTCGAACGAAGAAACGGTGAGAATGGCATTTGTGCGTGAAATTGTATCAGTTTTTATGTGAAGAACAGCATATTTCTCACAGAGCAAGTTCACCCTTCGACCTTTAGTTCTTTTGTGCAATTATCCCTTACGAAGTGTTTCAGTGTGTGTAGTTTTAAATAGTTATGTGTCGAAAAAAAAATATGTGAATGGTTTGGGGTGGTATCCTAAGGATTTTGTTTCATTGTGAAGTGCAATAATGGACAAACTTCCCGCTAACATCGTTGGAATTTAAAACATTCGGTGAGTCATCATCATTTTGAGTTTTAACGTATAAGTATTTTGATATATATCGCTCAAGAATATGTATGCAGATCTAAAAATACTAAGAAAACATTGTAGAGATATTCGGTTGATGTTAGTGGCGCTATTTTTAATATTATCAACATTCTATTTTACCATGTCTTCCGTATATTCTCAGGAATGCAAACACGGATTTGAAATTCGAACGTTCTTAAATTATAATTTTGATCTGGATATCGTAGGTATAACGTAACAAACCTTTGGCATTTTGAACATGTTATCATTTAGGCAGACTGTAAAATAGTCATCATGTGTTACAATGATATATTAATGTATAAGTAGACTGGGCTTGTTAAACATACACATGGCATGTAAGCAGATATTGGTCTAATGTGTAGCTTGTAATATAACAGGCATGGCTTTCAAGAATTCATGCCTTCTCAGTAACCAAAATTAATTTACTATTCACTATTTTTTCACTATTCTTTACCATTTTACTGTTCATGGTCGCTGCCCCTTCCTCTAAGAGTCATAGGGTGAAGTTACATAGCCTTTTTTTTAAATCCAATTGGTTTTAGTGACTAAAGAGTAGTGCAAAGAAACAGAAACCATTTTTTTTTATTATAAAATGAATATACATTTTTATAAGATGATATTTGTGTTTCTAATCAGTACTTTCTTAGATAGAGATATACATTACATATTATTTTTTCTTATGTAAAGATACCTATCTAAAATAATCTGTTATAAAGTTTTATAGTCTTTTGTATCTAGAGTTTCTTATGTTATTTTTAAATGCTAGTCAAATTGAATCACTGTTATGCTCTAAAAGTTTCAGAGGTTTGTAATATAACCTACTTTATTGAATTTGTTTTTTTTTTTAATTTAAGACAAATCGTAAGTAGTATGAACATATTTTAGTGTTAGTGGGTTTAAGTTTGTAGCATTTTGTTGTTATGAATTTATTTACTAATATGTAAAATTACAATTAGTGTACAATTTTTTTAATAATTTATAGAAACTAAGTAGTATAATTATAACTAAAACATAAAGAAACAAAATTATTATCCTTAGGAAAAACAAATTCATAAAAAAGTAAGATGGTTTGAAAAAAAGGATATTTGAACCTTGAAACATATTCTGAAAATGTGTGATATGTCTCAACTGGTTTTCATGATTACTAAGTACATCATAGTTATAAAAGATGTTATATTTTTTTTGTAAAATATTAATTATTTACTAAAATAACTCAGCATACCTACTATTGAAGTACATAAGGATTTATTGATTTACAGAGTATCTGCCTTTTAAAGTTAAATTTATAATAATATGTAGATTATTAAAATTGTTTTTTATTATAATATATATGAGTCTATGAAGAATTTCACTGGTAATAAATAAATTCATGGTATTTGGATAGATAGGCATGGTCAAACTAAATAATAAATTTAAATTGATAATATAATTTTAATGTTAAAACTCCTAAACTTTATTGTTCCAATTTTATTGTTTTAAAATTATAGGTCAGTATTAGATGTAGTGTCAATATACAATAATTAAAATATAAAATGTGCCATTAGAAGTTGAGGTCACATAATATATAATACAATAGGTAGGTACATACTCTTAACACACTTTAGTCATTGTGTATATAGATAAAATAAGACCACATATTCTGCATGTTTGAAAATAAAACTTAATAGTGCCAATTCTGTTCTTCAAAAACTCTCTAAACTAAACTAAAAATTAGTTTAGTCCTGTCAAACAATGTTACCTCCTCTGAAAACGTAGTATTTGACAGGACTAAAAACATTTTTAGTGATATTTAGTTTAGTTTAGTGAGTTTTAGAACAGATTTAGTACTAATGTCTCTGAATTTGAAGTAGTTTAAAGTTTTTCTTCATGTCCAACTACTACTAATTACATCATGATAGCTTCTAGTATAAATGTAAATTACAGTAGGGCTTAGTTTAGGTCTAGAAGTGTTATGTAATATAAAAGTTAATTACCTCACCTCACACACGGCCGTCTGATCCCAAACTAGGTGGAGCCTGTGCAATGGTAACTAGACTGCTGATAAACATACTTATATATTTGTAATACATACATATTGTAGATAAATTACACCCAGACACAGAACAAATGACCACGCTGATCACACAATATTTGTCCTGGGTGGGACAACCTCCAGCTTAGCAGTCAGGGTCACTAACCACTAGCCCAACAGGCCTTTCAACAGACACAATGTAATGCATAGTAATTCACATGTTTTTATTTAATATTCCTAATAGTGACAATTTTAGTGTCTTTTTTTAAAATTATTTTATAGGTATGTCTTATCAATGTAGTAATATTATTTATTTATTTTCCGTTCGGAAATACCCTCGGATACCACCTCTCGGTGGCATGTCGGACTCGAACCGACTAAAACCGCACGCCGTCTCGGGTACTAATAGCCGGGTAACCAGGTATACCCTAGAAAGGAAGTCCCTGGTGCCCCGACATACCTCGGGCCATCTACAACGACAGGGAACCGGTGGGAACCCCATGTTCCCTCTGCTCCCTGGAACCTAAAATACCCTAAATCTGCTAAATTTCAATCATCAAAGTATATAAAAAAAATTATAAACGAATTAATTTTTTTATTTGTTTTTATACTTTGACACAAACAGTTATACATTTAGTGTTTAGTCATATACCATTAAGTAATACATAGATGGAGAGTTTTTTTTTTGTTGGTTAAGTATTTGATTGAAAGTGTTCTTAACTATGATGCAAAGAATGCTGTTCAACCATTTAAAAGTCATCCATTATTTTGTAATTGACAAAAGGTTCTTTAAGGAATTTTCAGTTACTTTAATTAATGTTTGTTTTTGATAGAGAAGAAACACACCTATTTAAGTAGGTACTAATTTATTAAAACATCATTTTTATAAATCAGACACATCTACTCTATTAATATGAATTACTTATGCAGCAAATTAAACCATAACCAGTTCCATTCAGAAATACATTTTGGTTAAATCTAATACCAGGCTACACTTGCTTTAATTTGAAACAAACAAAACATATTACATAGTTCTTTGTAAAATCTTTAAATGGCAAACTTTTCATTGCTCTGGCTTTGCTTGTCCCAGTGTTGTGACTCAAAGAAGATACAATCAGTTTAGCTCAAACTTATCTTAGTTTCACTACATTTATTGTGAAAAAAAGTACAATGTTCTGTATTATGAAAACAGGCCTCTTTTCATGCTTACACTTTTTGTCTTTGTGTATGTAGGTTACACTGGTTTTCAAAGAACTCACTCAGTAATGAACACAATACATTATGGATGAATACAAACATGCAAGTACCAAAAAAAACTTTTGTAAATATGTACTTTATTTCTATTATGTCTTTTTAGGGTTCCGTGGCCTAAAGTGCAAAAATGTAACATTTATTGTTTCGTCATTTCTGTCCGACACTTCTTCTGTCCACACTATATCTCTGTAATTATTAATGGTGGAAACTATTTTGCATGACCATATATACAAATCATGCACTCCGACAAAGTGGTAAAATGAAATCCTTTTTTTTTTTTAAATGTTTTATAATTATCCATGTAATTACCCAAATTGGTCTTAGTGAAGATATATAATATAAGATAGATAATTAAGGATTTTATAAACATTATCTATACAAATAAATAAAATTGAGGTGTCTGTTTGTGATATCAAAATAATAGGCTTTTTCATGCTTACACAGTTATTTGCACGATACCTATGCCTAAAAACCAGTTTAAATATTTTTTGTCTGTCTGTTTGTTCTGGGTAATCTTTAAAACGGCTCCACCGATTTTGATAATATTTTACTACCAAGTACCTGTCTATATAAGGAGTAACTTAGGCTACTTTTTATCTCAGAAAAGCCCTATAAAATTTTGGCTGGTCTTGGAATCGAACTGACCAAGGCAGCGTTTTTCGAATTCCACGTGAACCAAGGCCCAGGCACCAGGGACTTCCTTTCTAGGGTATACCTGGTTCCCCGGCTATTAGTACCCAAGACGGCGTGCGGTTTTAGTCGGTTCGAGTCCGACATGCCACCAATAGGTGGTATCCAAAGGAATTTATAATTGTTATCAAACATCTCATCTAACTACTCGTATATGTAAACTTCGCCAAGCAGGAGATGACTCTCTACACTTCCACAATTACCATATGAATACTACAACTATTAACTTCTTTGGGTTCACAGTGCCCCAACCGGCATGGATGAAGGTCTTCTGAATGATCTACTCGAGTGCTCCGTGTGTCTGGAGCGACTCGATACGTCGTCCCGAGTGCTGCCGTGTCAGCACACGTTCTGTCTCAAATGCTTAAAGGTAAGTTTATTAGTAAAAGTATAAGTATTTTATAGTTATATTCATCGATTGTTTTTTTTTACATACATACAGAAAACGTGGGGTCTTATAAGTTTAACCTGTGTATATGCGTATTTATGTATCTGTCCGTCTGTGGCATCATAGCTCCCGAACGGATGAACCAATTTCGATGCTGATTTTTTGTTTGAAAGCCGATGTGATCGAGATGGATATTAGCAGCAAATTTTTAAGATAATCAGCTCACTTCCTAGGGAGGGATCTCGCTAAAATTCACAAGTCCGATTGATCTGAAATTTGGTATTTCCACTACATGGTAACATGGGTCTTATATGTATGTATCCATCAAGTAGTCTGCGGGATAGCCAAGTCCTCAGAAAATTACAGCATATATACCATGTTTGGGCTTATTAGAACAGGCTTAATAAGCAGTTGTTATTTTTTAAAGTTTTATTGTGTCGGAGGGGTTTTTAATGATGCTATTATGTTGTTCTCTGGGAGGTGGGGCGTCTCCCGTGCTTGTTGTTTGGTCATCTGATGGAAAGTGACCACCGCCGCCAATGGACACTCACCTTCGACTCAAGAGACACAATTGCGTGTCCCGTTGGATACTACCGGAGCCCGCCTCCCCAAAGTTAGGCGGTACCTCCGGTAGTTTATTTTTTTTTTTTTATCATATTATATCGGAAATATCGATCTAAGTGGCGTGCAATGGGAGAGGCCTATGACCAGAAGCGGTCTGCGATAGGCTGATGATGATGAACGGAAATATAAGTGAAAGTTTATGCAACGAGAATATTTTGTTGCTATACAAGACTATTTAATTGTACTGTATGAGTGCATCTAAATCATAGTTATCTACTAATATATGGCTCTAGTTATCAAACCATTAATTATACTTTGATATTTTGTCTTCCGCCTCGTCCTACTTCCTCATGTTTATGAGAAATAGTGGTCCATTGTCAGCCAAGATAACCTATTGACTATAACACTATATATCTATGTTAAAGCAGTCTGACAGAAATATTCGCTATGCATTTCTTGGACCGTTCTTAGATACGGCCGCCGATTGAGAGGGCTATTAATAACTATTAAAAAACTATTTAACTATAGACTTTATATGTACGGTGTTAAAGTACACTTTGTGACGTGTATTGAATCTTGTCAATCAACGATAAACATGTGTTTCAGCTGCTGTTAGTAAATAGTGGGGGACCGTTGGACGTGAACATATGAGATCGACTATGATGGTTCTTGTTGAGATTATACTTGGCTTATATACACTGAATGAAATATACTCAGTATGAGACGGGCCTATTGCTCTAGTAGGTAGCGATCTTTGAGAGTCGTGGGTTCGATTCCCGCCCGGGAGAAATATTGTGCGATAAGCAGAGATCTGAATAGGTAGAGTATATTTACTTAAAGTTCGTGGAAGTAAGTAACATGGCGTAGGATAATACCTCGGGTCGTAGCGGCTTTTGGGACCCCGACCGCGGCCCCGAATTCCCCTTTTGATAGAATGATTATTTTTGAGTAGTATATTGGGATCACTACTAAAATGTCTTGGGAAAGTATTGTCTCTCCCTCCAAGCCTTTTTCCCAAACCAGGTTGGGGTCGGCTTTAAGTTTTATTTGTATGTCTTCTAAAATATTTACCCAAAAGATTTTATATACTAAAAATAGTTATTCTGACAAAAAAGATATTATAGACATAGGACCTCGGTCCTAGTCCCGAAGGCACCATGACCCGAGGTATTATTCTATTCTATGTTACTTACTTTCACTTCCAAGTAAATGTACTCTACCTATTCCGATCTCTGGTGATGAGTACGATCATTTGTACTGTGTCTGGGTGTAATTGATCTATAATACGTTAGTATTTATAAATAATAGGCTTACCTCCTATTACGAAAGTGGGCCTAAAATTATAGAAGGCAAAATGTGGGCGTTTTTACCCGTGAGGGAATAAAATACCTGAGTGGACGTATGTATAAAAAAATAAAATTTAGGCATAGATTAAAGACCCTTAACCGACAGCGTTTATTATCGGATAGTTTTAAAAATCTGTTTAAGTGTCACTTAGGAACTATTTGAAAAACTTTGAAATGATCATTTTTACCAAAGAAACTGCCATACAACCGCATCTCAGATATGTTTTTTTTTGTTGTAGAAAGTATTAGAACAAATCTTTGCTCTGCCTAATTTGGGTTCAGCCGGCCGTGCGTGATGTAAAAAAAAAACGGGAAGTTTACCGTCTCAAATAAACAACTATTACAGTTTGAGACATCTCAATTACGGCCGTCCGCTCTGAAGTTAGGCAGAGCAAAGTTTTTGTTCTAATACTTTCTATAACAAAAACTCAACTGTCACTAGGATTTATAAAGAAATAATCTTTGCGGCATTTGGTTTTATAAATCAAAGTCCACCTACTTGCGAATGCACTTACAAGATAGACTGACGTTCCTGGTCGCTTCTCTTCCTCTAGGTTGTACTATTCTATCATATTGAACATGTTTTGTGGTGGATGTATATACTTATAAAATTTTCAACATAGTCTGGAAATGTATTGTACCTATAATGGTTGTGGCTATCTGGAGATGGACTCTTCAATGCCTTTTTTACGCTAGTGTATAACAGAAGTTCATTGCTGACTTTTTATGCTCAGGGGCCGAACTCTGTATCCTTATCCATATATTAAAGCTAAAATCAAAATCATGTAAAAAATACTTCCTACAGGAATGCACAATCCTGACACAAACTTTAAAAATAAAGTGTATTGAAAAAACTGTTAGTTGATGCTTGGGAAACATGTAACAGAGTCGTTCCCTATAAAGTAGGGCAACGTGATATAAACAATGTCTGCGATCTCTGCTGGTAGACAGCACAGCCCTCTAAGTTGTTACAACAGACCTCTTTTTTAAACAATTCATACTTCCCAGTTTTTTTAATATTGAATACAATTATATGGCCATTAAATTTTCAAATTGGAATTTAATCGTGGTATATTAGATAAGCTATGGTATCATTGGTCTTCGTAGATGCTATAATACAGGTCCCGTTTTGAATTACCTAGAGATGTGGTTGTCGAATTTCCTTCACTATCGCAACTTGAACTGCCGTTTTAAAGACTTTTTGTAGCATAACAGGGTCAAGCTAATATATGCCCTACCTCTAATGCTTTCTTTTGAAGGAGGCTATTGTTTTTCTCGATTTGGACTAAAATCAAAATAAATGATAAAAAAATATCCTGATTATTGCAACCTTAAGGTACACATAGAAAGTTGAATATAAATTAAGTGATTGTTTGTCTTCTATGCCTGTCTAACGTGTCTATGTCATTTATACGATCACAAGTGAGTTGATTGCGCATATCCGGAAGGTTCCGGGAATTTTCGGTCCCGCTAGGGCTTGTAAACAAGTTTAGACATGAATAATGGAACTACTTGTAGGATGGTAGTCAATTGTCTGTGATTTACAATATTTGAATATAACATCTGTGCCAATGAGAGGCTTTAATGGGACAGTCCATGACTCCTTTTAATATTCGTAGTTTATGGTTCTGCCATATTTTGTTACACGTTAAAAATGATCATCACATTAAGGGTTTGTGTTAAGTTTAGGCAAAAAAGTAGGCAGTTATCAGTTCTCTTTTGTTTTTGTTTTTAGTACTGTGGTATAGTCAACATATAAGTTTCTTATTAACACCTGTGACTAGTCAAATTCTTGCTTTAGAAACCGTTAGCGTTTTCCAAGAAATAAGGGCCGATGATGCAGCCGGACCAAAATTCACACCTAACAGTGATGTTTTCGTAATGATTAAATCACCTGCTTATGTATGTCTTTAACTACCAAGACACCTTATCTAAAGTGATTTTCATCGATGTATCTGGATACATTTTTTTGTGCCAAAAGCTCGGTGTGCCAACAAATTTTTAAAGGTCAATTATAACACTCTGGCGTCCTATATTATGCATGTGTCTATTTGTCACATGAAGTTGTAAGTCTCGACTCAATTCACCGAATATATGAGACCGGAAGACAAAACCTTGGTGCAAAACTGTGAACTTTCTGAGCTTTTCTTTTACACTTTTCTTAATTGCGAAAATTTGCTCTAACGATCTTGAGCTATCTTGTCGTTAGGCAAATTTACGTGGGAGGACCTGAAATAACATGGTCATGGTCCTCCCAGAGTAGCCAATGTCTTCACCTGTACCGGCCATCGGGGTGGTTTTTAGTGGAGCGTACAGAACAGAAGAATAAAACACAGCTCAAAGAAGAGACATTTTGATAATAAAATTGTTGCCAATATTTGAATTCTGCAACGTTCCTTATTTAAATGTCAAGAGTAAATAAATATTGCCTTGAAATTTGCTGCAGCTGCAGCTGTGTTTTGAGCCAAGAAGGCCGCACTGCTCTGCCAGAGTCTAGGTGCCCCAATTTTTTCGCGCTCTTTTAATAATGAACACATTTCTTTTACTCAGTGTTTTTGTTCATTCAAAGTTTGCCTGCAAAAAGTCAAAATGTTTTAAACAATATGTGTTATAAAGTGAACAATTGTAATTATGTTATAAATATATAATATTCTTTGGATCTAACACACGACGCTATCCAGATTTTCAAACTAAGCGGAGCTTGTACTATGGGTACTAGACAACTGATATAACTTTTTTTTTTGTAAATTCATACATATTGTACATAGAAATCAGCCAAACTCTGAAACATAAATATACAGATCATACAAACATTTGGTCCGACCCGGGATCGAACCCGAGACCTCGGCACAGCAGTCGCATATACTTCCACTGACCGCCGAGGCAGTTATGTGTAGACCTAGAATATAATATTAAACCTGTCGCTATACAAAACTGTATACATAGTATAAATTGACATTTCAAGTTATATTGTCTACTAGCTGGTGCCCGCGACTTCGTTCGCGTGGAATTTGAAAAGCGCTGCCTTAGTGGGTTTGATGCCCGGACCGGGTAAAAATGTATAGCCTAAAT